AAAAAAAAAAAAAAAAAGAAAGTCTTGGCTCGAAATCTACCATCGACAATAATTATCATCATGAAAGAGCCGCGATCTAGAACGAAAAAGGAGCAAATCTAAATTCATCGAACAGCCAATGCTGCTAAATTAATGGAAGTAATTAACTCCAGAAGAAGTATCCTACAATTTCAACAGAGGCTTAGCAGATGTATCATAGATCATAGGAAGAATGCCAACGCCCTTCGTCTCGATGCTCTAATTCCGGTGCCGACAGACCTTCAGCATCTCAAGTTATTGTACATGTGTGACTCAGCGCCTGTTGTAGTTCATATCGGCCACTGAGAGGTTCCAAGACTTGCTATTCAGAACGGATATTTGTAAGTGACACTATATACTCACTATTTCTTCAACTTTGGACAATCTCTTGAACCAAGCCAACGAATGATAGGTTGCTTTTGGGTAGTGAGATCCTGTTACCAGCCCTACTCTGCGATACTCGAAGTCTTTCCCTACTACCGGCTGAAGGAGTAGCCCTACCGAGAAGTGTATCCTTTCCATACTACCCGGGCCTGCGTACCCTTTTTCCGTATACAACATCAATAACTTGATATTCTTCCTGATCAAGTAGTCAAAGTCCATGTGCACCGGGCAGTCGAGGTAAACTGTACTTGTTTCGCTATAGACGAGGCTGTGGTCGCTCTTTGTGATTGGTGAAATCGGTCCTCGAATGTGTATTGTGCCGTTGTTCACTCGTCCTGTCGGATCATGGTGACTCACGGGGGTGCATTCGGCCTCGATAATTTGCACGTGAAGCATAGTCTTGCCGCTCTTAATAACAACAGATGGTGGGAATATGACTGGAGCGTTTATCGCCGCCCAGGACCAGGATGGTGTACCTCGATGAATTTGGCTGGGTTGCCTTGTACATCTCGTCAAGAGGCTGGGCTGTCTTGTATATCTCGTCAAGAGGCCGACTGACGCGTTGTCAATCTCGTCATGGCTTCCATGCTCGTTATACCATGACGCCCCTTGAATGAGTGAGTGACTCCACAGCCCGGCGAGGTACTTGGCCCCAGGTGGCATTTCTTTGAGAGATCGTTGTGCCAAGCCCGACAGGGCTGGTAGCCGATCGTCATAATTAGTAAAGTTGAGCTTGGAGTATTCCTCGATGATGTTCAACCAGGAACGAGCATTGGAACAAGGATCTGTGTCCCTAACACCCATGTGTGCAGGCTGGTGGCAATGTCCTACATCCGCCTCTTCGTTCTTTTTCTCTTTTTCGCATGACCAAAGAAGGCTCGCCGCTGTAAAGTATAGAACTCTTGGCGATAGGAGTCGCTCCTGCAAAACCCAGCCCCTGGTCAGCAACGGCCAACGGCAGTCACCGTTCTCATGTTTGTCGCCTGTGCATGTGTTGATATCTCCAGGAACTGCAAGCCAACTGAAATGTTGATTTCGATGCGTCTTGCCCGAATATGGGATCGAGTCCTTGAACGATGCGAAACGAGCGCGGGTCTCCTCGTCATGGGGATTATCTAAAATCCCACTGCAGCAGTCTGGATTGGAAGTTGCTGCAACAGTGAGCCAGGAGTTGCCGTAGACATTGTGCATTCGCCCAGCTTCTCGAGCCCAATCATCGGTGCTATTCTGAATGATGCAGAGTGAGTCGATCCAGACATATTCTATACCTAGTCGCCAAGCAAGACGGATGGTATCTTGGTATAACAGCGGCATATCCTCCCACACAATACAGCCAAAGTTGTCATCAACGTTTCGTTTATTTGTGGTTAACGGTTGTTTCGACCCCCAGCAGTGGCTGAGACAGATATAAGGAGCGCAAGAACCTCCATTCCGTAGGCGGATATCGTCCGGTTTCCGGCCGACTCTGATCACTCTTGTTGGCAGTGGCGTCGGGTTTCTTGCATAGCAATTATGCTCCGTTGCACACTGTTGCAATTTATCAAAAGCCCATTCGAGCTTTTGAAACGGGTAGGACTTAAAGAGAAACCAAGGGCATAGAACGTCTTGAGTGAAGGCATAGCATTAGCGTATATCCAAGTCAACCTGAGGAGACCATACCAGGATGGGAGTATAAATAAAAGCATCTGTCAATAAAATAGGTAGGTGAAGCAGGGTGCTCCCCCGGCAGATGAATCTTGAGAACTAAATTGTGTCGACTGGGGAAAAAGCGAGCCTCGAACGATTCGAATCTGACATCTGGGCCGATCGCCTTGACGGCTAGCCTTCCCAAGTGTTCACAAAGATTACAACAGTCCTTAGGTCTCAAAGGTAGTCTGAATGCCGGTATGTCCTCATACGGAGTACCTAGCAAGCCAGGCACGGCAACATGCTGCAGGCTTTCCGCGTGCTCATATCTAGACATAAATGACCTTGCACATTCGTCGACAGTGAAGTTTTCATTATCCGACATTGCTGGGATCGAAAGAGGATTTCCAACAAATGATAAGCTGGGCAATCAAAATAGTGATTTTTGAAGTGGGATGCAACGGTGTCGAAGATTAACAGAGAGTGATTAATACCGCAGTATCTCCAATGATCTGATTATCGCAAATTATCACACAAGACCCCTGCGACCTTGTCACGTGTGGGACACGGTTTTGTATCACGCAGCCTGTTCATGAAGTACAAAAAGTAGAAATAAGAAGAAAAAGCCAAAGACTCTTAAGAATCAGGATCCTCTAAATGTCTTTGTGATAATGATTCTTCAATGCGCACTTCAATGTTTTTCTTGGCATCTCGTGTCTATTGGAGCATGGCATATTTGCGATAGTCGTCTTGACGACGGCTTCATAAGCCACAGACTGTAAGATGAGATGGTGCCCCTTTGTCTACTAGGAAATTGATGAACACAATCTGCCTACTCCAATGCAAAGTCTGTATAAACCCTCCCTTCCCATCCACAAAGTACCGGTCGTCCACCATCCCGCGGCCTTGCCTGATCCGTCGTACAAACAAGCAGCCTCACTTGATCAGTCTCACAGCCCAGAGCGGTACAAATATCCGGACCAATTGCATCCTCCCGACTCATATTCATCACCACCAGCGCTTTTCTCCCACGTTCACTCTCCTTAACGAAACTAAACACAGACTCGTCATCCAAATCCACAAGCTTGAATGAACCAAACACAAAAACATCTTGGTGTCGTTTCCTGACTCTCAACAGCGCCTTATAAAAACTCAGAATTGACCGTGGGTCTTTTGTTTGCTTGGCTGCGTTGATGGTGCGGTAATCATCGTGCACCCTCATCCACGGCTGAGCGCCTGCTTGTGAAAAGCCAGCATTCGGTGTATCGTCCCACTGGAAAGGAATTCGAGAATGATCGCGAGCCATTATTTGAAGACCATTCATCGTGTCTTTCACCCGTTGCGGATTGCCCGATCTCACGGCCTCGTCATAGAAATTCCTACTCTCAATATCCTTGTACTCTTCAATACCCCAAGATTGAGGCATGTTCGTCATACCGATTTCTTGACCCTGATACAAGAAGAGAGTGCCTGTCATAGTCGTCTGCCATAGCGCGATGGTCTTGGCAGACTTGAGCCACCACTCAGGTGTTGATGCGTCACCAAAACGATCAACAGCTCGTCCGTTGTCGTGGTTCTCGCAGAACACCGTCGTCCATGCATCTGTTCCTTCAATGAAACTCTGCCACTTTTCCACAACCGCTTTCAACCTCGGTAGCGAGAACGGTTGGTAGATATACTTGTCTCCAAAACCGTTACCGTTGCCTAGTCTGATCATAGAGAATTCGAACACCATATCCAACTCCTTCGCAGCAGCTGACACATAAGGAATGACTTGTGATGGACAAGGTGTGTTGGAAAGCTCGCCGACAGATACAGCGTTATATGGCTTGAGGACTTTCTCATACATCTCATGGATGAATTCATGGATCCTAGGTCCGTTGCACCACATTTCCGGCGCGGGCTGATGAGGTGACGAAGGATCCGTGATCGGCGCATCGACAAAATCCCTCCTCTTAGAGTATTTGTTAACTGTGTCAATTCTGAAGCCGTCGACACCGCGATCAAGCCAAAACCGCATGGTGTCCTCATAGATAGCTTCGCGACACTCCTGGTTATCCCAATTTAAATCAGGTTGGTCCGACGCGTACAGATGGAGATAGTACTCTTGAGTGAGCTCATCCCAAGTCCACGTAGAGGAAGCGAAATATCCCCTCCAATTCGTAGGAGGTTGTCTCACGCCATTTTCATCATAACGAGCTGGTTTCCATATATACCAATCTCTCTTCGCATTATCACGCGACGATCTTGATTCTTTGAACCATCTGTGCTCGGAAGAGGTGTGGTTGACAACAAGGTCAAGAATAACCTTCAAGCCCCGTCTATGACACTCTGCGACGAGAATGTCGACGTCTTTCACACTTCCGTAGGGTTCGTAAATTTTCTGATAATCGGATACGTCGTAGCCCATGTCACTTTGTGGACTTTCAAAAATTGGAGAGACCCATACAACGTCAATTCCCAAGTCGTGAAGATAACCAAGCTTGGAAATGAGACCGGGTAAGTCGCCCCAGCCGTCGCCGTTGGAATCTTTGAAGCTCGCTGGGTAGACTTGGTAAAATGATGCAGCTTTCCACCAGGGATGGTTACCGACGTAGCGGTTTTGGTCGTCCCAGATTACTGAGCCCATGTTGGTGCCGGCAATTAATTATTGAATGAAAGGTGAGGGGAAAGAGAAGAGAAGATGAGAAAAGACGGGAGATGATGAGACAAGATGAAAATTCGATGAGGGGAATGAGTTGTTTATCCGTCGCAGTCTCATCGGCGGCCAAATGTGGCGACCCGTGCAACCCCATCAAAATGCCATATCTCGGAGATTCCACAGGTTGCACAAACGTTTTATTCCCTGTCGCTAACAGGATGTTCCGACGATGTCATCGAAAATGCGGAAGCTCCGTCGCCTCCAATTCACTTTAGTGTGCCAGTAGCGGAGTTACTCCGCTCCCCGACACTAGCCAATGCCCGTGACCGAGGTTGAGCGGACACTCCGCAGCTGAGTCGGAGTCTCCTGTTAAAAGAATCATCTCGGCAGGATTCTCCAATGTTTTCCCTGCACCTGCACCCCACACCTTCCCCGGATTCTTCTTCCTTCCCCATACGTTTTGTCGAGAAGTATGTTTGCTTGCCTCTTCATGCAATATTTGTATTGAACTAGGCTTTTGTCCGGTTGGGCTCGGTAACTTCAGGCGACGTTGGTGTATATAAAGAGACTATTTCCTGCTCCATGTCCACCGCCAGATTCACAACATCCTCCTTCAATTCAATCTCTTCACTATCCCTGCGATAACAGAACCGCAAGGTCACATTCTGCACAATGGCAGATCCCAAAACACCCCCTGCGCAGCATGATGAGGCTCCCACAGCAGAGATGCTCGCCTCAGACGCAAAAGTCGCTGCTGAAGCAGAACACCACATGACGCTATGGCAAGCTTGCAAAACATACCCCAAAGCCATAGGCTGGTCCGTCTTGCTCTCTACCACCCTCATCATGGAAGGCTACGACCTTGCCTTACTCGGCAACCTCTACGCATCACCCGTGTTCAACCAGAAATTCGGCGAGTATAACGCCGAAAAAGACAAATACGCTGTTACTGCAGCTTGGCAATCTGGACTCTCCAATGGTGCACGCGCAGGCGAAATCATAGGCCTAATTCTCGCCGGATGGGCGTCTGATCGCTATGGCTACAAAATGACAACCGTCGGAGCCCTCGTCCTCATGATTGCATTTGTCTTCGTCCTTTTCTTCGCACCCAATGTCAAGATCCTTGTTTTGGGAGAAGTACTCTGTGGTAAGTTCCTTCCTCATGCAAGCTGTGCCGCGCTGACGTTATAGGTATTCCTTGGGGTGCATTCCAATCCGTCACACCTGCATATGCGTCCGAAGTAGCACCGGTTGTGCTCCGACCTTACCTTACGACTTTTATCAACATGTGTTGGGTTATTGGACAGTTTTTTGCTGCTGCTGTTAATAAAGGTTCTGTTGGACGGGGTGATGAGTGGGCTTATCGGATTCCGTTTGGTGTGCAGTGGGTTTGGCCTGTTCCTATCCTTGCAGGTGTCATATTTGCTCCCGAGTAAGTTATCCTTTTATGCTTGTTAAAGCTTTGGCTGACATTTAAGATCGCCTTGGTGGCATGTTCGAAAAGGCAATCGCGCCGCCGCAAAGAAGTCCCTTCTTCGACTCACATCACCCAACCAACCTAACTTCAACGCAGACGATACGATTGCCATGATCGAACATACAAATGAGATGGAAAAGAACTTGAAAGAGGGCACAAGCTACAGAGACTGCTTTAAGGGTATTGACCTCCGACGAACAGAAATTGTCGTGGGCATCTGGCTTGTCCAAACTCTCGGCGGTCAAAACCTCATGGGATATTTCTCATATTTCTTGACACAAGCAGGCATGGATGCAAGTAACTCATTCTCGCTATCCATGGCGCAGTACGCTCTTGGTATGGTCGGTACATTCGGCTCTTGGTTCCTAATGGCCAAAGTCGGTCGCCGAACGATTCATTTCACAGGCCTTTGCACTCAACTCCTCATCCTCATAATCGTCGGCTCCCTCTCGTTCTCCAACAGCAACGGTTCAGTCTGGGCCATTGGCGCAATGCTAATCGTCTTTACTTTCGTCTACGATTTCACTGTCGGACCAGTTACCTATTCCCTCATCTCCGAACTCTCATCCACACGTTTGAAGGCGAAGACTATTGTCATGGCTCGCGCTGCGTATAATGCCAGCAATATTTTCGTCAATGTCATGACGAATTACCAATTGTCTTCGACGGCGTGGAATTGGGGTGCGCGCACGGCTTATTTCTGGGCGGGTACTTGTTTGATCTCTGCGATTTGGGTGTATTTCAGATTGCCTGAGCCTAGAGGTCGGACTTATGCTGAGTTGGATGTTTTGTTTGAGCGACGCGTGTCGGCTAGGAAATTTGCTTCGACCAAGATTGATCCTTATTCTGATCATGTCGCGTCTGGAAAGAACATGGCAGTTGAGAAGGAGATGCAGTAAATAGTTGGCCCTTCGTTTCCCAATCGACGGAGTAACGATGGGATTCAAAAGTGTCTGTACAAATAGCGTGGAACAGTTAATAATTTTGTTTATTGTGGACTTTGCCTCGGTATCACATCACTGTGAAGTCTAGGCAAAACCTGTTGAATATGCTTCTCCAACAGCGGCTGATACGTCGAAGTACCCCCCGGCAACTTCGTAATTAAATCCCGAATATACATCAAATCATCCTCAGGCGAACTCCCCATCGCCAAACCCTGCGGAATCGACGACGCGACAGGTACGCGCGCCAGAACATCCACCACAGCAGAAACAATATCGTAAAGTTTCTCCGTAACGCCTATACCGTGGATTTTAATACTGTCTATCGACAAATCTCTCGTTGAAAGCATTAGGTCTTTTGCGACAACTAGAGGGTATTGATATGTTAGACTGTGCTGGTGCGCGTTTTCGCTGAGATGGCCGAGGTGCAGGCGGAGTTTCCAGACAATCATGCGTAGCCACAGCTGTGTTATTCTCAAATTCGCTTTTTGGGTTTCGTGGAGTTGGGTATCTGGTTTGATAGCTGTATTAACAGCTGTCTCGACGTAATCAAGCGATGAAAGCGATGGCGTAATTGCGAAGCGTTCTTGATTGTGAAGGGCGACAAAGGACGTGTCGATTGGTCGGAAAAGAGCAGATAGACTCCAAAAGCCTGATAATGACGGGTCGTTCATGTCGATTTCTGGTGCTTCATCCGTGATCTGCAATGTAATCGGTCGCCGGTACCGTATCGCGTGTGAGCGCTCAGATACAACCAACACCCAGAATAATCGATCCGCCAATGCTTTGTCCGCATGACTCATACCATCCAACCTCAACAAGCAAAACAAAGTCGTAGCTTGTCGCAGGAATAAAAATGTCTGGCTATGATGCGATAAACGCGCTTGACACGCGTAGAGAAAGAATGCCAAAAGACATTGATTGAGACAGGGTCTTGGGATCGATTGATGGACAGCGACGACTTGGTCGACAATCATGGATCCATATGTCGCATTGTTCTCAGCGATAAGACCTTGTGAAAGTAAACTTTCTGGTTCTTCAGTTTGAAGCAGAACCTGTGCACACATTGCCACGAGAACAGAGTACGCCTCCAACCTCCCCTCGACTGTCGATCTTAACTGCTGCACATAATCGCGAGTAAGAATAGGTATCGTAGGATACAATCTTGCAAAAAAGCGCTCGATGCAATGATCAAGAACTTGATCCGGCACAAGTTCAGACAATTTGCTCAAAGCATCCTGCGTTGTATTTGGCGAAGTTGGATACGCGTACTGATAAACAGGTTGAATAAAAGTCGGAGAACCCGTTTGTCCGATACAGCGATCCGCAAGTCCTGCATCCACACAGCGTCTACAAGGCCGATACTCATTACAGCCCCGTCGGAGAGTTTTGCAGCGCTGACATGCCCTTGGTACTTGGGTTCGTTTGGCCGGAGGATTATCGGCCATTATCTGTACATCGGTCGCACACGTGCGGGTATGAACGGAGAGATAGAAACGAGGCTGTGTTTATCGTAGGATAGATTGCGATAATCGCGCAACGTGGGACTCCAGGATAAGGTGGAGACAAGTATCGGCCAGATGAGGAAACGGGATCCTTGGGATAAGGTAACAGAAAGATAACAGAAATGTCGACTTGGTCCGATATGATGTCAGCGAATGAGACGTCTCCGATGCGGATTGAGTTTTTCTTGGGAGAGGCTGGTGTTAAACAAATGTCTTGGTACCCCGCTTGAAGGAACCAACAGGTTGGTCTAGTTGAGTCATGTGATGTAGATACCCTGAAGCTGAACCAAATATACCCTGAACCAACACGAAGTTTGACCACAACCAAGAAACAAATCGAGAAGGTAGTATCTCAATAAATCTTGGATTTCAGCTGAGAAAATGCGGTGAGATATCCCTTGCCTCTCTAATGCAAACATGATCCAACATGTTTGTTCCGACCCTTGCAGATCCTACAATGTCTTACCGTCGTACGTAACTAGTACACGACCTGAACGGCCCAAGCTCCTGGGCATTTTACACTTCCGCTAACGGGCGCAACCAGTGTATTTCAGCCCCCCGGTACTCGTTGACTAGCCGGGATACTCTAAATCGACGTTGGTCGTATCTCTTGGCTTTACCACGGCCATGGTCCATGCATCGCTTGAATAATGATAGGGTAACAGATTGTCGATCTGCTGATCAAGTCCCATTATCGCGAGCAAAACTATAAGTACCGATGTCTCTCCTCACGATTGCACAGTAGCTGTCTCTTCCCCAGCCATCTCCCCTCCTCCTCTTGGCCCATCATGTTCTCCAAGTCCCTCGCCGCCCTTGCCCTCGCTGGCTCAGCCATTGCATCTCCCGTCCCAACACCCCAAATAATCCCCCGAGATGTCGGCAACTTTGAGTGCTTCAACGCCAGCCTCCCCAACATCACCATCTTCGCAACAGGCGGTACAATCGCTGGCGAAGCAGGATCCGCCGACCAGACAACAGGCTATCAAGCCGGCGCCCTCGGCATCAAAGCTTTAATCGACGCGGTCCCCCAACTATGCAACGTCTCCAACGTCCAAGGCGTGCAGATTGCAAATGTCGACAGTGGCGATGTTAATTCTACTATCTTGACTACGCTTGCGCATCGCATCCAGGCCGATCTGGACAGTGATGAAATTCAAGGTGTTGTCGTTACGCATGGCACTGATACCCTTGAAGAGTCATCGTTCTTTTTGGACCTTACTGTCAAGAGTGAGAAGCCTGTTGTTATGGTTGGATCTATGCGTCCTGCTACGGCTATCAGTGCTGATGGACCTATTAATCTGTTGTCGGCTGTGAGATTGGCGGGTAGTAAGAGTGCCATGGGTCGTGGTGCCATGATTGTTCTCAACGATAAAATCGCCTCTGCGCGGTACACTATCAAGTCGCACGCCAACTCTGTCCAGACATTCATCGCCGAAGACCAGGGTTATCTCGGTGCCTTCGAGAACATTCAGCCTGTCTTCTGGTATCCTGCCTCTCGCCCTCTCGGCCACCACTACTTCAACATCAGCACCAGCTCACCCGATAAGGCACTCCCCAAGGTCGACGTTTTGTACGGTCACCAAGAAGCTGATCCTGAAATATTCCAAGCTGCCATCGATGGCGGCGCTGAGGGTATTGTTCTTGCTGGACTCGGTGCTGGCGGTTGGCCTGATGAGGCTGCTAATGAGATCAAGAAAGTGCTGGACAACTCCACTCTCCCCGTCGTCGTGAGCAGAAGAACGGCATGGGGCTATGTCGGAGGGCGATCATTTGGAATTGGCGCAGGATATTTGAACCCTTCCAAGGCAAGAATTCAACTGCAGCTTGCTATTGAGAAGGGATTATCTACAAAGGAGATTCAGGATATCTTTGAGTACATTTAAGTTAATTATGCATTCAAATACACCGTCCTGTTTACTGTTCATTGACCGGTCGCTCATGTTCACAACTGCCTCTGATTTTATGGTGACCCAACAAAAACTTGCAAGCATCTGAATACCATCTTTTGGAAACATGCCAAATTGAGATTAGCGCAGGACTGGTCAGTGCGGGCGCAGTGACAAAAATCCCGATGTCGGTGGAGACGCAGCTGCGGCAACCAAATCTGTTGTTTTGTTCCTTCCCCAAAATTCATTCACTAGCACTTGAAACACATTCACCACAAGCAGGCAGCATCGCACCTTCCCTCAATAATTCTATTCACATGTCGCTCGTGCCCCACATGGATCAACTTTCTCTTTCCGACAAAACCGGCTTCTCCTTCGCTGTGCCCGCCGAGCAACCCAACTTCACATTCGCAGTACCCTCAGCATGCAAAATGGAACAACAAGAATCGCATCCGCATTTGCAACTCCTCGCGGATAACTCCCATACTGCCGAAACGACTGGATCCATCCCTATCTTCCGTCCCGGTCTTTTGGCGCCTGCTCAGTCAGGTCTTTTGGGTGTGGATATCACCAGAGCACACATGGATCGCAATGAGGTTTTGAAACATCGCCTCTTTTACAATGTCTCCGATCCTACCAGTACTTTCATTTGCGGTAGTCAGGGCTCCGGCAAAAGTCACACCTTGAGCAGCATTCTCGAGAACTGCCTGATCCCCTGCAAGGCGAATTATTTGCCGCGCCCGTTGGCTGGGCTCGTTTTTCATTACGACACTTTCATTTCTGACACGGGCGGTATGCCTTGTGAAGCGGCTTATCTCTCGAGCGATCCAGCAGTGAGCGTGCGCGTGCTCTGCGCTCCCTCAAACATCGGCAACATCAAGGTATTTCTTCCTCCTGCACTTCCTCTGACCACTACCTGACTCCAGCAGCGCATCTACGCCGGACTTCCCAACGTCACAGTCCAGCCCCTCCGCATCGACCAACGTGATCTGAACACCAGTCGCATGCTCGATCTCATGGCGGCAAACTCCATCAAGGGAGGCAGCTTGCCGCTTTATCTCCACGTCATCCAACGCATTCTTCGCGACATGCGAATCGCACAGCAAAAGACGAACTCCGGGTTCGACTACAAGACTTTCAAGCGTCTTGTCGATGCCGAGGATCTGAAGGAGGGCCAGATTGTGCCGCTCCAGCAGCGTCTTGACACTTTGGAGAGTTTCATGGATCCTGCGCAGACTTCTGCGACGGGCAAGATTCCGAAGGTTAAGGCGGGTATTGAGTGGAAGCTCAAGGTGAGTAGTCTCTACAGGCTCATGCGAATGCTCATACTGACCATTCAATCAGGCTGGCCAACTCACCATCGTCGATCTCTCTTGTCCCTGCGTGACCGCCGAAGCCGCGTGCTCACTGTTCAACATCTGTCTCAGCATATTCCTGGAGCAGGACTCGAAGGACTCGAAAATCGGCCGAATAGTCGCCCTCGATGAAGCCCACAAGTACATGAACGACTCCTCCGACAGCCAAACCCTGACCGAGTCTCTCCTCTCCGTCATCCGCCTCCAGCGCCATCTCGGAACTCGCGTCGTTCTCTCAACCCAAGAACCAACCATTTCCCCCAAACTCCTCGACTTGTGTTCCACGGTCATCGTCCATCGATTCACGTCCCCAGCTTGGTTCGGCGTTCTCCGAAAGCATTTGGCTGGTGTATCCCGAGACGACTCTGACCAGAGGGCTTACTGCGAGAACCTCTTTTCTCAGATCGTCGAGTTGAAGACTGGCGAAGCGCTTCTCTTTTGTCCGAGTGCGTTGGTTACTGTTGGTATAACCGGGCATGGGAAACTGGGGAATGGCGCAATGAAGATTAGGGTGAGACAGAGAGTTACTGAGGATGGTGGAAAGAGTATCATGGCGGACTGAGCGTTGGATTTGTGCTGGAATGGCATTGCAGGCTGTGCGATTGATTTGGTGGAATTTGCTATTGTTTTGGTCATTGAGCTTTGTGAGGGTATGGCGCTTGGGGAGTCAAGATGAAGCATCGAGTGTGGACGTTCATGTGTCAGATGGTTGTGAACGAGCACTGTTAGCCGAATATGGTCTGGATTTGGAACACCTGCATGGTAGCTATAATGGAAATTGCTTATATGCTGTCTTTATGTAACTGAATCATGCTTCTGTGTTTGATTGCGGTAGAAATGAGCTGGTTCTCACGAAAACTACCACCTACACAAGTGGCATTCCTGGAGTGATGCGCTTCTGGACCACTAGCCGTCCTTTGATGATTGGTGTGTGGTAGGTTGAAAGGTGGAGAAACAAAAACAGTGGGAGTACATGATGTGACCACTTCGCTCGTATAAACATAACATAGGATAAGAAGATCATAAGTTATTCTTATAATATATTAATTTAATTGGATTAATAACAAAAAATATCTATCTAGCTTATTACCCTTTATATCAAACTATGTTACCTTCTTGCTTCTAAGTTTAGTGATGTACATAAAATCTACTAGTCTAGTATGGATCTAGCGGGGGACGCTTATCCGCTATAACCTTAGGCTGCCTAGTTCCATAGCCGCAGACTGTTTGAATACATCGTCGAGATGTCTCGGTCAGCTTCAGGCATTGAGATAGATATAAAAAACGACGGGACCGTCTGCTCTTCAATACCCCACGAAACACCTTAGCCATTCCAGTTCATCTTCAACTAGCTACCTTTTTTGTTTTGTTTTCCAGTATGACCAGCTCCAACAGCGATAACCTTTCCCAACCCCATTCTATCACTAACGACGACTGGGACTGGGTCTTCTCCAATTGGGATTTGGATCTCAGTATGTGGGACCTTTTCCACGAAGATGGTCAGATATATGACGACTTGTTCCTCATAAACAACCCGGCTTCCGCTCAGTGTCCGGACTTCGATTACGCAACAGAATCTCTGAATGTCGCCGGGCAGGCAGAGCAAAACATGTCACTCAATGAATTGGAGACAATAATGCCCGAAAGCTTGGATATTGCAGAAATGCTAGCACAGGTAGTTCTTCGAATTTTTGGTATGAGTCTTTGTTTTACTTACATACTCAGGATCCCGATCTTGACCCCTTTCTCCCAACACACGATCTTCCACTCGAGCCGCCCGTCGTCTCTCTGCCTCTTCAACCATTCACGCCCGACGGTTTTGAAAGGACTTTGGAACAAGCTCCTCCTCCACCGAGAAACGACCCATCGCCGGATGATATGTCTCTTGTGGTTCCCAGCTGGCTCGATCGTCAAATTACCACGGATGACCTCTATCACCGCACCCAAGCAGATCCAAAACCCGCGGACTCATCGACCATGTCCGAGAAAGACATCACCTTTAAAATAGGGCAATCACTAGTGGGTAGCACCTTGACAACATTACAAGAGCCACGGAGGAGTAAAGTATACCCGGGGGAGTCAACGTGGACTAGTCGCAGTGCTGAACCTTCTCGCTGTGCACCGTGCAGATTTGCAAATATTCCAACGGTAAGTCTCCTGGAATAGTCTTGTGTTTCACTATGATAATCCTTGATTAGTCGCAATGTAACGGCTCGGTAGGGTCAACGTGTACTCGCTGTGAGCGACTAAGGTCAAAGGTAGACAAGAAGCTCGCCAATACCCAGTCATCCTTGAAGTTTTCCTTGAGTCCTAGTGCGCCAATGATCTCATTGCCACAAGTCATCTACTTCGAATTAGGTAAGTTGAAACCACTTCCTCACAATACGACAGTCTATCGACGGATTACTATGAAGAGGATACTGACATTCATAGTCGAAACACAGAAGCTCCTCGTCGATCTTCGTGGTGAAGTGGATGAGATATCTAGCTTTACTCCTGGGAACTCTTTGGAGTCCTTGTTTGATGGTAACATGTTATGGCACATCGACAACAAAGCGATCTTCTCTCCGTATTCAAAATCGATCTCGACCGTTGCGGTAACGAGACTCATGACAGCAAGGGCGGAAATGGCGGCACCACCTGATTGCATAGTTGCCCCAGCAATGGATGCAGTTCATCTCGATACTTTCATTGACCAAAGACGACCTGCCCGGGAAACGAAGGGTCTTACTGATATTAACGTGGGTATACCAACTCCCTTATCTTTATGCCAAGTCTCTGACGTTCCACAGCGAGAGACTCTTACCATCGCGTGGCGATGCGCCTATTGGCTCACTATCCTACTCAGCTGGGATTCCAATGAACTCTACGTGAATCAAGCGGGCCATGATGCTCTACCGCTGGTAGATGCGAAGAACCTTGTTCTGGAACTCACATATTCTATAGCTCATCGCATCCAAGTTCTCATCAAAAAGCTCTGTCATCGGGCTGCCAAGTCGTTGAATCGACTTGACGAGAGCTTGGATCCCGGTACAACATGTTGTGGGCTCTGGATAGTCTTTTCTGCTACCCACAAATTTGAGAAACAGAATTTCAAGGCAAAGAGCTTGAAAAGTCTGGTTGGTACTAATTGTTCCCATATGAGGTCTTCTATACTTACCACTTTCATTCACTTAGAAACGCTTTCTAAGCAATCTCCGCGAAAGATCCAGGGCCGCGTTTCATTCTCTTGATCACTACAAGAGGTTAATGGGGACTTCTTGTTGCAGTCTCCCTCGGCATAATGATGGACTCTTTTCAAAGTTCATAGAGGATGCCAAGAAACCAAAAGCGACCATTACATTTGCAGCCGAGCGCCATGTTTCTGATCCGTTCTTTATGGGAGGGGGCGGAGTATTCGACAGCGGGTACGTTGCGAAGCAGCAGAGAGATAGAGGATTGCTAATTCAAGCCTAGACTTCAGCCTCAGAGTTTCTCGGACATACTCAAGTCCGAGATTCCATTCCAAGATGATATTGATTTGTTCTTGGGGCGACCGGCGACACGCAATCTCGCAGCCCTGCGCCCATCAGATCGCGCTTCTCTTATATCGGGCGAGCTACCACGAGGCCATGACTTTGCATCGACATCCACCACAGCGCCTCTCACATTTCCCAGTTGGAGTGACCTTTCGTACGCCTCCAGTATCGATACCGCGCAACTGAATGATTTTGAAGTCAGAAAACGAGCCCTTTCTGACGAGGGAACTTCCTGTTCACGGTGTAACGCCAAGAGGATAAGATAGAATAGAATCGGGTTTCGAGAAATGTCCGAAGTGTGATAGAGTAACCTTGGGACGTGTAGGTTCAGCAAATCCGTGTTTTTGTAAATCAAGGTCGTGGCTTTTATTTAGAACATGTATCTTACTATCGGACCGCAAAGAGTCTTAAATCCAGCCCATTCTTAGCTACATTTAGGTGTTTTCAAAATTTCTATAGGAAGAGTTCAAATTGACATGCCTTGAGCATTATCGATTTCCCCCTTGTCTAGTTGTCCGGCTTGGGACCTCCTCGCCGGATCATTTAGTAATCCTTCCCTCGTAGCCAATTTGCGATAGCTGTTGCTCCAATCCACAAGGTCACCATACAGACTTTAACGCCCCATTGAGCTCACTCGTTGATGGTCCTGTACCACTCGTCCAGGTGAACGTGTGTCTGTTGGGCGTTTGTCAAAACTCACACTAGCCGCTTGGCAAGGCATACTCCACTCAGCAACAAACGACTTACCATCGGTCTTGGCAAAGCTAAGTCTGCACTCACCATACCAACAACGAGACATGGCTGAACACTATTTTTCAGCTGTTCAGCCAGGTTCAATAGTGGCTTGCCCATGGGTAGGTAAAGACATCTGGCACAACTCCAAGCCCAAATACCCCCGCCGCCCCGCGTTCGTTGCTGCGGCCCTTTCTTTACTTCTCTGCCCAGCCTTCCAATATGTCACTTGACAAGAGTATTCATTCGTCACAGCGTGACTTGAGCCTGGACCCAGATATCCAGGGTTATATACGACCTACAACTTCAAACCTTGTATCAAAGGAATCAGGAACGGTGAATGAAAGGCAAGCCCTGAACCACACAAGGTCAGGCATCATCGTTCAACAGATCGACTCGAATGACGACAGCAATACTCGAGTCAACAACGCCTCTATATTCAATCGCAAAGGTGCTCTTTTTTGTATATGTCTCTCATGGGCTTTCGAATTTACCCTCCTACTCATCGCAGTAGCCGTATTCGCCGGCATTCTGGTCATTCTCAAACAATACAATAACAAAGAGGTGCCTGACTGGGAGAACTTGGGCATTACCCTCAACACCCTTATCTCTATCCTCGCTACTGCATTGCGGGCTATCATCTCCCTGATTGCCTATGAACTGCTCGCTCAGACCAAATGGGATTGGATATCAGTGACGTTCCGACCTCTGCCGCAACTTCAGCTGTTCGAGAATGCGTCTCGCGGTGTCTATGGATCCCTGCGTCTCCTGCCTATAGTGGCGCGCCGTCAGCCTGTGGCGCTTGGGGCTGCAGTACTCGCTATCTTGTCGCTGGGAATCGGCTCTTTCACGCAGCAGTCAGTCCAAACATATCAGCGTCGCGTAAGCGTACCAGCTGGAAGGGGCTCGGCAACGGTTACCATTTCCAGGACCGCGAATGACTATTCGCTTCTGAATCTCAACCCTGTTCTCATGGATTACGGTGAGCGACACTTTGTTGGCCTGAACGTCAAGACGCGAACTGCTATACATGACTCACTGGTGAATATATACAACGACTCAAATATAGGCTCCCTTTTCACTTGTTCGTCTGGAAATTGCACGTTCCCGACGTTTGCCAATAGCCCCAGTGATCAGGACCAGGACAAGATAACATATGCTAGTCTAGGTATGTGCAGTCGATGTGTCGATGTGCATGACTTTGTGGAAGGACCAGAATTCGCCGCTGAAGAGGAAAAGTCAATGTTCACTACTGTTGATGAGGATGACTACAACTTTACTACATACACCCTTCCGGTATACCGTTTCTCTAAGGACAAGATACCAATGAGACTTGAATTTGGACACGCCTACTTGTCGGACGACGTATACATGACTGTCCGAAGGATAGGCAATGTCACATGGACTCGTCGAGTTGCAAGCCCTGAATTTATCAACGCCGCTAGGTGGTCAGTTGCGAACTTTTCTGTTCTCACCACACCACAAGAACCTTGCACTCAATACCAACTTTCCTGCCCATGGGGGTATGGTTTACCCACTCAATATGTAGCAGCTGCTTGCACTCTCTTCCCGTGCCTGAAGTATTATACGGCCGCTGTCGTTAATTCTAGGCTTCGGGAAAAGGTCGTTAGAGAGGTCCCCCTTCGTCCCCAGAAGTCTGGCTCACTCTGGTACGGCCCAGTTGTGACCGATAGCCCATCCGGTAGTGGGAAAATGGGCTTTACATGGAATGCCGTTCAGTATCCGTGCCATAGCGAAGGCATACTATACACGTCCAACAACATGTCTTCAGGGCCTGGCGATGTCCTGATACATACCGAGAATTGGGCCAACCAGAGCATTGATGAACCGGCACAATACATCAACATTAAGCCACCTTATTCCTGCCTTTTCAATATATCTGGGCCCTTGATGTCAGCTTTTGAGGCGGAGTTTAACTCAACTTTTAATGCAAAATGCTTCAAAACAGAGTTAAGTTTCCTTGAATGTCGTCATAACGACTCACTTACCTACACAGATTTCCTTAGAGGCTTTTCCCGTGGCATATCAACCTCTTTCGATACAATCAAAGAGAATGTAGAGTCATTAGCTATGCGTCTTACAAGCGAAATGCGTCAGCGGGAAAGGAGCGAGTATGCCGAGTTTTTCAAGGATATACAAGGCGTAGCATGGGAGAATCAAGTGTCCATCCGGATAGTCTGGGTGTGGCTAGTCTTTCCTGGAGCACTTCTAGTATTATGTGGGATCCTCCTACTATGGGTTATGGCAAGGGACATTGTTTTGGGAAGGGTATCTATCTGGAAAAGCTCTATACTTCCGTTAGTTCTGAAGGACTATCCTGGTACAGGGACTATGGGTCTTCAGGAGCTAGAAGAAGTATCCGAGACCCTTGAGGTTAAGCTGGAGAGGAGGAACCCCGAGATATGATAGCTCCTTGCAGCGTTAAGAAAGTCGAGAAAGTTTGCAGCGTTGCTGTGCGTATCTGGGCACATGGATCTAGTGCAATGATTCTGCAACGAGTCTGATACAAACCGATTGTAAGATTGCTGTTTTGGAGTCGGAGTTATCAGATATTTTTAACGTTATTGCAATGCGCTTGATTACTTTTAAAGTACTTTCCTACTGGAGAAGCTGGACATATAAAATTATGGACAGGTGTGCAGCAGAATCTGTTAATATATTTCCATTTCTGCCATTCCTCTTAAAAGCCTACCCTAAAACACTGGCATCTCCGATAAACATCGGTGAAAGTATACGCATACAAGGCATTTCCGAGACGTGAAACGGTTTTGATTGGATAAGAGAATTGTTCAGTAAAACCAGGCTTGTGTGAGAACACAACAATACCATGTTACATGTTTGCAACCATTATCCGTACGTCTCTTGCGTCTCACCCAAGTCTACAAAATCCCTCAGGACCATTTTGTAGCTCGAATTCCAGACCATCATGCGACCGATAGATATAACATGGTCCGCAATCTCATCCCCTCACGATTGCGTTGACAAGAATGGAGGAGGGTTGCCAGTGCACATCGTGAACCAGAATTGCGAAAATGGCTGTAGCAGATGTTTACTGGTTTACCTCAGCTCTCATCTCTAGGGTCGGGGTGGCTTTTAAGGTGTACTAGAATGTACCAAGGATAAACTCGTTCTAGCATACGCGAAGTCCGCTCTTGGCTTAATGCAAGAGAAGGGCGCTGTTCAGTTATTCTTCCCCACCGGAACATCTCGACCAGCCTGGGATTTCATACAGCCCGGGAGAACGTCCTTTAAGGGACGAAGAGAAGAATTTCAATCTTTATTCTCAACGTGGATCAAGGAGTGTGATGCAACCCATGTGCGGTGCACAAACAATGACGCCATCCTTCCACGACGAGTCCTCGACGTCGGCAATGCAAGACACCAAAGTCTGTCTCTTCATGTGCCTTCGCAACAGCACGCTCCTTATGTGGCTCTCAGCCATTGCTGGGGTACTGAACCAGTCTTACAGACCACCAAGGCCAATATCCAGGATCAAGAAAAGGCCATCAGCTTCAAGAGCCTGCCGAAGAACTTTCAAGATGCAGTTGTAATCTGTCGTGGTGTTGAAATTCGGTATCTATGGATTGATTCCTTATGTATAGTTCAAGACGACAAATTCGACTGGGAGACGCAATCGTCTGAGATGGTAACTATCTACAACAGTGCTTATCTAGTGCTTGCAGCTTCGCAGGCTGCTAATTCGACAGACGGCTTTCTTGACAGAAAAGACGAAAGCTTCTCAGAAACACCACAGTTGGACGTCAAGAATACACTCAATATCGCCAGGTTACGAAATCCAAATGGCACAGTTTCCCGAATCTATCGTTGCAAACAGAATAGTGAATCGTCACAACAACATCTGTACAAGATCGAAAAAGCTCCGTTGAACAGACGGGGATGGGTCCTGCAAGAGAATATACTAGCAAGAAGACTGGTGCATTTCACGAATAGCGAGGTCCTCTGGGAATGTATCGAATGTCTAAGATGTGAATGCATGGACATTGACGGTGGGGATCTGGAAGAGAGTATTCAGACCAATGCAGGCATGGTGCGAAATGCACAGCTTACCAGGGCAAGGGATTACACCGTGACCACCGATCTTCATAGACGTTGGCTCCATCTTATAGGTAGATACAAAGGCCTGGCACTTACCCATGACTCAGACAGATTGCCAGCACTTTCAGGGCTGGCAAGGCTGTGGCAATCGCGCGGAGCCCGAGAGTATCTCGCTGGTATCTGGAAAAGCCATATACCGGAGTCATTGTTGTGGGTTAAGGAAGATCAGATATCCTGTAAAAGGTGGGATGGATATATGGCTCCGTCTTGGTCTCCTTTCTCGCTGGGATATGTTGATGACGGAACCAGCACCAGACGACCCGCGTTCACCTATCCCAGGTATACGGGCTTTGTAATGGTACTGGAGGCTGCTCAACTTGTCGACGGACAATGCAGCGCCGCGGGGAATGATGCCATGGGCGCTGTAAATGACGGCTTTATTACATTAAAGTGTCGTATAGGTACAGTCTCAGTGGAAGGGAATGCGACATTCCACTCAGCTGAGTCACTCCTCGAGCCTTATCATGGACCCTCACCATTTCACCCAGGCATCTGGGGTGTGGTACATTGGGACTGTCCTGCCGGAGACGTCTTTCAGCGAGATCTATCCCTTATCTTACTCGGGTATAGTAACGATAGTTGCGATAGTGGCTATACAACGTCTGTTCTAGTTATGGTGCTAATGCCTTTGGAAGCTGTTCCTGATACCTATAGCCGTGTTGGGCTGTTATGTACGTCCCACAAAGACTTGCGCAAGTTTCTTGAAGAAGCAGAAGAACGGGTGGTTAAAATTGTATAATAGTCAAGATAATTCCAACTGGTAACTGATACAGTAGCCGTGTTTATTATGCTAGCTCAAGTTGTTCCAGGCATAGCCAACCCCTCGTATCATCATCCTAGCACACATTGGTTTGTTGCTTCCTTCGTCTACAACTGCTGATCCAAGAGTACTTTTCGCTGTCGGGCTCTGCAGAACCCTCCAGCCTCTCAGTCGTCTTAACTCTGTCGCCTTCTGGGGGACTCGATTGAGACTCCTCAGAGTTTCTGTCAACAACTGATACTCGTGCCTTAATTGCTGGAATGGTCCTGTTCCAATTGATAGCAACAAGGCCTAGAAACAAAGAGACAGCAACTGCCACAAGAACTAAAGCATGTATAATTAGTCATTAGGTACTTTGAGCAGATCCTAATAGGTTTGTAGCTTACATAAAACAGCAAAAGCCCACGCAGGAGTCTGCTGGAAGGAACTCACATCCAACGCGAAGAGGGATGAGAGGAATGACAAGGGAAGCTATAAAAGTATTTAGCAGAGCATCCAAACGTCATATTCAGCATTTAGGGAGACTTACGAACAAGAGTGTTGCAAAAGTGAAAGCCATGAGAACCTTTCCCTGTTCTGTTGATTGCAATGCCTGATGGGTTGCAAGAGTTGCTTGGCGGCTCGAGATCTCACTTTGTTGAAGCGACAATGTTGTGTTGACCTTTACAAATCCCAAAGTTAGTCACCATTCGAATTCAATTAGCTTGGAGGAGAGCCTTACAGCTAGTTCGATACGATTTGCAACCCTGTCCATCTTTTCAAGATCTTCCAGAACGTAGCTTGCTGATATGTCTGCACCCTTCCCTTTGTTGCCCGGTAGCCTCTTTTGAACGGCCAGCTGATACTGTGCAGCCGAATTCAGAATATTTACCTCGTCACGAAAATCTTTGATCTCGCTGTATAGCTTCTCCGCTTGTCTCAGAGCTGTCCTAATCTCATCCTCACGTTCAAGACCGCTTGAGGCTTGATGAGAGTCTCCAGATGAGCCTTTTGGTGCTGCAATTTGCTGATAGCTTTCCGACAGGCGCCGAAATTTATCGAACAGTGCTGTTTCATCCCTGCTCTGAAATTCCATTAGCTAGGAATTTGTCGTAACCAGTGCGTCAACCTACAAGTTTGTTCATGTAGTGAGAATAAGTCTGACCGATAGATGTCAACCCCGGAAGCTTTGGGTTTCTCTCATACGCCCTAATGCAGTAGTCAACAATCGTTTCAACCATCCCAGACACAGACGATGACTGGGATCCGCTGCCTCCAAGGTCTGCTTCTTTGCTGAGATGACGAAGAATTCCTTCAGCCAGAGTATCGTGCTTATCATCCAACAAACAAGATGTAGCGGTTATCAGCCATTCTATTCATGCATTTTAGTAGAGCGTGATATTTTAGTAAGCAGTACAACCTACTGTCAGCAAACGTCCAGATCCACAGTTGGTTAATTCGTAGTAGTGTCCATTCATCAGGCTCACTCTTTGCAATTTTAGGACCTTCTGGATGCTCAGTGCTCTCATCTTCATTCTTGGCGAACTTGGTGACGACTTGCGTCATGTTGCGATGATCCTTGTCTTCTTGAGCCTTGTCTCCATTCTCGAAGTGGTAGTACCACTCATCAAGAGTTGGCGACCTGTGATTACCCGAGGAAGTGTAAACCTCTAGGAGGTTTTCGTACTTCCTCTGTTTTTCATTCCGACTAGTCCCAGTCCGGTACTCAGTCGAGAAGCACAAGTAGGGTATCTCAAGTGACATGTTAGCAGTGCAACATCTTACCTCCTCTAGAGTACTTACGTAAGTAGCTGATGCCGATGAAATCTTAGATTTCCTCTTGTGTGAACCTTTCTTAACATTCGTCTCGTCTCCCTCCTCTTCCCCTTTCTTGCCCTTACCTTCCGTCATGTCTCTGAGTTCAGCCTTCCCTGAGCCTTCCACGTCCACTGCGCGTCTCTTTGTTACGGTTCGAGGCCTCATGATCCTTGATTGGGCTGACTCGTCTGGTACCTCGGCCCAACTGTCTCGAAAGAATGATCTAGCATCTCGAAACTGCCATACGTCGTGCTGCTCGTCCTTCATAATTCTCATTAAAAGGTCCTATGATGCAAGTAAGCACGCCATAGAATGCATGGCTCGGCCTCGTTTCACGGAGCCTGATCGGGTCTGCCAGTGTACTAACATTCATCCAATCCATCTACTCAATATTAGCAACGTTTCTCATCTCGTGTCTCGTAAAGTTACTCACGTTGGTAGATGGCAAATGAACCCATGTGAAATGCGGTCCAGCCTTGGTGTCCATTGTGTGACCTGGAAGTCCCGATTCCTCGCCAATAATGCTATCCAAACTTTTCATTGTTGTATCCATGATCTTCTTTGGCCCTACATCATATATGACTTCTTGCACTGGTCGCTTTCTTCGTATCATTCCTGACTTACCCTGGCTCTTGTAGAACTGCACGATGTCCGCCATAAACCCAGAGAGCTTATCTGCAAAATCCTCCTTAAGTTTAGGTAGCTCGTAACGTTTGCTATCTTCATATACCTGTGCAAAAGGAGGATCTTGCAGAATAACCTCGATAGCCTCCAAGTCCTCCATTCTGAACCCTTTTCGGTCGCCCGGCTTCGTTTGAGTTTGCTGTATATCCTGTTCCATTACCTCTTTCCTCCCCCTATCCCTGTTGCTGCCCCTCTTGACTTTCACTTGGGAAGAGATATCCAAAAGCCTCGTTGGTAGGATCTCCATTTCATTCTGTCTTGCCTGGACTTTGTGCGATCTCACTACGCTCAATGCGCTTTTCAGCTGGTTATCCGTCTCGGTACATCGGTTATGGGCAGTGATTATTAACCAAAGCAACCGTGGAAGTTGTTCACACACCTTGCCGTCGTTCGGCGTGACAATGAGGTCTAGGACTGCATCTAGAGCGGAACGTAACCTGCTCTCATCTGGCCTGGGGGAGGTGGACATGAGCAGCGAGAGCACCATTGCCGAGCGTTCGTTCACGCTACCGCCCTTGGACCGGCTAATTGATTCCAAGATCGATGCCAGTGCTGATTCTAGTGCCTTGTCTGTGTCTTCACTATCATGGGATGTGTCGACTAGTTGCTCAAGGACGTCTGGCAGTTGATCATGGGCCGCCCACTGGATTGCGCTCCAACTGCCAGATATTGGAGGACGAGGTTCCCCCGGTCTTTTCTTAAAAAGCAGTTTCGCAACACCGTGATTATGGGAGTTGCTTGCAGCCCACTTCACTGCCTGCTCCCACATTTGATCATCCTTCCCGAAATCAGCCGTGTCAATCTTGCATGATTGTAAAAGACTGGACATAGCAGTAGTGGGATCTTTCCCTTTGAACGCCGAGTGTAGTGCAGTCCAACCCTTGTTATTTCGTGTTTGCATATCCTCTTGGTTCATGCTGTCCAAGATAGATTCAACCCTGCTGAGATCGCCACTTGCTGCAGCGTAATGCAATGCGGTCTCGCCATCTTTGTTTTTCACTCTCGGATCTGCCTTATGTTCGAGTAGGTATCGGACTACTGTACCATACTGGCCTTCATCATACTCATACTCATCGATGATCAACTCCTCTGGTATAGAGACGAGATCCGCAACATTCTCGCTTTTTGGCCTAACACCAGCTGCCAGGTGAAGTGGTGTGTTGAGGTCGTTGCTTTGCGCATCTATGCTGATATCCGCAGTTTCCAAGAGCAGCTTGACGATACTCGGGTTCCCTGTCTTACTTGCTAAATGCAGCGCAGTCCTCCCGTACTTATCTTCGGCGTTGCAGTCCGCACCTGCACCGATCAAAAGACTTGCAATCTCCAGCTCAGAGTTCTTGCTGGCCTCCAGCAAAGGTGTATATGAATCATTGTCAGGTATCTCAACTTGGGCTTTGGAATTGGACTGTCGTAAAAAGATCTCGACATAATCCGGGAACCGCTTCGTCGCCGTCAGCAAAGGAGTCCAGCCGTCGTTATCTTGAACGTCAAGTCTCGCCTCGAATTCAAGCAGCGTATGGACGGTTTCTTTGTGCCCTCTCCACATAGCCAAATGCAGCGCAGTAAATCCATCAATCCCATCCCTGTCATCAATGTTCGCGCGGTTGTTTTTGAGGAGGGCACGGACTATCTTTTCGTGACCTTGGTAGCTTGCATTATGAAGGGGGGTGTATTTCTCGTCATCAGCGACTTGACTGTTGGCGCCGGATTCGAGAAGTAGCTCAACAACTTCGAGATGGCCATAGTAGGCAGCGTCATCTAGGGCAGTGGTGTCTTGATATTGTAGCGCCTCAATGTCCGCTTTTCTCTCGAGAAGTAGTCGTGCCATTTCAGTGTGGCCGGCTCTGCAAGCTAGATGAAGTGGCTGCCGTTCTTTGTCCTCTTTCTTCGAGAGGCTGGCGCCAGCATCAATAAGAATTCTAGCTGCCTCAACCAGCCCTTTCTCAGCTGCGACGTGGAGAGCCGTTTTACCGTCTGTGTGAGGCAGGTCAATCTCTGTCTCTTCCAGGTCGAGCAATGTTCGGAGCTCATCAACGTCGGTTTCAAAAGCTTGTGGCTTATCTTTTGCCATTTTGTCCAGCAATTTGTGCAAAGGTCTTTGGGAGAAATCGATCTCATCTTCCCCCTTCTCCTCAGCTTCAGTAGGGTCATCATTATTGTCATTGGATTCGTGATCAGAAGCTTTCTCGGAAGACCCCGAATCAAGCGCATCACCAGCCAAGGGCTCTTCCTGCGTTTCGCCTGACATGACGATGGAAGATTGGTGGGAAATGGTAAAAGAGTTTCAATTGCTAAAAGGGTGTTCAATAATTTTAGAAGTCTTCGATCTCTCACTTTGCAATCACTTCAAGAGGATGTCGAGATCGTCTTATGGTTACTTAACCCTAGTCACAGGCTAATTATTCAGCGGGAGAGTGCGCTGTTGACAATTTGCTTTTCATGATATGACTCTTCTCCCGTCGGTAATTGGTCGTTGTTTTGCCGCCCCCGGCCCTCGTGCAGAAGCTGAAATGCAGTCCCACCAATAATTGCCAATAGTTCAGGGGTGTGATTGGCAGTGGTAATGCACTTTCTGACGTTGGATTCTCCAGACCCTGAACCCGGAAATGGACGACCCCATAGATCGTTTTCTAGGGCCATGATTTCAAGCCTGCTTGGCTCTTTCGGACCTTCATTGTCTCTCTATCAAGCCCAAGGCGTCCCAACATCGCCTAACAGCAAGACTCTTTATTTGTTTTCGGAGGAAGTCACAATGTGGTAAGCAGCGTAATGCCTAGATCCCACGGTATGAGCGAAGCCTGGAACGGTATAGTCAAACCTGCATTGGTCTACCGCTTTGGGCAGAGAGTGCAGCGTGGTATTGCAGATCTCACTCAGAAATTCACTTTACCCGACCCTCCATTGTTCAAAAGGAAAATACGACATATCGATTCGGTATCGGCAGGCTGTTCAGCGCTGATGTTGTTATCTTTGCGTGGACATAAGCACATCTACTTTCCCAACAGTAGTCTATTCATTCACTCATTCGATACAGAGCGATGTCTTCATCCAACACGCATCTAGAGCCAATGTATCAAGATACCGTAGATGTTTAAAATATATAAGTTAATAGCTAGTCTTGAAACAATGTAAGATAGCTATTTCTCGTTGGACTTAGTCAGGGAATTGTCAACTGTCTGGCCAGTATGGCCAGCAGCAGCCAGTTGCTCCTCGGCAATTCTATCCTTCTCCTTATCCTCAGTCTCCAGCTCAACATTCTTGAAGAAAAGCATCATTAGAAGAAGAGGAATAGAAAGCGATAATGAGCCAATGGCCAGTGTCTGTTGGGTTGTGCGGTAGCTCAGGTTGATAGCGTCTCTGATCTCGGAACCGGGTTCGTAGGCTTGAGCGACCACAATGGACCGGAAGATGGCAGTCGAGTTAGCCTTGGCGGCTTCAGGTAAATTTGCTTGGAGTCTTCGAGGCAGAAGAGTGTTCCAGAGAGCACCTCCAATACTAGACATTGGGTCAGCTTTGAGCGCCTATAAGCAGTTTCAAGGATCCTTACCTGTTGCCAACATCGGCACCAAATCCAGAAGATGAAAGAAACATTGCCGTCGCGATACCAATCTCATGATCGGGAACTGCAGCTTGCAGCGCAACTTGAAGCGGCACTTGAGCAAAACCACGACCGAGACCAAGAAGGGTTTGACCTGTAGTCAAGGCAGCTTCGTTGGCAACGCGGGACCCCTCGATGTTAGTAAAGTAGATTGGCAGACCGTTTGCGAGAGCAACCATGATGAAGCCCAGTATGATGAAAGGCTTGGTATGTTTTACAAATCGGATAGCGAGACCAATCACGAGGCCACCGAGGTTGAGAGCGACTCTTCGGGCGTTACTGTACCGATTGTTAGCGACAGTGATGTTTGTAAGGTGTACTGACTTACTCAATTCTCACGGCATGGCCGGGTGAATATCCACCAGCAACCTGTAGGAAACTTGGTGCGAAAGTTCGGTATGTCGAGTCGGACATGGCAATCAAGCACACCGAAGCACAGGCGAGAATGACATTGCGATTCTTGATCATCCGGAACGGAACGATAGGCTTCTTAGCATATCGGCCATCCCAGATCAGGAAGACAACAAATGTCAAGACTCCGACAACCAGAAGCACAATTGAAGAAGGCTCAGACCATCTCTCTGTGTTTCTCCTACCTGTGATAGACAAAGGAAGAAGTGTCATAGCAAGACCACCAAGCAACAGAAACGCACCAACCATATCCAGCTGTACATAGAGGACTTGCTTGATCTGTACCAGCAGCGAAGCACCCTCGGGAATCTCGGAAGCAGCTCGTAGTGAGGTGCGCTTCTGCTCAATTCCCTTCTTCCTAGCTCTCATCTTCATGAAGATCATGATGGCAATGGTGGGCAAGGCACAGAAAGGCATTATGGCAGCCCACATGCCAAAACCCCAGCGCCATGAGGAATTGAGCAGCATGTGCTCACCGAGGTATGTGCCGGCGTATAAAGTCGGAATAGCTGCTAGCGACTCTGGGAGCGTAAAGAGGAAACCACGGTTGATGAGAGATGTTACTTCAGCGATGAAGATCTGTTCGGTTATAGTCCACCAGGTATCTCCGAACGACTCGAAAATGCCTCCGGCCAAGTATGTCTCTACGTTACGGCAGGCAGCGTAGAGAACGTTTCCTAAAGCCATGCTAATTGCCGCACCGGCGAATCCTTGGGGTCGTCCTACATGCTTGCTAGACGTCAACTTTCTCGTTCCCGCAAGTGTCGGAATCTATTTATACTTACATCCGCGACTTTTGCCATAAGCGGGTACCCAACAATGCGGACAATTCCGTGGATGATGTTGGCCGTTGCGATGAGCGAATGGCCCTGGAAATGACTTGTAGCGTAGGGATCGTAAACGCCGGCGGAAGAAGCAGCGAAAACCATGCAGAAGTTCATGACAAATAGACTTCAGGATCAGCATGTTGGTTGCAGCAGTTTGGGGTTGTGAGGTTGCTTACCCGCCAAAAGCGACCATGAGAGGGGACTTGGTCCAAAGCTTACGAATAGCCTCGGTTGGAGTTGGTGCGACACCATGTTGCTGAATATCGGCATCAACAACGCTCTTCTCGGTATTAGTCGTGCTTTTCTCGTTATCCGCCGAAGCGGATTGCTTCGCCGGCGTGATTTCACTCGACATGATAGATGCGCGATAAAATTGAAGCAAAGATTTTATCGCGGTGTTACGCCCTTAAGTACATTTTGCTTATCCCACGCCAAGCCCGACCACCATACGAGAATGAGTTTGACCAGTGCTGTAGACGGACTAGAGGAAGCTTGGCAACGGGTCAGACCCTGTCGTTTTCAGGTGGTGATCTAAGATTATCTTATCAGATCATCTGATTTGCTCTGATAGCTCACTAAGAAAATTAGGTAGTGGGGGTTGGTTTCGGCAAGTTCGGGGTATCGCGGAGTTAAAATCTCGTTCCAGCATGTGGTCCGATAGCGGAGTGGGATGGAGGATGACAGTACGGAATTTCAACACTTGGTATCGGAACAATTCCATCCTTTTTCCTCCCCTGGATTCATCAATTGTCTCCGCCAGAGTAGAGATCACATTCAATGCAGCTTTGGTTCCATATGCGACGACAGCAAATCTCGAATATTCCATTGCGCCGCCTCATCCACCCAGCCCTGCTTTGAGGGATCCGTGAGAAATCTCACAGGGCTTGTCAGTATAGACTTACTAATGTGATGTATTGTCCCTTCCAAACTCTTCCCAGGTCGGGTTAGGGAATATTGCTAGAAAGGGTCAGAGAGCTTAGGTTCAAACGAGATATAGGGTGAGCTAGTATGTGAGTTTAATAACGAACAGTCATTGAGACTGTTAAATGGACGTGGAACTCTATCGAGGTCTGGCTTACCGTATGGAATGCAGGTGTTGTGTTGTGACCAACAGGCAAGACATCGTGAACCAGGCTAAATTGAAAGTGCGCTATACACTATAAATGTCACTGTTGAATACACCTTTTCCAAGGGATTGAGATTCAATAAGTTGGGCCTATGTATTTCTAAAGCAGCCACCCACTATTTCTGTGATAGAAGGGCGCTCATATGTGGTAGAGGGCGTTGAAAAGCGATATCTTCAGCTTCACTGAATGATCCATTGGCCCCATTCTTGAGGCGAAAGGACTAGCCCACACAACATAGTAGACAGAGGGCGCACGTCGGATAAGTGGCACAGTTGTTCGGTCGGTAAGAATGATAGACCGAATCATATTTGTTTTGGCGCTTCCCTCGCCGTCTCTTGCCTACGCCTTCTGGCCACATGAGGAAACTCTACGATATCATGAAGGGATGTAATGCGATCTGAAAAGCCTAAACAAAATCGGTCTTATCAAGCTGCGTTTTAGAACTGATATATAGAGCCTATTTACAAAACTTGGCTGCAATCGCAGTCAGACCCTGAGCAACAGTCTTGATGGACTCTACCTCAATCCATTCCTTCTTGGAGTGCAATCCATCTTCCTTCGGTCCCCACAAGAGCGCAGGAATGCCTGCATCGGCCAACAAAGCACAATCAGGCCAGTAGGGAGCCGCTTTGAAAGGCAACTTTTCCCCAGTCGTAGACTGAAGTGTCTCTCCCACAAGTTGAGAAAACTCATGGTCGGTTGAGAGCTCAAATGGAGATCGGTTAAACGTCGCTTTGATGTCGTATTTAAACTTTGGCGTTGACTTCGAAATTCGCCCCAGGATTTCGACAAGCTCTTCTTCAACGCTCGCAGGTGTTTCTCCTGGTACTGTACGTCGCTCAATGGTGATTGTGCAGTTTGCTGGGTATGAGGAAATTTCTTCACCTCCTTTGATGGTTGAAGCGTGCACGGAAAGGCTACCAGCGTAACCACTCTTTCTAATCGCAAGCCGATCAGCATAGCGATCCAATTCTGCTAAGAAATGGCCAGCCTTGGAGATCGCGTCGACACCCATATCCGGACTGGAGCCATGATATGCAACGCCATGAATATTGGCTTCGAACCACACAAAGCCCCGATGAGCGTGTATAATTTCAAGATTCGTCGGTTCGTTAACAACAGCAGCATCAGCCGTCCATCCAGCGCGCAATATGTCCTCCGTTCCGATACTAGTATCTTCTTCATCAGCTACACCCGCGAATATAACATCACCTCTAAGGTTGAGGTTTTTCGCATTGACCAAAGCCACCATAGCCGCTGCTAGTCCATACTTCATGTCCGCAGCGCCGCGGCCGTAAAGCTTCCCGTCTTCGATTTTCCCACTCAAGGGGTCACCCTCATAGCCAAGCAACGCAACTGTGTCGAGATGGCCATTGAACATGAGGTTTTTGCCCCCACCTGAGCCGCGAGCTACACCAACGACTGAAGGCCGGCCTTTGGTAGGTTCAATCCAATGAACCTCGATATCGCGGCTTCGAAGCCACGACGCTACATAAGTCGCGATCTCAGTCTCTCCGGGACCGCCGACACTACCAAGGGTTGGACTTGCGGAGTTGATGTGAACGAGGTTTTGCGTCAGCGCCACGGGACAGTCGTCCATATCAGTAAGTGGGCGCTCCATCGGATGACTGGTAAAGGGAAAATTGGAAGGTAATGCACGGTGTTATGTACTAAATAATGCATGATGAAAGAAAAGATAAAGACCGATCAGCCCTCCGAGAAGCATTTTAAAGCCTGTTCCTGTCATTGCGCCCTTATTATTTGTTCTACAATTTATATGGATCGTGCGCCCTCTCGGGACTTACGCCTCGGAAAAACTCAAATAAGAGGGTTGGGCGGTTGAAAGTTTGACGTTATAAGAAACTCTTTTCTAAAGGGCTGAATTCATTATAGACAATTTGAATCAACTCTGAGGAAAGATTGAGTGTTGATCTTATGACCAGCATCATGTCCGTAGCGTTAACAGCATTGGATGGAGAGTCACGTAAAACCATAAGGCTAACCTGTTGGTCTAACTGAGACCTTGAATCGGAATAAAAGGTCCGCAGCGAATGACAATTTTCACCTACGCAAGGGAGTCTTCTCAGGACAATACAGACCGCTACTGCAAGGGAGAAACTGGAAATCTGGAATTTGGATCGGCCTTTGCCCTACAGATGGCGGCTGAAGTGGCTGGCTGGACCTCGTTATAAATGCGGCAACATGGAGAGATATTCTGACCAGCAGCAATTTTCTATAAGCTCGCGATAATTACCGTTTTAATCAATTAATTCACTGGACTTTTTACCACCGTCACATTCGCAACCTAAGCTGAAAACAAGCCCACCATCAGAATTGCTTTTTCCTTGCAGAAATTTCTTTCATTACGTATCATTCGTTCATCCTCATCAAACCTCCACTTGTATTGCAACTCCACGCGGTCGATCTGTCAGTCTATTTTTATGGCAGCTGAATGATCAACCTGAACTATCTGTTTCACATCCCCGTCTGTGCAGTTAACCATTTAACATGGCACATTTCGCATAGACTCACCGGAGTGAATTAAACTTTTGGGTAAGCAGCTCGCAAACTAACCCGAGCGTTGACAATTGTTTCACATGACTCGTCTAGCGTGAAACAACTATTTTAATTGGTTAGCTTAGTGATTCGCGGTTCCCGAGACAGGGGTTGTGGATGATATGATGAAGGGTCGTCGCGTGGGCCGTGGAGATTGTGGAGATTGGACGTTGAAATTCCTGGTCTTGACATTTTATTCTACACGCATAAATCCAGAATAACAATAGAGCAGAAACAATAAAAACACATAATCTATTCAACATTGCAATTACAGTTAAAGTCTCCGTAGCATTTACTATCTTGATTGTTTTTGAAAAGAGGTCCTCTCGGAGCAACTGCAGATACGAAGTTCCACAGCTGAAAATGCAGACGCCAAGAGACCTGTCATTTTCTGCCCCCGCTGTGAAATGAGTCCAAGCTGATCAGTGCTCGATACGAGTTCAGCTCAAACGAGCACGAATAGAAACGCGCTTTGTCCAACTGCCGGTCGGCGAACTGCAGTGGTCCATGTCAAGTGTAGCACCTGTCGTTCTAGACTAATAATGCAGCTACCCGTCGATCCGTATAAATATCCCAATGGACTCTCTCATCTTTAAAGTTTCTTAACAAACAATCCCGACCATTATTCCCTCTTTTTTTTTTCAAGATGTATCTCAAACACCTATTAATCTCTTCCCTGGCCGCTGGAGCATTCGCTGCACCCAGCGAGTCAACCACCAAAGCCTGCAAAGAAATCTCCAAAGCTCTCGGCAAGAAAGTCTCTTTCCCCTACACAATCAACTTCAACTCAGAATCATCCGGATACTGGTCCACAGCTCTACGCGAGATCAAGCCCGCCTGCGTCATCAGCGCCAAATCAGCAGAAGATGTCTCCACAGCCGTCACCATATTGAACAAGTACCCCGACGTCAAGTTCGCTGCCAAGAGCGGTGGTCATGACCCCAATCCTAACCATGCGACTGCTGGAGACGGTGTGCTTATCTCTCTGAGTGAGATGGTTGGCGCTACTTATGATGCTGAGAAGAAGATTGCTTATGTTAAGCCTGGTGGCGAGTGGAATGATGTTATCTCTCAGTTGAACAAGGATGGTGTTACTATTGCTGGAGGACGATTGGGATTGGTTGGTGTTGGTGGTCTTTTGACACAGGGTGGAATTTCTTTCTTGAGTGCTCAGTACGGTTTGGCTGCTGATAACGTCGTTTCTTGGGAGATGGTTAACCACAACGGTACCATCGTCAACATTGACGCTGAGTCTCAGCCCGACCTTGCCGTTGCTCTCCGAGGAAGTGGCAGCCAGTTTGGTAAGTCCCCAACATATTCCCCCGGAAACACATCTAACATTCCTAGGCATCGTCACAAAGTTCACCGTCAAGGCCTACCCCATCGGCAAAGTCTGGGGCGGCATCCGCACCTACGACGAGTCCAAGACAGATGAACTCTACGCAGCCATGCACAAGTTTATCCCATACAGCAACGAAGACCCCAAGGCCGCTATCATCACCACCAGCTTAATCCTCACCGGAAGCAGCAGAATCAACCTCATGTTCTACTTCTACGACGGCGAGAAGCCCCCGACTACTGGTCCTTTCGCCGACTTTTTGAAGATCAAGTCTACTCTTTCAACTACCAAGACGCAATCGTATCCTGAGCTGCTCAAGTCCAATGGCGCTGGGGTTTCTCTTCTGAACTCGAGAATCTCTTTCCGTACTGCCACTATCCCTTACTTCCCCAAGGACTCTACAGTCTACAAGCAAATCACCGACAAGTGGGTCGCCATCACAAAAGACTACTTTAAGCGTCTCCGCGGTCTCGCCTCTCAATGCTCCGTCGACTTCCAACCCCTCCCCGCCGCCATCGGCAAGAACACCGAAGCCCGCGGCGGGAACGCCATCGGTTTCACCGCCAGCGATCCTGACCGCGTCCTTCTCGAGATCCAGTGCGCCTGGGTTGAGAAGAGATTCGATAACATGGTTCGTCAGTTCTCCCGCGATCTATCTGATTGGATTGAGGAGAAGTTGCCTGAGTGGATGGAGAAGAACGGAGAGCCTGCTGATGCTTATCTTCCTCTTTTTATGAATGATGCTATGTATGATCAGAATGTTACGGGTACTTATAAGGATTATGCCAAGTTTAAGCAACTGCAGCTTGAGGCTGATCCTGAGGGCACTTTGAGGGAGAGGATGGGTGGTTTCAAGTATTGATCTCATTTCTTAGCGTGATTTTCCATAGCATAATTTACTTAATAATTCTATATCTAATTATATACATCCGTCCCTCGGCCACATTGCTTGTATAGTGCAATGGAAGAAGTGACAGCCCGGTCATGAGTTGATGCCTGTCAGATTATTTACTAAAAAAAGATTAGCATTAACGTCTATTATAGAATCAGGCGCAGTAGACTTACCACTTCAATCCATCTCGCCATCCACTTCTCAACAGCCTGTTTCGCCTCATCGATAAGGCCAAGTTCTATCACTAGTTAGCATGCATTCCACTTAACACCTCCGACTTATGCGTACCTAGCAAAAGCTGAAGTGCGCCACGAATGCCAGAGTCCAGAGCAGAGGCGATCCAAGCATGAGTGTAAGAAGTATGCTCGCCCACAAAGATCATCTACATCAACTGATTAGCCGAAATCCCCAAAGAATGAAGAGCACTCACCTTGTCATAAGTCTTGAAGTACTCAGGAATGTAAAGCTGATGCTGTCCAGCCGTAGGACTAGCCCAACTTCCAGACTGAAGAGGATCGAGAGCCCAGCACTTCCTGTTGAACTTGCCAGTATACAAGTCCCTGATACCCTCGCCGTGAATATCTACCATAGCATCGAACACCATCTGCACATGCTCCTCTTCAGACATACTGGCCAGACGGACTCCCATGTCGCCGCTCTGGTAACTAGCTAGAATAGTAGCAGGACCAGTACCATTTATGTTGTAGGATGGGTAACAAATAGATCCGATACCTGGGATATCGCTGGTAGTACTGCATCCTCCGTAGATGGGATTCTCATAGTGCTCCCAAAATCGCTCCGAGAATTCGAGGGCGACTTTACAGGCGGAGCTGTATGTTAGGCCCTTGATGGCGTTGGAGATGGTTGGTGGAAGACTGGGAAGACGCCAGCGTCGAACAATAGAGAAGGGCACAGCGATGACGGCGTAGTCGAATGTCGAGTCCTGGAACTCTGTATCGTTATACTGCTTTCGCCATTGAAGTGTGACTTTATCTGCTGAGTCACTGTATCTGACACGCTCGATCTTACGACCCATGGTAGTAATATCATCAACGTGAGGATGGAATGAGAGAGGCAGTCTGTTAAGACCTCCGTCAATGGTCTTGTAGCTAGCCGCGGAGAAGTACAATCCTTCGTAGAGCGAGTCCCAAAAGGTAGTCGCAGACCAGTCACCAAGAACATCGGTGCTGTTCAGACTAGCCTTGAGGTGGTTCACCATGAAAGCGTACTCAGACCATTGATCACCACCAAGACCGTTGAGACCCGTCTCGAGCCATTGTTTGTGAGCTTTGAACATGTTCTTTGCCATAAGAGTGCTGAACTCAGAGCCGGGCATGTAAGCGTTGACCTTTGCCTGCAAATCCTCGTTTTCGGGACTGAGCGCAGATTTAACACCGAGGGTACTGTTCTTCGCGATCTGCGCAAGAGTTGGAGGCATGCCGTTCGGAAGCTTGAATTCATTCTTGTACGAAAGACCATTGGGATCAGACTGGATCCAGCGAATAAAGTCAACACTCAAGTTCTTATCATGATTATTGAGATTATTCATCTCATCCGCAAGTTGGAACACCAATTGATGATCCGTGATATTCATCGTCTCATTAGTCTCAGGACTCTTGTAAGTTGCAGGAAAGCGCATAGGCCCCATCTCTTGGTAAGAGTAGTCAAATGGACCGCCGGATAGATACTCTGTGTGAACTCGGCCACCGAGACGTTGGCTGGCTTCGATGATGCTGATATTGGTCATGCCTGCTTGGGAGAGCACTAGGTATGTCATTAGCCCGGACATGCCTGCTCCGACGATTGCAATTTCTTTGGATTTGGCGACTTGTTCGTCGACAGTGGTGATGTTCGTCTTTGTGAGGTGTGCGACACCGTCGAACCATGGACCTAGAACATCGAAGCCATTCTCCTCCGTCATGACAATCGAGTCTGAATTTTGTTAGTAATTGGACCACGGATGGTATCTAGCTCGGCTTACCCTTTCCTCTCTTTTGAGGCGCTCTTCGCTTTACGCGATGAAGTTTCTGAATGTCACTCCGCCCAACAAGGCTGCCATCGCGTTTCCATGCCGAGATACATCCTTTGTCGTGAGTACCAACAGGGATAGCCCAGGCCAATCGCGATACACGCCCGCTGACCGTTGTAGCGATAGTGTGATGAGAATCGGAAGGCGAGCTGGCCGTGCAAGAGCCATATGTGAACGTCAAAGATTCAATTGTTGGTTGAGCGAATCTCACGTGAATATTAGCCAAGTGAGAAGTTAAGGGCTCACGAGTCTCAATGTGAACGGGAAGAGAAGAGGCAAATGAGCCTGCGCTCAAGGCGAGGCTGGTAAGTGAATACTTCATGATGGAAGCTTATGGTGAAGATGGGTTGCCTTGCGTGATTTGCCAAGAAGAAGCACTTTTTCACTCTTATATAAATATCAGTCTTGGTCTGAGTAGAATTATTATTTTGTCAAGTACGCATTTGCAGATCCCCTCCACAGACTTGTTATCGCGATTCCCCGATAGCTCCCACTGCTATGGACAGTCCCATTCTTAATTAGTAAGTCTATGCAGAAGCGAAAAGCTCAAATAGGTTAATCTACGAGAGATGGTAGTCGAAACCGCTCAATCGCTCGATAGGCGAAGGATGATAGGGAATTTGTCTCCGATCCGGCAACTGGAGTATTAAAATCCCGGTGAAACAACGTTTGGATTGGTCAGATATCAGATTGAACGTGTTTCTTATCTCGTTTATATGCGGGCATAGATATGGTAGCGAGATCTTTTACTTAGCCGGTGGGTTGTGGTTGCATTCATTGTCTTATCCGTTGTCTTATCAATTCCCGGCCAGATAAGGATCCATCATCTGCGTCACCGACAGTCCGGTCCGTACGGAACATCGGATCTGGAGATATGACATTCATACAGCGTGGGGTAAGTCTGTGCGAAATCGGCCATGTCTGACATCTCACGATCCCTTCCCGGAGAAAGCAGTTGTGCCATGGAGTTGACCGTTGAGAATGTCTCATCTCCAATTAGACTGTAATAGGATGAAAATTCGCCGATGGCTTTCGCCTAACCATATGTACTGCAGCCGTATTTCCGAGCGCGATGTGACATCACCGTTTCACGCCCAATACGCGCCACGTGCGTAGCCGCGAAGTAAGGACGAGTTGTTTCATCACGATAATGGTAAACAATTCTTTAACGCTTGGTTTGATGTAGATTGGTCGCTGATGCATGAAATGATTTCATGTTGTCGCTGATTGTTGGGTGATATTTTGCAAAAGTCCGCTGAGCTCAGATAGTCTACGGTCATTCGAGCGAGTTTCAATTCGTTCAAATTGGTTCTCTACCCCATGAATACTGAAAAGAGCATAGCATATAGCGGCTATCAGCTTAAGCACTCGAAAGAGATATTATCACACAACATCAACTGAACATAGAACTTTACAGACAGCGATGCGATGCTATCACGAATCCAACATTCTTCACAACAGGGTAGGCTGTGGCTGGTAGATTGGTGGTTGTGGCATAGTGGGTCAGGCGCCACAATTATGCGCAAATTGATCCAAAAAGGTCTCTGTTTGCGAGCAGATCGAGGGGAAAATCGCGCGTTACACAAAAGACAGACCGATGAAGCACGTGACCGTATCACAATCAATCAGAACATCGCATTTGCTGACTCACACATTTCTCCCCCACCTCTTCAACTAAATTGAGGAACCGGTGAACCACCAACTCGGACCAACAAGAAAAGTACGTAACTTCAACCGGTCAAAGCGTCACCGGGAACTGTTTATTGCCGTCGGCGCCTAATTTAACACATTAATTAACCCTAGTATTTAGCACCAATCATGGTCTTTCCAGGCACATTGAGTCGCGGCTGTACCCGCTGCAGAAAGAGAAGAGTCAAGGTAAGTCAACGCACAGATCAATCCGTATTGGTCCCCCTGCATGATCTGATATTAACCCTTTCTTCCTTTCTTGGCAGTGTGATGGAAGACGCCCGGGATGTGAACGATGCGAGAAATACAAGGCTCCTTGTCCTGGTTATGACCGCCCATTGGCCGTGCGGTACTACGGGAAACCTGGTGAGACACTGGAGCGCGAGAAGCCCAAGGACTCAAGTACATCGAGTGGCGCAGAGTACAAGGAAGGCGGCCCTGTTGGGGGGATGGTTGTTCGGTTTCAGACTCCAGAGTTGATTGCGCCCGTGCTTCGCCAACCGCAGCCGTCCCTCGAAGAGGAATCTCTGACCTTCTTTCTCCATGAATACTGTGTGTACCCTTCCCCAGGGGTCTTGCGAGGTCATTTCGACTTCCTGGAGGGAATGTACAGGAATTCCGACCGTACGTCGTGCCTTCGGCCCACGACCCTTGCTGTAGCGTACCTCTCGCTTTCGAGGCACTATAAATCTTCAACGCTGTACATCACAGCCAAGAAGTACTATGGAGCAGCGTTGCATTCAGTCAATAGAGACCTCAGTGTCTCCAACAGAGCAAGTCTCAAGGAAGAGACACTGACATCTCTCATGCTGTTGGGAATTATTGAGGTACGTTGCCAAAGCTTAGGGATCTACATTTGGCTAACTAACAACCGAAGGACCTTGAGTGCCAAGGCCAGGATATCAAGACCGTGCATATGCACGGCATAGCTATGCTATTCGAACGGGTCGGGCAGAAAGTCCTAGCCGACGTTTCGTCCTCGTTGTATGCTCTGATCTTTGTCCACTTGGTAAGTACTGTACCCCCACAAAGCCTCGCCAACGACACGTGGGCCGCGCTTCTTTGGGCCCCCCTTACAACAAACCTTGTCCTTAATATGTGACATATGTACAGTATGCTAATACAATACCCAGCAAGTCCCATCGCTTATGTCCAAGAAGCCTATGAAATGTCTGGACATTCCCGAAGCCAAGAGGGATACGTCAAACCCTGTACTGCACCTAGCTATGGTCGTTGCCCACTGTGCCGACTTTTACAGGGCAGCCCGGCAAATCACGACTTCAAACGCGCCACCAGCCGCGCAGAAAGTTATGCTTGTAAAAGTCCTCCAGCAAGCCTTGAAAATTGCGCAGGGACTCGCTGCAGCCGAGGCGGAGACCATGCCTCCACAGCAAACCACTGAAAAACGCCCAGAAGGTCAAACTATCGCTGCGTTCGATTCGCAGTGGACAGCTGCCACGTGGTCTTTCTTTTCCTCGTGCATGATTGTCTTTTTTACAATGGTTCATAAATGCTCCGTTTTATTACTTGGACTCGGCCCGCTGGAACCTCAGGAAAAACAACTGGCTGAGACTACGGCTGGCATTTCCGATATGGCGCTCAAGAAGACAATTCTCGTGTTCTGTAAGGCGTTGCCCTATGTTTTTGGCGAAGTTGATGCGAAAGGACAACCTCGTAAGGTACCGCGACGACAGACTGCTGTTATGTATCATATGGTCTGGCCACTATCGGTTGCTATTGCAAGCACGCATAGCACCCCTCAGCAAGTGGCGGTTTGTCAAACGAGGCTTGATATGATTCGAGATATATACGGTGTGAAGCTTGCATGGTATTCCGTCGGCCTGGCACGAGATGTATTGGGATTTAATGACGTGGACGTATAGCTTTCAATGATTATACAATACAATCGATAGAAATAATATGACCTATCTTTCTGCTTGAGAACCATGCGTCCCTGCTTCACTCAGTCATCCCTTAGATACCACTCAATCAGATAACAGGTTTCCATCGACTGTCCTATTGTAATTCTATTATTTGATCCCTGAGTTTCCCCCACCAAGTAAATCTTTGGAGCTTCGGTATTAATGCTGGTTCTGTCCATTCTCCGCTCTTATCTCGACACATAGTCAGCTTCGCTTTGGCTTCGTTGCCCCCGCGCCGCAAGATGATCATCCCAACCCGTTCAAAGCCAGTATGACAATGTTGTCGTTTGACTTCTTCTCTCCCGATTGCAGCACCATGACTGGAAGCTTGAACTGACAGATCCCTGTCAGCGCCTCGTCGAGGTATAAAAAGGAGTGGTATGTAGTATCGCCGGTCTTGGGTATCATAGCCCAAGCGCCATCTTGCATCGCCTCCGAGTTCCACTTGATGACTTCGAACGACACATTTGCCATCATTCCTCTCAGTTCGATGACGGGCTCCATATCTTGTTGAGGGTTTGTGCTGCATGCCTTTTTGTAATCATCGAGTGACATTCGATGTCCGACTCGATGTTCGGGTGGACTTCCAGCTCGCTGTCTTGTTTTGAACACTCTAAGATCATATTCCAGACTGTTGCGACTGGTCGTTTTGATTTGGCCTTTCCAACCGGTCCAAGACCAGCTAGGGTATTCGGCATTTCTGACCCCTGGTTTGGTGTGATACCAAGCATTGATTAAATGGCCCTTCTTCTTCTTAGTAGGGATTGGGTTTCCATATAAGTGATAGCATTGCTCCTTTTTACGGAAGTAATTGAGTACCCCCAGGAATGCTTTCAGAGTATCGCCGTCTTTCGAGAGGGCCCTGTTACTGAACTCCATCAAATGTTTCCCAAAGTCCTTGGAGGATAGGTTAAGAGGTTCAGTATCCGTCAGGTGAGGAACCACTCTATCTCTGCTCTTCGTGGGAACTTCGTATGATTCAAGACAAGTCATAGCGTTGCACTGAAACACAACTTGCTCATCAGTAAAGAAAATCCGTCTGTGTGACAGAAACCCTTCCTGATAAGTCCAACCACGTGAACCCCATGGACTGGAACCTACCTTCTCCGCAGGAGGTGTGCCAAGGTAAATGAGCTTTGCTCCAGGAACTTGGGCGTATCGATGAGGCTTGCGACGCTGAGCAAAACCAGCCAGACCATAGTTAGAATCTGTCCCAGCAGCGTCCACTATCGTATAAAGTGCTTGCGAATAGATCTCGTCCATTCTTTCTATATCTTGCTGCTTTTTGGTATCATTACCCTCCTGGGGAATACACTGTAGAGATTAGCCTTTGTCATTCTGCTCTGCGTCTATTTCACATACATGTCGGTCGACCCATAAATATTCACAGTTGAGTTGTAAAGCCACTGTGATGCTGTCCCTAACAACTTGAGGAAATTTGTGATTGACGTCCCCCCAAACATATGACAATGCGGCATATATGCCATCGGCCGGTAGATCTACCAGTTCAGGTTCCTTCTGGTTTATGTATCCTGACCTTTTGCAGTCAATGACTCTCAAAGTATGGCCTGAAGAGCGAATGCCTGGCCTACACTTCGGATGATGCTCGTCGCAAGTGGCCATCCATTTTGCTATCAACCCAAAATTGATCTCGTCATGTTCGAAACGTTCACGCTGAACGACAGAGGATGCCTGAGGCGATGGCTCGACTGCTATCACATGGCCAAGTTGCCTTCTGTCCACAAGCGGCTTGCTGCCTTCAGAAACGATGGATATAATGGATGTTTCCGGCTGTAAACGGTTTCGGCTAGTCTTCGGACCTGTAAAGAACTTATACAAACCGATAGCGTTTAAAGCGCACGACAGATTGTCCAAGTCAGAGCTTTTCAACAAAGAGAGCAGCTGACAAACTTCACAAGGAGACAGCCGCAGCTCCTTGTGAGTCTCAGTGACCACCTCATTGAAGTAATTCACTGGTAGGTTGTTTTTTGACTTCTCGGCTAATAATGACCACTCTATAGCATTGCAGCGTTCACAAAGATCACTGGATGTTGATTTTGCCTTGGGCGGATCTCTTGGCGGTGCGTCGCTTGAGTTTAACCTTCGGCGTTTCTTTGAAATGAGTTGATACTTTGGAGACTGAGGACTGTCACACATTTTGAGCTCCGGATATTACCGCAGTGGGCAATAGGTTATGATAATAAAAGGAGTTGTTGAAGGAAGGATCAAGATAATAAGTTAATAGAAGGAGGGGAAGTTGGACCTGAGCCAATTGCTCATCCTGGTAGCAATGCAGTGCTGCTGACAAATATTACATGTCAATCCCAGTGTGCCTTACCTTAGAGGTTGGCCTTGGGCTGCTTATTCACATCTCACCAACATGTAGATCTTACTGTCTTGAGTTCTTTTCAATCTCTAGCAAATCAGGCGTACAGTTGAAGTCAAGATGTGGAGTAGATCTTACCATAAATGGCGTCCAAGGACGCCCGCTCACAGTGAAGACCTGTAATAACGCAGAGAGTTTCCTGACTTCCGTATCGCCAATCAGCGGGGCAATCTTCGGGGAACGGGCCAGTCCGCCTGACAACGGCTCAATTTTGCTGACATGTTATGCAATGTCACCGTGGAGCTACCCAACTAGGGAACCTGCATGACATGGATGATATGATGTTTAATTATACGTTGACGTTGCTGAGTTTGATGACTAGGACTACCTCCTGCTCATCGATAACGTGTTACTCGGAGTTTGCCGTAGTCAAGCCTGTTAGGAGTATGGCTATAAAGAATAACAGGGCCCAAAATAATCATCTTGACTGGTTTGATAAGTGCTTCTTTCGCCTAATGTTTCTAGTGCATGGCTTTCTGAGTCTCTTCATTCTGGAACGTCAAGGACGAGATGTCGAACACCTTCCTCAATCATTTCGCACAGCGGAGCAATATGGTGTCGTGGCTCCTTTCAGAGAGGAACATGAGCATAATAACGGAAACCGGCCCTGCAGACCAGAGGATCTCCCAAAGACTCCAGCTCCACCCTTTGACCAGGGAGATGAATCTTTAGATGATAGGCGCAAGAGCCGGGCCAGACGTCATTGACCACGCCCACAATATCATGGCGCAAGGGAGTTTGGGGAGTGGAACATATCCTGCAAGGTCGTTCCGCCGGTCGCTAGGCATGGCGAGCCAAAGAAGTCTTGAACAGATCTCAGTACAAGCAGACAACGAAAAGGCCCAACCAGCTGAGATGTGGCCAACTCCAAACTCTTCCATGATGCCTTCGCTATCGGCAAAGATGGCCCCTCCCATGTAGAATACAAAGATGTAGACATGGATTTGAGCCCGAGCATGTTGAAACAAGTCGTACTTAGCAGCAAAACCCTTCAAGTAATTTCGTATCTTGTCTGCACAGGCAAGAACAGTGGAAAAGTCTGCTTCAGGTTCGAAGGAATAGGTGTAATCATGAGAAGGAACATGGCCTACTCAACATATATAGACGTTCTCAAACCAAGTCCCGTCGACCTCGGGAGCCTATATTCCTCTTGTGTTCTGTTGAATTCTGTCCTTAGAGGTTTTACTATTTTAATTATAATCCTAAAGTATTCCTGCTTGCACGTCACACCTAGTGCGCACAAGAAAGGATCCTCGAGGATGTGTAGATCTTGTACCCTCTTGACTGTTAACTGCAATTTTCGGACGTTCGGGGTTACCGGCGTGTAAAGAAGCCCGACACTCCGGGGAGTCAATAAGTCTATGTTACGCTAATGTAAGAACGTGGCCTTTTAATTGGATGACTCCAGATGTTTGTATTGAGCTTTTGATCAAATTCCGCAGTCTTATTTGGCCTTAGAGTTATCTGAACCTTAATTGACCGCAGCGATAGGTTACACCCCTGAAGCTCAAGCCTTCCATAGCAAATGCCGACCCCGTGTTGGGTATAAACTGCGGGACAATGGATCAGTGATCGGCTTTTGTAGGTTTAACGATAGGTATGAATATATAAGGTATGATACAAACTCCGCAATCAAACAAGCCCAAGTCCGCATGTTAGTAAAGTCAGTCGGGGCTGTGGAGATCAAGATCAATCAAACCCTTCCTCTACTGGGTTTAGTGCCACTATTCATAGAAAGAAATGCTCCACCCATACGACGGACTTTGCTGAGTCGATGAAGCATGCCTTCCGACATTCCTGTCTGGACAACGGGCCATCCATGGCACCATGTACGCGCCACGATAGATATATATTGATAAACTATTCCAATGTTCACTATAGCTTAACCTTCACATTGATGCGGTACAATTTAACATCATCATTCAATCTATCAACACCTTTCACCACTAGTACCTGAGCTTTTACACGCACTCAAATATCCGTATTTGCCAACATGGTGTCGTCAGGTCCACTTCGTTTCGATGGGCGCGTTGCTATCATCACAGGCTCCGGTCGAGGCCTCGGGCAGGAGTACGCGCTTCTTCTTGCCCGGTTGGGAGCCTCTGTTGCTGTTAATAGCATAACTCCCGCCACCACCCACCAAACGGTCGATGACATCACGAAAGCCGGCGGCAAGGCGATTGCATGCGTTGGAGACATTTCAGACAATGATGTCGCTGAAAGCATTGTCGCAAAAACCATCGATGCGTATGGACGGATCGATATTGTTATCAACAACGCAGGCATCAGCGAGTCTCTCACCATCGAACAAGTTACGCATGAACTCTTTTGGAAGATGTTGAATGTCCATGTTGGTGGAGCTTTCAACATCACCAAGGCTGCATGGCCTTATATGAAAAAGCAAAAGTTTGGAAGAGTTATAATGATGCTCTCTGGCATGATGTTCGGAATGCCGACCCATATCAGTTATGGAACCGCGAAAATGGCACTCCTTGGTCTGGCAAGGGCTCTTGCAACTGACGGGAAGCATCATAATATTTTGGTCAACTCTGTTTGCCCTTCTGGCCTCACCGACCTGGCGGCGAAGCATATCCAGGACCAAGGGATGCTCAACTTCATGCAAAATTACATGCCTGCCGTGGAAAACGCCCCACCAGTTCTGTGGCTTGCGCATGAGGATTCCAACGTCAACGGAGAGAACTTCAGTTTCGGTGGTAGGTTCATGTCTCGAATCTTCATTGGAGAAACAGGTGGTTACCTTGGCTCGCGAGATGTGGATTGGACTATTGAAACTGTTCGGGATAATTGGGATGAGGTTATGGATATAGAAAAGTTTGATCTTGTTCCTGACGTGGAGACATTCGGCCCACGCCTCTTTAAGCGGGTGTCGGCTGGCGAGGGTCAGCGGTTATCAGTTGATGATCTGAACAAGGCTTTCTAATGCAAGGTCTTCGTCGTTAGATGTATAACCCAATAAAGAAAATCTTCGCATCTTGTTCCGATGGTGGGAGTAATGCCGATGTATCTTAAGTTGCCTCTTGACAGCAATGCACGAATAAAATAGCCAAGATAACATTTAGGGAAGTTATATAACTACATGTTCTTACTAAGGAATAGAATAAGATATAAAATGCTATTTTAACGCAAGCCAGGCTTGATGTGGGGGTTGCTTTACCCTTCATTGATACTTGATGGAAAGGGAACGTTTGGAGATTCTATATTACTGGAGTGGCTGCCCAGCGTTTGAGCCAGAGTGATGGCGTCGGATGGTGCCTTCACTTTGCTCCAAACCAATGCGCCCTCATCCTCTGAGCTCGGAGTTCTTCCGCACATTCAAAAAGCCCACTACGAGAACTTCTACTGCACCAAGGGTCAATTCAGCCTCTGGGTAGAGTCTGATTCGCCGGCACAGCAAGGTCGACAGTTGACGCCTGGGGACTGTGGTGCCGTTCCCCACAATATCAAACATACCTTTCAGATTCTCGATCCGGATACCCAGATGACTGATGTCATTCATGCTGGTGGTTTTGAAGAACTATTAATCGCTCTTGGCGACGACTTCTCGTCCAAGACGGGCAAAATGTTTGTCCCAGCTGCTCTCAACGATTCAAGCTCTGGCACTGGCCCTGATGTCATCACGGCTCTTGAGTCATTTGACGTCTTTGCTCAACTTGACTTCGAACCACGACAAGACTTTTCGAATGGCCAAGCGGGAGGCTTGTTCCAATGGCACAACGATACCGATACTCTTGCTGTTGACTCAACTACTCCAAACTTTATCGCCAAAAATAGGGGACCAAAGTACCTCAATAACATCGGTGGCACCTATCAACTCATCGCTCCCTTGGCCACCAAGGATCCAACTGGTAGCAGCTTTACTATGGGAACTTTGACCTTGAGACGTCAAATCGAAGGAATACGTGCTATCAGTACAAACCTGCGCGAACCAGTTGCTTTTCAACTCGAAGAAGGCAAGCTCAGAATCTCGATTGACGGATATGAGGCTATGGAACTGATACAGGGAGATGTGGTATTTGTTCCAAGCAACACTTCCTTCACTTACCATGCTCTGGTGCCTTTTACTAAGTTTCTGTATGTCAGTGGAGGCAAGGATGGCTTCGACCAAACATTAATGGAGGGAGCTAAGGCTTGGGACTGTACTATCTATCCAGTAACGTAAACGGTTTAGAAGAGACGTTTAAAATACATCTAGACTAAGACGATTTGGACGAAATCTTAGAACCCGTAATTTCATTGTACTGGATTATTTAACTCAATTCGCTTATTGATAGTACCTAGAATATACCAACCAAGCGGAACTTAAAAGTATTTGTTATCCTCCGTGATACCAGTCCCTTCAGCACGGCCACCATCTTCTGTATTGGCCTTGGTAGTGATCTCCGGATAGACAGTGACATCATCCGAGTACTGAGCAAAGTCACTTCCGTTCCCGGGAAGAGTAACCTTGTTGCTGATAACACCGACGAGCAGTCCATCAACAGCTGATCGATTACCGCGTTGTCTCTTTCCAGAATCGTCAAGAACTTCCCAATGAAGGTTCTTTTGAAGATACTCGATAACATGAGTTTCAGAAAGACTCTCTAACTCATCGGCAAAGTAACGTTCAACAAGCGCAATGGTAAGAGGAATCTGACCCGTGATCTCCATGTTGGCCGCCTGGTCTACCTTGCACTTACCACAGGAAGTCTTCGGGTCTTGTCCTAGCGGAGAGAATGTGCCAACGTGGTTGGGAGAGACGGCGTATAGACAGGTAGATTCTTCGGGTGGAACGGGGCCCAAGAATACATGGACAAGGTATTGGCCTCCAAGCACATGCTTCATGGCTTTGATGTTGACGAGCCATTCGAGGTAGCTGTTCTCCGGGACTAGCTTGCGCAGAGATCTGTCCTCTGGAACCTTGACTCTGGGTACTTGTACGTCTGGAAGAGCGTCTATGACTTCCTTCCTGCCATCTAGTGATGATACGGCCTTAGCAATGGAGAGAGCCGTAATTGCCGTGGTAGGCTCCTCAATAGCAGTGACGCGAGCAAGTCGTTTAGCTCGTGTTTGAAGTGCCTCCTCGGGCCTCATGTTTCCAGCGTTAGTTGCGGCAACCATTGTAGCGAGAGATCCTGTCGGATAGAGGGCCTCAAGCTTGCTGTAGATATCTTTGCGATAGTCCTCTGGATTCTTGAAGGCCCAAGATTTGGTCTCAGGGTAGGCATAGCCAAACTTGACAGTCTCACGAACATCGTCAGATGTCCAGAAGTTACTGGCATCCTTGTAGAATGGGACCAGCGGGGTGTTGGGACCTTCATCTTCCCCTTCAGCCGTGGTCCAATTACCCCAATCAGATGACTTGGTGGTCACCCAAGCCTTTGGGTCCTTCGGGTTGGCATGGAGGCCTTCCCAGATGGATACTAGACGGTCGATGTTGCTATCTGCTCATTAGCATAGTGGCTGGACCTGATTATCGGTAGAGCTTACGTATGGTGGAGCCAAAAAATCGGATCAAAGGCCGAGATGGGGACTTTGCTCATATGGCCAGTCCTTGGGCGATTGAGGTTATCACGCCCTTGACCACCGACGAGGGTGTGAAGGGAATTGTGTATATCCTCAATACTTCCGAATCCTAGACCGCTGGTCTTTGATGGTTGTCCATCGATGATGCGAGGCTTGCGCTTGGGATCCCATTGATTGTGGCTAACCTGGTGAAAAACACTGTAGGATTTGATCAATGTGTATATTTTAATGTGAATTGCCTAAATGCCTAGCTACTAACCGAATTTTCCCTTCTAATGCTAGTAAAGAAATATAAGATAACTTCTTTAAGATTAGTAATCTCTTATATTAACTTAAAGAAATTAATAATCTTATATATCTAATTAGTATTCTTACTAAAGATTTCTCTTTTACCCTTATTTATAATAACCTTAAACTAAGCTACTTATTTTAAAGCCCTTTTTTTCTAAGTTTTTATATAAAAAATAATTAAGATAAGAAATATTCTATAGGTAAATAAGTATAGCTATATATAGAAAGTTACCTTTAAAAGATTAAAAGATCTTTCTTTAGATTTTTAAAGAAATCTTACTTTTTAAGCTAATTTATAACCTTTTAAAAAAAGGTTATTAAAAAAATAACTAATACTTTAAAAATAATAATTATAAGCCTATAGTAATTAAAGCTCTTAAGGAATTTAATAACTATAAAAGTAAATATTATTATAATTAATATTTACTAAGAAAGTATAGTTATTATATATTAAATTCTTACTTTAAATTAATAAGAACTTATTAACTTTATATAGTTATAGTATTATTAATAATAAATAAAAAAGAAAAAAATCTAAATTAAAGTAAGTAAAAAAGGTATTTATATTATATTTAAATCTTATTTATAGAGTAAGGTAAAAAAAAGGTTATATATAAGTAAAGGAGTTATAATACCCTTTGTAAAGTGTAAATATTAAGAAAAACCTTATCTAATCGTAGGATTTGAGAAGATAGACAACTCTTTCGCGAAGGTTAACTTCAGGTGTTATCTCACGATTGACCTCTCGGGAGAAGGGAGTTAGCCTGCCAAGGATATCATCCTTTTGCTCAGTCGCGCTCCGGACAACGGTGCTGCCTTGAGACTGGTAGCGGGTCGTAGTCTGAAGGCCCTCGATCTTGAAGCCAATTATGTTAGCTACCATTTAGAATTCGTTAGTGGCATATGGGAGTAGCCTACTTGGAACGACTTGGCGATGCCAGACGGGAATTTGTACGAGTAGAGTGGATTCTGGATCTCAACAAATCCGTCGGCACCCTTCTTCAAGTCAGGATATTCTTGTAGCAAGCTCTTCGGAATGATAACCCGAGCTTTGTCGGAATCGGTTGCTTCTTCCGGAAACACTGGAAGTCCAGGACGAGCCCAGTCTATGAGACATTCTGTCAGTAAACTCCTGATTGATCCCTGGGATTGGATAAACTTGCCCCAAAATGGCATGCGGAAATATTTGGCCGCTTTAAGGTACTTGTCACGGCCTTCCTCAGCGGTAAACTGCTGCGCCACAAAGTCAATGGCCTGCTTCAAAATGGCCTGTGGTCTTGTTAGCGCTTAGATGACAGTGTTTGATGGAATTTCGGACCTCAAATAGTGCGAGGTAGGGCCTATGCCAGGTCAAGAACAAAATGGATGAGTGCGTGCAGAACCCATCTTCCTGCTTCTGGAGGCCTTCAATTTTCTTGTCGCCCACAGGCCTGGATTCATACGGCTCTCCATGAATACCTTAGAACGGTGAGCTGTTGTATCAGAGCTTCTTGGTTGAGGAGACCCACCAGCGATTTGGAAGTAGGAAAGTTGATCTTCTTTGGGAACCAGCTGAAACTGCCAGAGACCGAGAATATAAAGATTCCAGAGATCAGCGTTCTTCTTAAACTCGCGCAGCTCCAGGCGAATGCCACCAGTTCCTATAGTGCTAGTTAATAAAAAAAGGGTTTATTTTGAGTGACAGAAATCTCACCTGGCTGGTCGGGAGTGATTCCCTTGACGATGAAGGGCCCGTCAGGCTTAGTGGGATGGAAAGTAGGCATTTTAATACTGAAAAGAGTAACTTGTGCTGTTCAATTCACTCAAGCTTCTCGTGCAATTTTTGAAAGAATAAGGGCATAGCCATTGGATCTTATGTTTATGAAACTCATGATGCATGCTCACGGGAGAGGACTTTGGGCCAGCTGCACTACTCAGCCGCAGCCATGAGCTAAAGCAAACGAAGATTCAGCTAGTCGCCACAACCTGATAGCTGGCCAGCTTGTGGAAACTTCCGTCTCTTCCCTCTTCTCTCTAGCTCAAGTAGGTTAGGCCTTTTGGGGGGCCGTTCCGTCTGGCCCGTCATTAGTGCCAATGATTCTATCCGGTCATGCACTATTCTATCGTTCTCTCTGCACCAAGACCACCGTGTCTCGTTTCCAACAGCCAACGTCGGTATTTAGGTAATCAGGAACAGCTTTCTCAGCCAAGGAACTTGCGGTAAAGGATGATCGTGTTTCCAGTCTCGACCTCTAGCGGCCGCTACATGTTTTAGAAGAAGGTCAGCTCTTAAGAGGCGTACGTGGCTTGAGTCTGGACCAGAGCTATCTGCAATCAAGTGCCGATGGACCTGTAATAAGAGGAGTAGAAGAATGCGATCAATGCAGCCCGCGAGTTTGTTCCTGTTACTGAGACGTCACGAGATCTGGGCTAGGGACGGGAGAGCTACCCCGCACCTTAGCCATTCGCTTCAGCCAGCCACATTTCTATCTCACATAAGCATAAGCTGCGTGGAATATGGTGGAATTCAAGATGATGGCAGTGTCGTTGAATCCAAGTCTGCTTGTCAATGAGCGAGCAAGACACGTGATATGGCGTGTGGTATCTACTACGCAAATCGAGTTGTTAACAAGCTATCCTTCACTATCAAAGATATCATTGATGAGAGTGTGAGTGTACGTTTTATGGACGAATGCAAGTCCGCGAATGTAGGAATGACGGAAGGTAGACGATGACTACGGGTACTATGTATCATTTGTCGTGCTGATTTAACCCCGACGCGTTAAGCTACATAACTTTTCAAAAAAAAAAAGCTTAACTAGCTTGACAGTCTCAAGAAGGTCTCGCATACCTTTCCCAGCCACATGTCCTTCCACCGAATCATAGCTCCAATGTGATATACAACTCCATGCTAAAGAAAGGGATAATAGGCAGACTCTTTCTCCTTCGAGTCGCATCCAGAGTGATCTTAAAAAGGTTTGATAGATGCCTCTTCACTTCATCAAGCAACAAGCCTTCCTTGGAGGATATAATAATCTTGGGCAGTTTTCTATTGGCATTCTCGGTAAATTTAGTGGAATAGAATGACGTCGGGTCCTGTACATGGTATTTGAAAGCATGTGTCTCTGCGTCTCTTCCGACCATTGGGCTTCAAGAATTTTATCAAGAGTTTCATCAAGAGTTTATTAAAGAATAGTCGATCTCTACTGCAAAGCTCGATCCTTGAAATGCTGTAGTAGCTACTTGCATGGTTTGAGGCCTTCAAGACAGCCTGTGAGACAGTGATCGACCTCCTGGTCGAAGCTTGTCTCTGGCCGATTCAGGTAGGCTAGGAATCCCCCAGCAGAAACCCCTTGTCTGTCCTTCAAGTTCATCAACCAGTTGCCATCAATAGCAGGTTAAGTACATAATCATGAACCCCAGGGAAAAGTGTTGGTTTATTCGGTGCGCATGGGGGACATCTTATTACCAGATGTCTCAAAAGCAAACCCCGAGTAGCCAGGAACGCGCAAGCGCTTGCAAGGTGAAACAAATCAATGAGGATTCGGCAGTTGAATTTGCGGTCAGTCATCTACTGCTTTAGTACGGCACTCGCATCGATGCAGTCACGCTCGGAGACGGCCTACCTCCCGCTGTTTCACGGGGCCCGAGCCGCCTCCGCCCAGATGATGTCACTTGTTAGACAAATTGCAAGAATGTGATTAGAGCACTCTGTCACCACGATAGAACTGGGTTCATTCTCGGTGATCAGGTGCAGACCCCCTCGCATACGATGTTCAATTTCGCACCAACTGGAACAGTATTGCTGAAGCTTTACCCACAATACCTATTGCCGCTGAAATGCAGCTAAACAATTTCACGGAAGCTTGCATTATGCAGTGTTAACTAAAGACTGATGTTTATGACGCTGGTTCTATGCTATTTGTCTATATAAAGACGCGATACTGCCCGCAGAAAGTAGACGAATAGGTCTCTACATCAACTTTATCATTCCTTAACAGGCGATCTTCACATTACTTTCCAATACCACATCATTGACGGAAAACTTCAAGTGAATCGGCAAAAAGCCTCCTCTCACAACGGAACGCAATGAGCACCATGAACTCTAGATACAAACTCTCCATTGTGGAAGAGTGGCCCAATGACTTTCAAGATTTGACGATCTATGACAATCTTGATGGAAGTTTTGAGCTCGCTGCTCTGTCGTCCAGCTCTCTTTCATACTGGAAGTCCTCCTCCAACGAGCCGAAGGTGGTTTCAGCCGGGCGTTACCGAAAGGATACCCTCTACATCAGCAAACACCCAGACGCTCTCTATCTCTGGGCCTACAATGAGACATCAAGCCAGATTGATTCAATCAACCTTGGCACCAACAAAGTTTACCAGATCGCAATGCCAGACAACTTTGTCCTCAATCATATCACCTACTACTGCTCCCCCCGTCTCGACAAAACTATTTGTCTTGTCCAAGGAACCGTGGGTGGCTGGTCACAGCTTTACTACAGTGCACTCAGCTCAGAGGGAAATTTCACGACCTGGGCAGACTGGGCCAGGAGTTGGGTGGGCAAACCCGTAGTCGTTGAAGCAGACTCGACCCTCTGGGTCTATGCCACATTCTGCGACAAAAACGACTACCAAAACGTTGGATATCTATGGTGCTGGACTGCCGCCCTTGACTGGGGCAAATGGCACCAGATGGACCACATCGGCATAGATTGGCACATCAATTCAATTGCCGGGGTCAACGGTCGAAGGACCGGTAGTGGCCATGGGGTCATTGTAACCAACGCTGAGGGAGCCCACTTTATCAAAGCGACCGGAGGACACGACGACTGGCCTGCTGCCACGGGCAAGACCATCGAGGATTCCTTCTATCGATCGTCTGTCACTAAAGCCGGCGGGACAACATCTGGCAACGTTGGTGGCTTTGTCCACTTGAAGAACGGTGTTCTTTCCATGATAGACAACAAAGAAGACGTGCTTCACAGTGACTCGCTTGAGGAGGATGTGATGGCCTTTTCTGTTTCTCAACTGTCTGAGGATGACGATAAGAGCACGGGTTTCCCGATTGTGTTTTGCAAAGGGTCTGCGACCTATTTAGCCAGGATTGTTAGTACTGCATGATACCGTTGAAATTCGTTATTCTATCTAGACATCAGACAAAACAAAATACACCAATCCTTTATCGCGGTTGCCGTTGTTGATTGTGTAGTTGTTAATATTCTGGCCTTCTGGGGGCCGTTCCGTTCCGTCTGGGCCCGTTCTCCATGCGTCAGTAGCGCCTGGTTTCAAATTTGACTCATTTTCACAACCCGTGTCTCAGAACACGCCGAAAATAAGTGGAGGCTCAGTTTTCAGCTGTTGTCACAGATGTTATCTTCATCCTGACTCCAGCCTTGGATCGGAAAAAGTCTGGTCTAGACAGCTGAAAGCTGTGGTGTATCGCATCTCCCAATGAATTGATAATGATGGTAGATATGGTCTTTCAAAATATTCACTGGTGTACAGCTCAGTCAGCTTTGATCTTAATTGTCTCAGCAACCCCTCATTTCTTACCGAGCCACATTCATCGATACAATTACGTACGCAACTGCAAAATGGAAATCACAGCGCGACTTTTCCGATGGTCTGGTAAATACGTGCTATCTCAATTGATATTCTCAACATCCCTGATGCAATCTGCATTTATTTCTCACCAGAAATCTCTTCGATAATCTCAACTGCCCTCTTGAACTTCTTCTTCTCCTCCTCCCCAACATTTACAAAGCTTTCGCCGCCACCACAGCCCTGAGGCCCGCCATTGCACCATTCTAGATCATCGCTTTGCCAAGCGATGCTGGTATCCATGCGGTATATATCCTCGCTGCCGGGAGGTTGCTCTATAGGCAATTCCTTCAAAATACCATGCAACTCATCGATGACACCCTCATGGTCCCCGAAAACGATGGTTTTTAGAGATGCCGGCGTTAGGTCCGGGCTGCCAACCTCACGTTTTGCAACTGATATCTTCAAATCGTTGTCACTGCCGTCTATAACGATGATCAGACGTGGTGTTGGAGGGGCAAATCCTCCCGTTATTCCTAGTTATGATATTAGCTTTGTCGGGTTTACTGCAGATAAGTAGTAGTCACCTTTTTGGAGACGGATAGCAAATTCGGACGGCGCCATGATAATAAGAGAGGGCATAAACTTTGATGTTTTGTGATTGAAAAACGACGTAAATTCTTGAATCTTGATACACCAGCGACCTGACCTTTATAAGAGGCGGAGATAACACGTCATTTGTCTTCAGCATGTTTGTTTAAAACTCCGCTTCTGACACTAGGACTAATTCAGCTTAGCTTATTTCATTATGGTCCTGGATTCCCTGGGATACGAAGTGATTTTGGGGGAAGCTGCCGAGCTGATCTAATTTTAGAAGACATAACTTTCTGTTAATAACGAAAAGGCAATGACTAACAGGGGCACGAAGAGCTGGTCTACTTTTTCTTAGACATTGAGATTTAAGTTGCTTTTAACATGGTAGAGAAATATCAGTAATAATAAATGTCAGCGAGAGGTTGGGGATGGGTCAGATTATACCCTATACAGGTGTAAGATGACTAATAGAGTCAGCCAATAAGAAGGCATATTCTGCTATCACTTTGCCAAGAAGTTGTTGGTTCAGGCTCAATAGGAGGGAAGAACCCTTGTCGCATTTTACATGGAACGATATCTCGACTGACTCTGGTGCGGCAATTAAATGTCCTGGAAACATCATTGACCAATTCCTCAAGATGAACTGCCAGAAGCCAGGTCATAGGGAGCTGTGTCGTCAGCTCTTCATCACGCGCTATCAACAACGCCTTCAACGGTACACGCCACCTCCATACGGTGTACCCAGCAACAGCAAGGGTGATCTCGATCCGATTTTGCCACATCTCCTCAACGATAAAGAATTTTATCACGGCCGCCTATATGCTTCAAACGCTCGTCTGTCTCTAGGCCCAATATTATGGGAGGCCATAGGGATGATACCGGATGAATACAAGATCCTCTGTGATATGCTAGTTGACCCCAGTAGCACATTCTCGAGGACATATGAGGAGCACGCCAAGGGCTTGGTTTCTGGAATGTATTCAACACATCATGCCCGTGCCATGAGTCTTAATGACTTTTTCACGACTTTGAATTCCTGGGATCCAAGACACAGGGGGTTAGGTTTCCATAATCTAGCAAGTTGTTTAATTAACTACCATCGTTGGCTCTGTCACCATAACCTCGGTAGGTAGCTCACCGTAGAGGTCGTTAGGCATGATTTATTACTGATATACTAACGATACCGTCTAGCTGAACTCTGGGCACTAAGACCTTGTCATCTTAATATGATTCTTCCGCTGGAATATGGTCTCATGGTATACATGGATGATGAATGGAGACGTCTAGCCTGGGTTTACTTGGATAGTGCGCTCGCAGCCACTCCCAGTCCCACCAGCACGACACATATGGACTCTGAAGTTCTACAGCGCCTGCAGGAGCACAAAGTCCTCGATGATGAAGAGAGAGAGGATAACCCCCGTTCAGTCCAAGTACTCTTTTCAGCTGCAGGTACAGGAAAGACTCGTCATATATTCCAGCTTTTGCAGAGCCGCTGGGGATTCTATATGGTAGCACCCAACCTCCAGCCTGGGAAAGAATGTCTAAACGCCACCGACATCGTCGAGCCTCGGAGATATGGTGTTTCGAGGGACACTTGGACTATGTTTGAAGATCACCCTCAGATGGATCCCCAGTGGCCATCGGAAAATGTGGAAGTGTTTCTTTCTATCATCGCTGCTCGATGCGCCCTTCTCTATGAGTTCCTGCACAAGTATCCCGAGGAGACACCAGGAAGATGGCTTTCACTTCAGATAAGCTGTGAAACGTGCGACCCGTTCGACGCACTATACAGACTCTTCCGATTATCTAAGTCAGTGTATTTATACTGCGATTCGATGGTTGCGATCCATGCTGACATACCTGGCTATATGGTGCCAAGTTGCTACGCTCTCCTGAGAGATCTCCCGTCAGAGTACTTTAATGGTACTTTATATCATTGCTTTGATGAAGCACAGGTTGCCATTGATGATGCGAAATCCTCGTCTATGTTTACTAATCTGTATACAAGCCTGGGCCTATATGACATCCTAGCTACAGATTGGGAACCAAGTTTCTTCAAACGCGTAAGGCAACATGACGAGACTAGGGAGGAAGGCCAAAGCGGTCTGGGATGGATGGAAGAGGGTATGCCAGTCATATACCCAATACTATTGATATCGGGAACTTCTCTCCGCCTTAGAGAACTCAAAGAAACGCTTACCAGCTGTTCTTTATATACCTGGGGCATAGACCCATGGCGAGGATGGCAGGAACCTGTGTATCACGATGTGTTTCCATCGGTTGCTAGCGACCAGGACTTTTGGAAGCTATACGAAGAGCATACAACAAGTGTACTCACTGAACTCGAGAATGCCTACAACATGATGCTAGACCCTAGCATTGATCATATACCATTCATAAGTCGAAGCGGTCGCCCTTTGGCTGTGTCAGTAGATCAAAGCACGGACCTTTGCAAGATGCGTAAAGTATTACACCAACCCTTGGATATTCCTCCCTTCCAGAGTATCCTGAAACTTCTGGGGCAAGTTTACAACTTCCTTTCAGCCCAGGACCAACAAAGAAGCAGAGCTAACAAGGACTTCATCCCGTCAAGTCTCGAGGAGCTACTAGACCAACGGAGTTCCGAAAAAGTCGTTCTATTTCTCGTTTCCTATTTGGTAAAGCCGCTTGTTCACAAGCAGTTGCTGGAAAACAGCGAAATCGAACAGAAAGCTTTCAAACTCTTGACAGACTACGGCAGTCTCCAATTTGGCCAGCTGCTCGAATCAATCAAATATGAGGTTGCGCAGCCGTTGTCACCCAGCTTCTCCTTCACTGAGTCATCAGATATTCTACACGAGAACCTAAGGAACCTTTTTATGCGAAACCTCATTACATCCTGCAGCATCTGTCAGCGCGGCCGATTTAGGTGGTCTACAAACTTTATTGAAGAGATCATCATACTCTCTACCTCTTGGCACTCCACCAACTATACTCTTGCCTCAATCCGCTCATCCGTAGAGCAGGCCAGGAATAGTTCGAGAACCCGAGCTGTGGGAGCTCTCAAATCACAGGTTCGAAAGATGAAGGATGCGGGCAAAGCAGAGCTGGTTCAAGATCTGTTCCGAGCTGCAATTCGAGCCGAGCTGCTAAACACGCCCACAATATTCTCGAAGAAGGTCCACGCAGATTTGGTAACATACGGATTTGTTTTGGTTCAGCGGGACGGTGACACGATGAGATATACTCTTTCTGAGCCCATTGCTGTGCACGCCGTTATGGACTATTTGCGGACGGAGGGAGAGAAAGATTATCAAGAATTGATGTTGCAGTGGCTCGTCAACACACAGGATGACTATGAGGTTCGATCAATGTTCGGAAAGGCTACTGAATGGTTCGTTGCAATGGTAAGTTTCCCATGACGCAAACTCTGCATTCCCGCTATCACAAAGTTCAAAGAAATGCTGATTGAGTACAGTCCTTTGACCGGTTGCTAAGACGTCAGTCCTACGACGGCACTGCTCTACCCGATCTACTGGATGGAGCGAAGCGCCGTGGAGTCCTCTTAGAGGAGCTTGGCAAAGCTATTCGGCTGGATACTGACGGCAATGAAGCCGGCAATCTAGGGGCTATTGTTAAGATTGATGGTTATGCTTTACCAGAGGTTCCAACTGTCTTTGAGTATCAGACCACTGGTACCATTTGGAAATGGATGAGACAGTTTCGCCTAAAGGGATCAGGATCCACCCCGACTTTCATGTTCCCAGACATCAATGCTGGTCCAGACCTGATCTTCGTTCTGGAAAAGCAGCCTTCAATGTCAGATACCGACACTGATCAAATTTCGACGAACCTGCAACCTCAGGACGGAGAAAGAATTTTCGTTGCTGTTCAGGTATGCCAATTACATGTTTACAAGGCTAAGCTCACCTTTAATACTGCATAGATCAAAACTGGACAGAGTGCTCGATTCGAAGATGCCATGGAGACGTTGATTGAGTCCAATTGGCATAAGAATATGAACGACAATGCTCGAAACGATGACATACAAGAGTTAGACCACTGGAAGGACGTACCGATTTTGTTACTGTTGATTTGTACGGGCATCACGGTCAAACAGAAAAAGATTAAGAGGTGGATGGACAAGAATGCGTCTCGTATCCCGCAGGGCCGTTTTATATGTGTTCTGGACGAAACGGTGACAAGTGATATATGGGGCCAAGACTTCGTTACTCTGGCCGGCACCATCAGAAGACAAAACATGCAGCAGGAGAGTCCTTGGGAGCAGGATGTCAGGGAGCGTAGAAAGAGGGATATTGGAGGAATCACGTGGGAAGGTCAGCTTGCAGACCGATCAAGAAAGCGGCCTCGTATAGACGAATAGGAGGAATCGTTATCTTGTTGTAGAATACGTTTCCGAAGTAGCTATAATATGATGTGAATTAATGATCCTTGTTCTTGCATAGGTTCCCTTAAGTCATAGTTGAGCTTTGACATGCGTGCTTAGTTGAAAAAACAGGCGTCTGAAGAAAACGCAAGGACAGTGTTTTCCTCGTCTTCCAAGTCACAGGGCTAAAGTTTTGATTGTCTTAGAGAACAACAATGATGTTCTTATCGAATCTTTAAAGGGTTTGGATAATACAATACTAATTATGACTCTAGTAAAGATAAAGTTTGGAGTGTAATTGCGGTCAGTGAGTGGATAAAAGGCCCATGTCAGATTATGGAGCCACCTACCTTGCAAGGCCATTATTAGTAGCGCTTCATGCGCTTATTGGAATTGATTTCCTCAAGGCGGTGGGCCTTCCATGCTTGCATTAGGTGCCCAGTTGGTTAGAATACGGATTTGCGTTACAAGTCTGTTTCAGCCCAACGTATGTGGATAAACACCATGCACATCAGAGAGGGATATCTTGGGAATGTCGCTGGCTTCCCAATGAACTTCCGTAATATCAGGGCTTTTGCCCTTCACAACTATAACATTTATGGAAGCCAAGCTAGGTCAATTTCGCGACGCATTGGCCGCGTATAATCTGATACACCGTAGCAGGCAATATTTCAAACGTAATTTAACGTTTTGACTGAACAACCAAGAAACCCTATCATCGGCCAATACATCCCTTCAAAGAACCGCAGCTATGGGCTATCACACAGCTAACTTTGTTCCAACCCTTCGCCATAAGACCTATCCTGCCATTGACGAGAACAACCCCGAACTGTCAGCAAATGGCAAAGTAGTCTTCATTACAGGCGGTGGCTCAGGCATCGGGCGCCAAATCGCCAAGGCTTTCCTTACTGCTGGGGCCAAAGGCATATTCCTTGCTGGACGAAACGAATCGAAGTTGCAAGATGCAGTCAGCGAGCTGAACAATTTGCAAGGGTCTGCTAATAAGAAAACGACTTTTCACTACACCACGGCCGATGTCACAGACGCGGGTTCTGTTGCGTCCGCTTTCAAAAAAGCCAATGAAGTATTTGGTCATATCGACATTTTGATCCAGAATGCTGGCTACCTTGATGATCATGTTTCTGTAATAGACTCAGACCTCGAGGACTACTGGAAGACCTTTGAAGTTAACGTCAAGGGAGCACTCATTGTCGTCAAACAATTCCTGAAGCAGAGCAGAGCTGGCGACACTATTATTAACATCAGCTCTGGAGCTGGACATCTGCCCTACCTCCCAGGATACTCAGCCTATTCGGGATCTAAGCTTGCGTTTGCAAAGATCATGGAATATGTCCAACACGAACATCCTGATCTGCGAACCTTTAGTATTCAACCTGGAGCTGTTGAGACTGCGATGCAAGCCAAGAGTGGCATTCCTGCCGTTGATGATATTAGTAAGTCTCTTACTTTCGTAAGTGCGGGCCAGTCTAACCTTTTTTCTAGGCCTTCCGGCATCGTATTGTGTGTGGTTAGCTGGATCTAAGGACGCAGACGCCGTGAAGGGCAGATTTCTGTGGACAAATTGGGACGTTGATGAATTGAAAGATCGCGTTGAGGAGATTAAAGAGAAGAATTTATTGATTCATGGGCTAAACGGCTGGTAGATACTAATGTAGCTCCAATCCCTCTTGCTTCCTAGCAGGATATACTCCCTGTTGATGCAAGACTAGACGCTATGTTGCAGTTTATGCCAACGCCTCGAGTTCCTTCTTCTCACTCTCTCCTAGGAGACCCAGTGCCTCCCTTCGTGTCGGTGCAGATGCATCGAAATAAGGCTTCTCGGCCAGTGAGGTTACCCGGGTACCATGTCGTGGCTCTCTGCCGCTGTAGTCCCAACTAGCATTATGGATAGTGATGCTATAACAATCATTAGCCACAGACTTGGAAATCAGCGGAATACTCACCGGTTATCCCAGAGCGCTGAGGTTCTAGGCGTCCACTTAAATCGGACCTGTATGTCTACATTCGTCTCGTAAACATCATACAGATAGTTGAGAATAATGTCACTCTCCGCTTTGTCCAGGCCCACGATCCTGTCCGTCATTGCACGGTTTACCCAAAGTGCTTTCCAACCCGTCGCAGGGTGGACCCTGACTAAAGGATGGGTTCTCTCAACATACTTGGGACCCTGTTCAGGATGATCGCGGTCAAGGTATGGGTGCGCTGACTTGTAAACAGCCAAGCGGCCATCGATGATCTTTCGAAATCCTGGCGAGAGCTTTTCATATGCTGCGTAGCCAGAGGCCCATAGTGTATCACCGCCAACGGAGGGGACAGTGTCGTTATGGAGGTGTGTGATACCTGCCGGGTGTCTTTCGTGGACCAAGTCTGTGTGCCAACGGGATGCTCCTCCTGGCTGGCGGAAACTGGCAGGACGCTCTGTCGCTTGGAGATCCGGCCAGAGAACACTCACGCCTGACAGGCCTGGAACCTGAGGCACCTGCGGCTTGTATCATTGTTAGTTTCCGACTACATCATTGGCAGTGTCGGTACTCACATGAACTTCAACTTCGCCATACCATTCGCCGAGTTCCTTCTGCTGCTGTGGCGAGAGATCCTGGTCTCTGAAGAAAACAACACTTCTCTCCGCAATCAAAAGAGCAAGTTCATCGCGCTGCTGATTGGTAAGATCCTTTAGCTGCAACCCCTCAATCTCGGTTCCGATATAAGCCGTGAGATCTGTGACCTTTGTCGCAGCAGACAGAAGACTCTTCTTTGACTTGCCTGCGCGCGCACCTGCATCAACATGATCACGAGGCTTGTCGCGAATCTTGTAAACATCGTCTAAGTACAAAGGGCGAGACGGACGGTAAGGATATCCTTGTGAGAGATCCACGCCAGATTTTTCGAGACGTTGTTTGGCAGCGTCTGGTAAGGCGAGAGTGTCCTTGATGGGTGGGGCGACATCTTGGATACTGGGATCAATTGGTGCTGGAGCCATTCTGTGCAGAGTGAACAAGTCTCTTAGTATAGATTCTCAAACCGACAGGATTCTATTCAACAGCAGATGAGGTTTCTAGATATACAATTATCCCCTCCTTACAATACTACCCTAAGATCACGTCATAGGAGCACAAAATGGCATGGGTCAAATCAATCACATCCCATTGGCAGGTCATACAGGTGCAATATGCAAAGACTATTGCAACATAGAAGCAAATGCCTATCTATGCCGATGGTGGCATTTATAGATAAGTACTGATAAAACGTGCGTTCCGAAATAGGGTACATGGTTTCGCAAGCCAAGTAGTAATAGTGTTAGCAAATAGAATAATGACGCCATCTCCACTATTGGAGGACCGGTAAACTTCTGTCCATCAACCACTATGATCCTCTGCAACATTCTCTCCAACTGGTGGATATTTCATATATTAGTATCAAGCATGCAAGTAGATGAATATGTCTAGGGGTGCTAGTAAGTATTTGGTTGGAGCGATTCGCAATAATCCAATTGAGTAACGACTAGGTAGCGAACGTTCATTCTTCCAGATATCTCCACTGCACACTCTAAAGATGATGTCGACGTGTTGTTGTGAAGCTTCTGTAGATAGCCTGGGCTAATCGACCCTTTAAAACATGTGCCTTAGAAGACTCTGGGATGTCATCTCTTTTCTTATTCGACTGCAGTACATTGTCCAACATATCTATATAGTGAGGCATATCGATTATAAATCTCTGATTCGTGGATAAATAGGAGTCCTGGAATAGCACATCCTTTGTCTTGGAATTTCAGTAGTTTGCTTCTAAGGACTGCAGTGGCAGCTCGATAGTCGGGTTTAACAAATACAATCGCGTCGTCGATGTTATTCTTTGCAGGGAGAATATTACCGTCGCATTGCTACTGGCATCACTAAACACTCTTATCCTCTCCGAGACAGATACAGATAAGACTCAACAATGAGTATCCAAAGCCTGGTTCCGCAGAGATATATACATTGCTACGAGGCATAACACCGTGCCGAGGAGGAACTACCTTACTAAGTGTTATGTCGCTTAGCAAAGCTCTTGAATCTAGTTTCTTTTTTACCTTTAGGTCGCCATTGTTTGACACAGCGTCTTACTAATCTTACTTTTGGAACGTTTGACTTTTGCACCTATCGCTGGACCTTCTTCTATCTGGTTCGTATGATATCCATTCTACGCAGCATCATAGCTATGGTCGTTTCTTGTGCAAGTTTAGTGCTTTTTCGGCTCGCCGGCGGTGTTAAACAGCTGTCTCAATGATGAACTTATGACTGTCCTGTGCCCACAAGCTTACATACCCTACTGTCTTTTCAACCGTAATTATGTACTTCCGTTCCGTTGACCGGCTTACTGCTTTAGGCAAGACTTTAAAGTTCAAGGTCGCAAGCCCCATTCTAGAGCCAGGTTTAAATGCTCCGGGTGGCTGAGACCCGGAAGAAGACGCCAGCCAATCATATCGTGAGGAGCATCCATTGGCGCCTTGGACCAGTCTAGAATCAACAATCATTCAATATTCACCATGACTTATGACACCCTTCTGGAATAAAAAGAAAAAGGCTGAGCCACAAAAGGCTATATCCGGACCAACCACACGTTTGCAACCCTTGCGACCAAAGCCTAGATGCCGCTGTTTTTCGGACGGCAGGTCATGAAGAGGTTGCCTTACATATGTGCTGAAGTTCGAGACCGCCCTTATGACAACGGATGACATCCAAAGGCAAGTTACTGCAAGTCCCGTGCTTACTGTTTAGTGATGGAAAAACTGAATTGTTCTTATACAATTGAGACAGCCAAATAATATATCAGAAAGGGCCATCATACCACTTCCACAGATTTTCAATGCAATTCACAACTTACTTTGGCCACTATCAGATCTACAGTAGATAGAAATCCATCCCTACACAAGTCCGTTAGATGCAAACAAGATCATTTTGGAAGCACAGTCTGAATATATAGGCAATCGGAGACTCTGAAATGACAAAAAGCCAAGCCCCCCACAACCAGTCGCAAATGGGTCCACGCTTATCAACAGCATCGATCCCCAAGACCAAGATTTCTCCGCCTACTACGCATGGATTTCACCAGCACACAGAACCTTCAAAATCTTCCGGCATACACAGAACAACCAGTACCCCGTCACCTAATCGGCATAAAAGAAAACGAGACACCACGAATAACGTCACAGGCCACAACAGCGCATTGACACGCAGAGTTCGTTCTCGTGCCAGGGACTACCCAGGCTCGTTAACTACACGACGGAGCAGGGTTGCTCTAACAGCATCAACGCCATCCGGTGCGTTGCAATCACTATATCCGGATCTTATAGACACAGGAGGGCGAGACAGTACAGAAGCGAAGGTGGACTATGGGGATGATGAGGCCATGTTTAGAATACGCTGGGATTTGGCACAACTGGGAATAGAACTGAGGAAGAATGCTCGCCAGCAGATTCGCTGGATTTGTCAAATGGAGGAGGATTTTAATAGAAGTCATAGAGTCATAGATATAGGTCCATTCTCTAGCGGGGACTAGGTTTCAATTTGTAGATCGGTAGTCTGTATTGATGGACTGACGATCTGGTATTTGGCTATTGAATATAATTGCGAGGATAGCCAGGTATCTCAACCAAACAACGAAGCAGCAGCAAGATGGCAAAGCGCCAAAAGCTGGAGGACTTGCTGTGAGATCTTGATGGTATTAACACCGATCTGGGAAAGAGGATGGAATGAGAGAGATCGGCAAAGCACAAATGAACGTTTCCCCAATTTTAAAGTGATAACTCTTTTCTCCTATTCTATCAATTAATTTCTTCTACAGAAATCATAGCGTGGATCGTTTCAACCTAGATTTGTAAATTATCGATTTTGCGCTGGGATTATTGAATGTGGCCTGGTGGAGACCAACCTCTTGATGGTGCCTGGAATCTAGAAGATGGCTGTTTGAGACACGCACCAATCGTCTTGGAGAAACCAGCTCTCCCTGCATTGCTAACCCGTTCTATGGAAGTGAAATGTTTCGTTCCTCCATTCTCAGGGTCTTGACTCAACGACATGTTTGCCTGAAAATCAGCTCGATCAATTTGCACCGAGTCGCGCTTCGCATCCTCTGTGGTGACGTTAGGTCTTCAGATTTCCTATCGAAGAGAACTTCAAGTAAGCCAAGATCAGATACCAATACTCACATAGTGGTAGTTTAAAATCACCACTATGGATGCTTATTGTCAGCGCGCTTACCCTGGAGCATAAAGTCCTCGATTTGCGGTTATCCAAGCAACGATATTTTCCAAGAGTGGAGAGCTATAGCTCTGATCTTAATTCTTCTTAACCCAATCATATCTAAGCGAGAAGCAGGGGGACCCCCTTGATCGTCTGTTTGCAAGCCCGGTTCAACGCAAACGACAGCAGCAGGGATACCCTTCCTGGTCTCTTCTGCTCACGTGCTGATAAGCTCGGATCTGGGCGATTACCGACCACGCTGATGGATTTGAAAAGAGATAAGTAGCCTAGCCACTTTGAGCCAAGCCGTTAAAGTCCCATCGAGCGAGGTCGGCCTCGTGCTAAGACAAAGTTGGCTAACCATCTCCTCGTCAAAGCGATAGTAATACATCGACAGAAAATGAGACCTGTAAACATTCTTTAATGCAGATAATTTGAACTAGTCTCTCATACTCTTCTTATTACTGTGTCGTTTATCTAAACACTAAAGCCTAGATGGTCGGCCCATAGAGGCCAAGTTACCATGCCGCATACCGCATGGCCGTAGCACTCCACTTTGTAAGGGTCGCCTGCGCAGTGGTTGCCAGAGTATTATCAAATGGATGTAACCAATCGCAAAGCTTCCCGTTTAGGTTAGCAGCATTGATGTGCAGTGTTGCTGTGACCTACCTATCAAAGCGCCTGTCATTTCATGATGCATGAGTGTGCTAAGGACAGCCAAAGGTGACTCGTATCTGCATGGCGTCAGGATGTCCGGGTAGATAGGCGCCCGGCTCTTGGGAAATGGTTTCCGTCTGACTGCACAGAATGCAGTTTTCACTATTTGGCTCCTTACTGCCCTTCACAGCCAGCCACGCAATGGCACTTGGTTGGCAATTTCTTGTTGCATGGACGTGACCACTCCGTCGCTGGTACTGCCCGGATGACCGCCCTCGCGACCGAAAAATGTCCCTTTTCCCCACCAAGACACACCCACACGTGTGTAGGCCGCCCGACATGGCATGTTGTCTGCAATACGACAAGCAAAATGTTTGAGAGGTATTTGTAAGATATGCTTCTACTGCTTATAGATTCGCTGACTAGCTGTAGAGGCTCCACCTCTAGCAAGAGTTAAGCAACAGACTGTAGCTGCCCATTGCCGTAAGGCTGTGCGACCTAAGAGCGTTACCTGCCGATGTCGCCTAAACTAGCAGCCGAAACCTCAGATCATGCAATTTGACCGGCGCTACCTTGCAAAATTGAGTTCCTTGTCTACCTCGGCCCGCTGCGATGCAGATCCTCTAGCGTCGGGTACGGGCTTTATGTACGCTATGATCTTATGACAGAAAACCCTGCCTAAGCCACCGCAGACAGAGTAAGGATAACCTGGTCTACTACGTCAGTTGGTTTCAATGCGGATCACTATTCCAATGATGACATGAGCTGAAAGAGCAAAGATCCTGGTTCTCTCGGTAGCGAAGTGTTGTGTATCAGACGGGGATATTTGCCACTCTGTAGAGCCATTAAGCTGACCCATAGGCCTAAGTGAGGCTGATCTGGTATGCAGCTTAACTTATCCATCCAAATCAAAACCTTGAAAGCCTTGACGACGACTGGTGATAGATCTGCATTGTCAGTTCCAATTTTTGATAGATCGGCAGAGGCACTGGGTTTACTGTTTTGCTAAGTTTGATTGACCTCATCACCATTGGTCCCTTACCATGGCCAATTGTCTGAGCCCCGAATCTAATCTCACATACGCAGTATAAATCGGAGATGTTCAATTGGGCATGGAGAAGAAAAAATCAAATATTATCACTAATAGTTGTCATAAGTCGGCATTTCAGAGCACTATCCTTCACTTGACATCATGCGTTTGACTGATTGTCAGCTTGGCGATGCATATCAGGATGACGTTAGACACGAAGTGATTCAGAAGCTTAAAGACAACGACGACTGTTGGGAAAGGTAAGTAACAATCTATCCTACTTCATACTTTAAAAGTGATTTAATAAATTTAGCGATGATGTAGGAGGGAGATATCTGGAACACGTCAAAAATCTCATCCCAATGTGGCCACAACTTGAGCTTTTGGCAGACTTCATGGGAGTCGGAACGATACCAACGAGATGGCAGATATTTCCAGGAGAAATCGATTTGCTTGATACAAAACGGTATACATACGTGCAGAATGGCATCAGTAAGTATTATCGATAATCCGCAGTGGACCGTTGGTGACTGACCCCGTCAAGCGGACAAGAGGGAAACGCAAAGGCAGCGGTCACAACGAGTCAACGTCACTTTATTGCAATATCATGACGGGGAAGTAACAGATTCTGACCCCATTCTCAACGCTGAGAGTCTCTTGCGAAAGGCTGAGAGTGTTAAAGCTAGCAATATCGCAGCCCATTTCAATCTCTTTGTAGTCGAAGACCTGTCATCCGAGGTTATTGAGATATTGGGATCAACTTTCGGTATCGACCCTCGATTTTTCCGTGCGCATATTATTGATTACGCATGGAACAATGTAAGAGACCGTTGGCGAGAACCACCAATACTTGATCTTGACGCGAGGAAACGAGACTGGTTTCAGCTCCGTCTGATCCGGTCCCGGTACTTCTCTGACCAAGAAGAATTCGACGATGCAAAGAAGGAAATCGACCAGTGGAATGTCTTTCGGCGTATGGATGCCGACAACAATGAGATATTCTGGGATAAGGATGTACGAACGCAACCCAAAAGAGTTGTTAATGGAAGGGTCGGACACATACGCAGTCGCATGGCTTTCTGGCGGCAATCTAGCATTGGTGAGTCCCATCCACTAGGCACAAATGACTCTGTTGGTTGACTTCGGTTTTGATAGGTGTGATTCTCTTGGACCCGACGTTAAGAGCTGGGTACCCTCTTTGGCGGGGATATGCGAGTTGGTATCCTTTCCCAGAGTTTCCTTCCGATCGAGGACTAAGAGAGGATCTTTCGCATATCCCACCGTCGTTGCGGCGTCCGAAGCCAGGAGAGGCAAATGATAGGCCCGAAGATCTGCAGGCCAGCCTGTTCAATGATTTCATTTTCTGGGCTCAACATACTCCAGTATGCCAGTCGTCAGGTGAATCCTCCCCATGCAGGAAACCATTTGAGGCCATGCTACGACTATTCTGTGCTGAGTGGCTTATCTTTACTGATTTCATCAACACTCGCCTCAATCAAATTGACTGGGGTATCGGAAACCCTGGGTTCTTCCCGGATTCAGACAGTCGCGAGCAAAGCCTGCAGAAATTGCATTTCTGGCGGCGATGGACTTTTCAGTCTATCGATACATTCAAAAGGAATATGCGTCAAGTTGAGAATTTCCAGAAGCAGAGAAAAAGTTCTGAAACAGATATGACTTTCAAAGAGGACTTTGAGTCTATTTTATCGTATTTGAATAGCGCGGAACAGCGAGTGACCAATCTCGGTGCTGTTGTCAATTCCGCGATCGGCCTCGAAGATGCACGAAACACATCGAAGTTAACAGTGTTGGCTTCCTCATTCGTACCTCCAAGCCTTCTTGCAGCCATTCTATCTATGAACACTGAGCCGCTGTCTGGAATCTACGACGCACTGTTCTGGTGGGCTGTGCTCTCTGTCGCTGGCATTGTGACTCTTTTTGCGTTGTATTATGTCACTACCCGGGGGAGACTGGGACAATGGAAGGGTCAAGTCCGACAAATGGCACACGAAGGAAGGCTCCACTGGGCGGCAATCGTCAATGAGTGCAGGGAACTTGCCAAGAGACGAAAAGAGGCTGACAGACCTGGGACCGCATAAACGTGTGCTGGAACGATTGGCTGGTTAAAACGTCATGCTGCAATCCTATCTATAAACAGGACTAAATCCCATTCTTGACTGACTTAATTAGCCCCTCACAAACCTGAGATCGATTACCTAGCACTTTACCACGACTTGATCTTCGCCGGGGCAGGTTGACCCTATCATCAACGAAACGGGAAGCGGCTCCATATTTGTAACCCCTTTGACAACGCATAACATGCAGTCACTAGACTAGTCAGAGCACCGCGCTCATTTCTGCAGTGTGTTTTGTAGCCCTCAGAAGCCATTACTCACTCATTAATTCAGGTCCGAGCAACTTGCAAGGCGGGGTAGTAAGACGCGGACGGATTACCAGAGGGTTTGTGAAATAGCATTGATCTGATGTCCTGTCAAGAACCGTTGAGTATAACACCGGCGTAAAGGCAAGAAATTGCAACATCACCGCTTTGTTCAGCGATACCAAAAGAACTCCCGATACTGACACTGAGATAGGAACGATTGATAATAATTTAAAGGTCAATTAATGTTACTATATTTGAAGGATGCCAAAAGTCGAGTGTGGATACACCAAAAACAACTTAGGGAGCATGACCTCTAGATTAATCGACTATCGAATCCGGTGTTTGAGTGAACTGTATCCCGAATGAAGCGGCAAGAGTGCAATGCAGTAAGAAAGGTTTAGCAGATGGTGTGACTAGGTCTGGGTCATAAACTTGAGCGATTAAATGATCCTTGCAACATCAAGTTACTATAAGTCGGGTGGTCCTTTGCATTAGCGAAAAGATCCCTATGCCAACTTTTCACTCGAAAATCGCACGTTCATGATCCACGAGCACCAGTGATCCCCTGCCCCATTCGATGATGCCATCCCTGTGCAGTAATCTGACACTTTGCTCCTCTTGCAACGACGTCCTAGCAGAGGGATTTTTGTTACACAACTTAGATGGTCTAAAGAGCGGTTCGCCTTCCCGAGAAGACTTCTTAGCGGCTCAGAGCCAATGCTACATTTGCAGATGGCTTGCATACACCATGGGGCCCACTTCAGTCTCAAAGTTGCCAGAACAACTGGTGTTAGGGATTCAGGTTGCTTTTGATGGAACAAGATGGGGCCTACCGGACGGCAATTACAAGAAACTTGCACTACAAATTCGATTGAATCATAAACGGATCGACATTTATGATGGGCTTCCTTGTGACCTGAGCCTTATTGCCTCGCAAGATACGGGTCAGTAATCCTATATTCTCTACTTCAGCGGTTCGTTAATGCAGACAGAAACCACTTGCGACCAGCCACCAAAGAATCCCCGTTTCCATGCTTCATAAATGAGCGTTCTGGCGTCCAACTGGATCAAAAACTGCTAGCAGGATCACGTTCACTGCAAGTCAAGAGATAGTGACTTTCGACCAAAAAGGTTGATACGTATCCTGGACTCAAATATCTTGCAGCTCATCCTTCCCAGAGATCTACCAATAGCATATCAAGTGAACCATGTTGCTCCATCTCATCGTTGGGGTGGTGAAAACCCGCTAACGTTGACTAAACAAAACGAAAGTGCCCTATAGAGACATATATCTACATCAGATCTTCCAAAAACGTTCCAAGAAGCTATCTTAGCTTGTTTGGATCTAGGGTTCTCTTATATCTGGATCGATTCTTTATGCATCATCCAAGATTCGGAAGAAGATTGGAACGACCAAGCAGCCGAGATGGGCTCTGTATATGGCAACTGCGAGTTGAACATTTGCATGGAAGGGTCAGCGAGCCCCACGGAAGCCAGCTTTGGCTCCCGCGATACCGACCTCATATTACCCGCCTACATCACTCTCAAAGGATTCGACGGCAGTTTGGTAAAGGTCCGCCTGGTCTGCGATAAATCTTATGAACTTGACGTCAAAGAATCTCCCTTGCGCAAGCGGGGATGGGTCTTCCAGGAATGGTATCTTTCAAAACGGTCTCTGGTGTTCGGACGTATGCAGCTCTGGTGGCATTGCCGCCAGATGCTAGCGTGTGAGATGCTCCCACATGGCATTGAGGGTACAACCTACCAGGACTACGTCAGAGATGCTTACTCGATGAAAGACACCTATTCCGGGGAAAATTCAACCCTTTCACAAAGCCTCTGGTGGGATCTTATCAAGCAGTATGCTGGTACGGGACTGACTAGAGAATCCAAGGACCGGATAATTGCTTTCTCAGGTATGCCTAAGATGTTTGGCCAAGCTCACCAGATTCAAAAGGAATACGTGGCTGGCATGTGGCAGTCCCATTTACCTCAGGCGCTCTTGTGGTACCGCTTCTTTGGGGGCAAGACATCGCGATCAAATGACTATAAAGCGCCTTCATGGAGCTGGATGTCAATAGATGGTCCCTTCGACCTTAACGACCATTTGAAACCAACCGGGTGGTCGAAGTTGGCACAAACAGTCACCACTCATCAATGCAGCATTGTCGCCGATGTCAAACTATCCCTAGCCGACAAGGGTAATCCACTCGGAATTCTACATGGTGGCGCCATCACGATTTATGGTCATCTCGTCAATTGCGGAAAGGGAGACATGGGTACTTCGACATGAATAATATATCAGCCAAGGACTTGGAGTCAGGAATTATTTTCTGGGACGAAGAGGACGAAAATAGAAACAAGGTCGTTTCTCACCTCGACTCTACCGCGGCCAGTCAAGATGGGGTTTCGAGTGGAATCTCAAGGACTAGGATCTTATCAAAAGCTGCCACTGGCTCTGTATTTGTACTTCCACTTTTGCATCAAGAGTGTGCTATGAGCCACCGCTCCGAAGGAATTGTGTCGGGACTTGTCCTCTACGAACCTTTGGACCGACCCCGTGTTTTGTACCGGATTGGTAGCTTTCAGACAACATCTTCTCAGAGTTCTTTTGCTAAGTTTAACGACTGCCTGAAGGCCGATTATCCTAAGAAATCAGTGTACATACTTTAGTAAGGACAAAATTCGACACCCTGTGAGACTTTGGGCGAGGCAGATTTATCAAAATCCGAATTAACGTACCTCGTGATGAAAACCATCGTTTTGTTAAGTGCGCAATGCAGACATCATATTATTAGATCTACTGCAAACCCTAAAAAGGGGGAAGGAACGCACATTTCTCACCGGCCGTTGAGTCTGGGTGAGCTTCGATAATGGGCGCCCCCCATCTGTAGGAAAGTGCATGGTAGCTTGTCAACCTGGCAAAAATTCTCAGTCTCTGTTTAGTATCTGCGACATCCTCTGACCAGCTTGCAAAAGATACTAGACGGATATAGTCATTTTCTAGAGGTACTTCAGCATAAGTAAACCGCGGTTTGTGACTGGGATCATCGACATCTGACTTAGTTACTGTCATGGTCCGGTATAATGGAAAGTGGAGCAGATTGATTGTAGAATGGATATTGGTGGTGATAGAAGTTTCTTGCGTTGAGTTCCCGCTAAAATATATTTTCTCAGACTTGTGGCTCTAAAGTGCGGGAACTAGCTTGGTCTCGTTTATATGTACAAAGGAGATGCGGAGCAAATAATAAGATGCGATATTCGTTTAGCATATCATTGATTGCTCAATGAGAAATATCCGCGCTGTCTCCGCGACAATTAACCAACAAGATTTCTTTAACTCGCCGGTATTTCGCGGCGGAGCATGCCTAGCATGCCAACACGTACGGTTCAGGCCTGAGTCTGATTCAGTACGTATCTGCTTGGTTGGCGATACTTATGCAGTCAGCAACCCTGACAAGGGTTGTCTTTGGTTGGGCGACAACTGAATTTGCTAGTGATCAGTCTTGGCATGTCAGCAATTCCGCTGTAGGCAGCAACCTGTAAATTTCCAGCCTGATTTGTTCCAATGTTGACCATACCCAACCAAACAAATACCGCAGCAACCATCTCTTCCTAGTTCAAAACACTGAGAAGCACTATCTACCACTATGGACGAGTCAGAAATGCTACAGCTTGATATTCGTATCTCGGAGGCACGAGAACATCTTGGTCTCACTGCTGACGACCGCCTCGACCGAGCTGGGCGGCTATATGATCTTGCAACTCTGTTAAACGACCGTTACTCCGTGACTGAGGAGGACGTAGATCAAGACGACGCGATTGACTTGGCCAAGCAAGCTACAAAATGTCTCTCATACCTCGACCATGATAGGGCAGAATGTCTGAGCTTTCTTGGACACCTTTTAGGTAACAAGTTCTCAAGGACAGGTGATATGGATATCCTGGATGAGGCAATCGTCGTTGCACAACAGGCGGTTCATGAGACTGTTGCTAAAAATCCTAAATATTCTGAGCGTCTGTACGAGGTTTCCCTCTTATTGAATGACCGATTCCTTATGACGAAAGAAATTCGCGATCTCAACGAGGCCATCGCCAACACCAGGCTGTCCATTGATCATCCACCTAGTAGGACTAGTCCACATCGGATGGAGTGGCTGAACAGCCTTGGGGCCTTTCTCTATACTCGATTTATGCATACGGAGTCAGTTTCTGATCTGGACGAGGCCATTGATCTGGCCAAGGAAGTTATTAAAATCGTTCCAAAGGAGGATCCTGACCGGCCAGTGCTCTTGCAAAATCTTGCTCTTCGACTTGACAGACGATTCTCGATCACGGCGGACATATCAGATTTGGATGACGCGGTTGAGGGCATCAAGGAAGCCATCGATTTAACGGGCTCCGATGATCCAGATATGCGCGAGTATGCACACCAACTAGCAGCCCTTCTCGCCCACCGGTTCTCGAACACTCAAAAGTTAACCGACCTTGAAATAGCAATTTCAAGCACGAGGAGTGCTTCAAGGATAGCCACTGGTCTCGACTTGGAGAGAGAGTTGTTCGAGAGTCTCGGTTCGTTGCTGGCCGCCCGATTTTCAATACTGGCTGAGACTCGAGATATAGACGAAGCTATCACCCTTGCAAGAATGGCACTTTCACTAGCCACGACCAAGGATCCAGAAGAAGTACCCGATTTAGGACCAATGCTGAATTCTCTCAGTATATACTTAGGTGACCGATTCTCTCAATGTGGTGTCCCCGCAGACCTGGACGAAGCAGTTGGAGTTGCAAAACAAGCAATCGAGGAAACCTCTTCCGATGACCCATGCCGTCTGGATTATATGAGCACTCTCAGCGTGCATTTGAGGGAGCGCTTCTCCTGTACTGGAGCTATTACGGACCTAGAAAATGCCATCAACACCTCAAGAGAGATTATCAAAGGAACTCCAGAAGATCATGCTGACAGACCAACACGGCTTATCAACCTGAGCAAGCAGCTGAACGACCGTTTCTCTCATTTGGGTAAAGAGAGCGATATCGAGGAATCTATTGACATCGCCATGGGAGCCGGTACACTGGGTGCCGAAGACCATCCTGATCAGGCTGAGTGGCTCGACACTAGCAGCTTGCTTAGGAGCTCGACATACTGCTCAAGGAAACCTTGAAGACTTGGAAGAGGCTATCCATGTTAGCCGACAAGCAATTGGAATAACTCCTGATCGTGATCCAGAACGTGCCACACGATTGAACAACCTCTGCGTTTTGCTTGGCGACCGATACGCAGCTTTAGGAGAAGTGACGGACCTTGAAGAGGCCGTACGGGTGATTCGAGATGCTATCAAAACTACTCCCAATGGCAGTCCAGATATCGGGGTCTTTCTGAACTCCCTCAGTGTACGGTTGGGCGATAGATACGCAGCACGAGGAAGCGTGGCGGATCTGGAAGAGTCTGTTGTAGTCGCCAAAAGAGCAGTCGAATTGACTGCCGTCAAGAACTCAAACCGGGCTAGATACCTGAAGAATCTCAGCCTTCAATTAGGAAGACGTTTCGCAAGCGTTGGAGAGATGCAAGACTTGGATGAATCTGTTGAGGTGGCCAGGAAGGCTCTTGAATCCACAGTGGAAGGCCATCGGGACCGGCCAATACTACTGCATAACCTTGCTTTGCAACTCAGTACCCAGTTCTCACGCACAGGTTCGACGGAAGCCTTAGAAGAGGCCATCAGTCTCGCAAGAAAGGTTGTTGATATAACCTCCGATAAGCATCCGGAGCGGGCAGCACAATTGAGTACCCTTGCGGTGGTCTTGTGCACGCGATATCAGCAGTTTGGCGCAATAGCAGATCTTCATGAGGCCATTGATGCTTCTAGAGGATCGGTCAAAGCCACATCTGGTGGTAATGCTAATCGGTTCTTGCGATTGAACAACTTCAGTGCTCATCTTTACTATCGATTCAGTCGATCCCCAGACTTGGATGCGGGTATGGCTGACCTTGACGAGGCCATTCGCACTGCCCGTGAGGCAATTGAAGCATGTCCCGACGGCCATTCTGAGCGACCCAACTTGATGAGCAACCTCGGCGTCCAACTCACCAGCCGATTCCTGAAGACCAACGACATAAAGGACCTAGACGAGTCCATTAATGTGGGCGAAGAAGCTGTTAAGATGGTTGATGTAGGCTACTCCGAGAGAGCGGCATGGTTGTTTAACCTCAGCCGCTCTCTAGATCACCGATACATGAACACGAATGAGTTAGATGACTTGGAAGGGGCCACAATGACAGCCAGAGAAGCAGTGGAGGCGACTTCTGATGACTATCCTGGTAGAGCAGGATTACTCAATAATTTGGGACACCACCTGGACTCTCGTTTTCTCCATACCGGCTTGGAAGAAGACAAAGTGGAGTCCATGCGCTGTTACGAAGAGGCCTTGATGTCCCCAGTTTCTCTTCCTACCTATCGTATCTTCGCCGGTCGGTACCTTCTCTCGACCCCAGAGATTCTTCGTCGGGGTCAACGAGCTTACGAAATCGCGAAAACAACTATCGACTTGATCCCTCTATCGGCCCCCAACTCACTAGCGTCCACTGATAAGAAAGTCATTCTTTCTCAGATCTCAGGTCTCGCCTCTGATGCGGCCGCTGTGGCTCTACACACAGGACAAGGAGCTTCTGCTGCTATTCAACTTCTCGAATCTGGACGTGGCCTGTTAGCTGGCTCGCTCCGTGACCTACGGACCGATCTTTCCTCCATTCGTGAGGAGCATCCTGACTTGGTCAAGTCTTTCTACGAACTCCGTACTGTGCTTGACTTACCAGCCGTAACAGATGGCATGATGACTACCAATACAACATTTGGTCCATCCCAAAGTCTTGGGACGGACAGCCGTCACTGGGCTAGTCGACAGATGGTGAGCGTCTTGAACGAGTTTCGGGCAATTCCTGGTCACGAGCGGTTTCTTCTACCAGCTGCTGACGCCGAAATGCGTGCCGCTGCTGAGGAAGGTCCCATTGTCATGATCAATGTGAGCTCCCATAGATGCGACGCCCTTCTCGTTGAGAAAACTGGTTTTCGAGCTTTGCTCCTCCCAAGGCTATCCAAGGATGAGATCTCTCAACGATCTCAGAGTCTCCATTCTCTCGAAACACTGGAGTGGCTCTGGGATGCTGTAGTGGAGCCGGTTTTGAAAGCTCTTGGTCTTAATAGACCCTCACCGGAAGCGAACTTGCCTCGAATGTGGTGGATTCCTACAGGACCGCTAAACAAATTCCCTTTCCATGCAGCCGGCTATCACCTAGATTCTGGGGGCAGCACTACACTGGATAGAGTGATATCGTCCTACGCGTCTTCAATCAAAGCCATTATCGATACTCGTCAGGCACGTAACGAAAAGACCGATCTCAGTTCCACGAGTCATGTTGTTGTTATGGCCATGAACAAGACCAAAGGACAGAGCTCGTTACAATACCCAGATGCAGAGGTCAAAGTCGTCGAGTCGATGTGTCATTTGGCAGGACTTCCAGTACAACGTCCGCAACCACGGAAAGCCGAGACAATAGCAGCCCTCCAGGAATGCCATGTATTTCATTTCGCAGGTCACGGTAGCACGAAATCCGACCCATTGAATAGCCTCCTCTACCTCGAAGACTGGCAAGATCACCCTCTCACAGTAGGGAGCCTACTTGATACCAATCTTCGCTCTAGCGCACCGTTCCTCGCTTACCTCTACGCTTGTAAGACGGGTGATAGCTTAGACGAAAAGCTAGCCGATGAGAGTCTCAATCTTACGAGCGCCTTTCAATTATCGGGATTCCGACATGTCATTGGAACGCTTTGGGAGGTGGATGATGCTTTGTGCGTGGACATGGCGGGGATCATATACAAGGTTCTGGGCCAGAGAGGATTCCATGACAGATCTATCGCTGAAGCACTGCGTCAAGCTACCTATATTCTGAGGGATAAGTGGCTAGTTGACGAAAGGGCAAGAGCTGAGCTTAGAGGTGAGCGGGATGTCGTCTTGTGCGATGATAAGGTCGCCAGAACACCTCTTTGGGTGCCGTATGTACATTATGGAGTCTAATTAAGTTTCTGGGAGGGACCGTTGACGCCACACAGGGAGGCTGTTATTGAGTTACATAGAGGAATACCTCATTTCGTTCACTCACCGTGGCACCGAGTCCAAATTAGCAAAGTTTTGTAGTCTCGCTTATCGATAAGAGGCATGCCAGTCCCACGCTAGCCCGAAACGACTTAGCTCAAAGAAACTCGCTCTTTCCGTCGGTTGATCCCGCTGACTAACCCAATCTATCATGGCGCCGGGCAGGAAGAGATATCAAGCAAGACAATGCTAGATCTAGAACAAACGAGGAGCAAAAGAGATTATTGCTCACCTACTTCTTAATAGCTGTGTAAGTTTGGAATTACTGCAGTCGAGAACTTGTAAAAGGCCAGTACTACCGTCCCCTAGAAAGGCGCTGATAATAGCTTTTACTGCTGATAATATTAACTTGGGGTGAATTTAATTTTTACTGACAGTGTTCTACCCATGTGAGTATAGGAGTGATAGTGCTTGAAAAGTGTAACTCAAGATGGAAACCTTATTATTAGGCAGTATGCATTCTGTAATAAAAAACAAGTTCTAAAGATAGCTAGGGCTGGAACATCTTGGCCACCGTATATCTGAAACGATAGCTATGGCAAGGCAGTTGAGGAGTTACCATACTGGACGGACAGGTATGGTCCATATTGTCCTTTGATGGTGTAATGTTCTTAGAGTCCTGACTTCGCACCGGTAAGCTTATGTGCGGAATGTACAAAGAAACGATGAGAATATGGGGTTTTCAGAGACGTGTACAGCCCAGCGCGTCAGCGAACAAAGAAACAAGACCGGTGAGTTTATTACCCCTCAATTAGAGAACAAAGAAGATGGCTCATGTAACATGCATGGACACATTTGTTAGTCAACGAGTCAGAGGCTGCCATCATGTCTAGAAGGGACAGAGACGAAGTCGATCAGAACACCTGGCCTATCGTTGCCAAAGAGTTCCTGTTGCTTGGCGTGACTAACGTGGTCATCACGCTTGGAGTCAAGGGTGCATTCTATGCGAATCAGGATGGGAGCGGTCATTGTCCGGCCTTTAATGTCAAGGTCAAAGACGCTACTGGTGCAGGGTACGTCTTACATTACAATAGGACTTGCGAGTCATTTCTAACTATCATCGCAGGGATACATTCACGGGAACTTACGCCTCGGAGTATGTTCGACAGAAGACTGTGGGGAGGCGGGATATCAAGAGTGCGGTAGTCCGTGCAAACAAGGCAGCTGCTATCACCATCCAAAGCTTTGGAGCACAAAACGGGATCCCCTGGTCTGACAAGATTGAGAAATTCGATGCTCCTGAAATGTCACCACACGCGTTCCGTTCTGATTCAACAGCTTTCTCATGTAGCAATGAGTGAGTACGGGTAGCCAGCCCCATGCATCTGTCCAGAATCCATCGAAAAGTCTTCCACCCTCGAATATTGATGGAATTTCCCACACTGACGAACAAGGCTTCGCTTGTCAGGCCTGTGTCTTGAATAACTATTGATAACGGTCCTTTATGCATTGAATTTTGTGGCGGAAGACGACGTTTGATATATGGTGCGGCGGTGAGCAAGTCCGATGTAGCCTGGCTGCGGAGAAAGCTCTGGGCAGCTTTCAACGTCATAGAGTTTGCCAGAGTACCATTGAGTAAAATGAAATATGGGGACAAGATCATGGAAGCTACCAGGACTAGACCCGATTGGAGGATATACTTAGTAAGTGGCCAATGCACAAGATATAACTGCCGAGTTATTACTAGGATAACAGGTCTAATCTGGAGTATTAAATACCTATTTTACCTCTACGGTTCTTGTACTATTCAACATCTCCATTGATTATCTACACAACAATCGCCATGTTGACCGTCAAGTCCCTTGTCTTTTCAATTCTCCTTGTCGGAGCTGTCCAGGCGTTTGTTTAACCATTCTCACGCGTCGAGACCCTCACTAACTCGTCTCAAAAGTCAGGAGCCGGCGGACGACAGCAAGCACAACTGCTGTCTGCACATCAAGAATGCCAGTGATGCTTGGTGGTTGACAAACCCCAACGTTACTAAGAAAGTCTGCGAGCAGTACAAGGATATCGTGAGTATTCAATTGATTGTATATTGAGACGTAACTGACAAGATCAAGGCGAAATTTGATGGAGAGACTTGCAATGGAGATGAGATTGACGATGCTGATTGGAAGAGCAAGTGCAAGGAGTGGGGAACAACTTTCTTCGGCTGGACAGATGAGCGTGTCGGTGCTGGGCATAACGGAACATGCTATCCCATAGATAACTAAGTATAGGTACTTTCGCAAGCGCTTATGCTTCCACAGAAGATCGTTTCTAATATTGTTTCTGTTATTATTTGCTCTCTTGTATTTTATCGAACCTCCTACTTATGGCAGAGCCGATACCCGAACCGGCTTCGTTCAGGATCTGTTAGCATTTGTGGGTAGACGTACAAGACAAACCCAGCCCCTCACCTTCAGTAAACCATCTCCGCCAACATTTCCTTCACTGATATTTTGATGACCAATAAATTATCTCCTCTATCACGATTAAATGTTTCTAATCACATACCTCTTTTTAATTCTGAGGCGAACTCACTCAGGATAGCTACGATGAGCAGCCCACAACGCGACTCACGATATAGGCTATCCCTATCCCGAAAAGCACAAGCCTGCAACAAATGCAAACGTCGCAAGGTCCGATGCTCGGGAGGAGCCAACTGCGCCAATTGTACAGGATACAAGAAAGAGTGCAGATACAGTTCAGTTTTGGAGTCGCTGACTACCCTGCAAAGGTAAGATGGGCTGGGAGTGCAGGGTTGTTCTGAGCTGACAACCATAACAGGCGCTTGAACCAGGCCAAAAAACTGATATCATCGATGGAAAAGGCTTGAGCTGTTCACCTAACAGATGTGAATATTCAAGATGCAATACGATAAATCAGATCAGCTGGTCAAAATCCACCTCCCAGCTCAAGTCCCGGTACGCTCTCAGAAGCTCCGGAAACAAGGTACGGACCAGCAAGCAATCAGCCGCCCAATGACCCTTCAGGCTGCGCAGTACTTGTACTGTATCTGCTGTTTTTAACCGTGAAAGACTCTATACAGGGTTTCGCGTTTATCTGTAGATAAGGAAAGCAGCTTACAGAGATCCCTACTATCTGTGACCATACGGCTGACACTGATATCTATCTACCCCAGTATCCTCGACTGAGAGTTTTTCCAGCGACGAATGCAGTAATACGCTAATGCTTGTACAATGTCGCAGGGTTGAACGAACGGATAAAATGAACTTTCCCATTGAGTAGCGCATCTGAGTCTACCGAACGGCTGAACAGATGAGTCAATGCAAGAACGGTCAACGATTGAACTATGTGAGCAAAAAGCTAAGATGAATTGACTATCGCCTTTCAACAATATTTATGGTATATTTAGAGTACCGATCGGGCGGTCAATACCGGGTGGTGATTGATTCGGCTGGGCCGACACTGCTAACTCTACCAAGACCTCCGGTACAATTACCATCACGACCAACATCATGACGACCAACAAAATCAATACGTGTCCTGATACCAGATATCAGGTGATGAAGTCAATGGAGTGGCCACAATGGGCTGTTGGGACGTCATGGATATTTTTTTGTTATCCAGTACCAGAGCTCTGGTGCAGTTAAACTTTTCCTCAACAAAATTACACCAATACAGCATCAATCACCACACCAACACTTCTAAAGCTACTTCCGTTTACCCCGCCCGGCATGAGGTTTGGTTAGAGACATAAAGTCCCCTCTCCCCTTCCCCCTTCTGGCCTCTTTCTTTTCCTTTCACCAACACTTCTCTTTGTGAAAAGGCCAACCCCTAAGTCTTTGAACAGTATTCTATCATCAATCCCATCTATACCAACACCCAGACTGTGAAAGCCTCTTGTGCTTCCAATCTGAAAATGTAATTATAGCTACAGCCGTTCGCCGTCTTCAACGTCATTGCAAAGCTAACATGGTGCAGTCATCATGAAGTCTTCACTCTTCGCCCTTGCTTTCGCAGCCATCACCCCTCTCGTCGCTGCCGCCGACAGCCTCTACAAGGGTAACGAGGCCGTCTGCGGTAGCCTTGGAGTCATGAACGTCGCTCCCTCTGACATCCCAGAGGGTGTCCAGGCCTCTGAGATCCGTCTCTGCGCCGACCACCCCAACGGGGGTCGCGACCGTGAGCTCGATCCCAAGAAGGGCGCTTCCCTGGCTCCTTTTGAGAACAAGAAGCCTATCCAACACTCTCCCAAGAACCTCTTCGAGCGAACTTGCGCACTCACCGCCCCATACGGCTGCTCTGATCGTTTCTGCTGGAAGGTCTGTGGAAAGGGCGGCCAGTGGTGTTGGACTGCTAATGCCAAGGGCGCAGGGCCCTGGAGGGGATGTCACAGTTGGCACGACTGCGGGATGGACGATGAGCACTACGGCTGCGGACAAAATTGCAGGACACGTCCCCAAGATTGCGGCTGTTCCTGCTAGAGGTACCACACGTTACACTCGGTACTCAATGAGGTGGCCAATGGTTGTACCAGGAAGGCATGGTAGCCACGATTTTTGAAGTTAACATGTACTTATGTACTTAGATATCTGAGTGAAAAGACTGCATATTTCGCTTCTTAAATGCAAACCACTGCCAAAATGTCAAGGCGAAGAGCAAACTACGAGACGATGTAGCCTTTTTGGAATGCGCTATGATCGATTTAGCTAGTCAGCGGGACAGCCCGAGTAAACTAATCAAAGCGTTTAAGCTAAGCCGTATCGGGCTGGTGGATCCGCGTTATCTTCCTTATCGATCGTTTCTTATCGATAGATGAAATTCAAAATGCGGGGCTATGTCCATCAACTGAGCTGAAAACACATCATTGCCACAACGAGACACAAATCATCTTCTTCGTAGATCGTACACAAGTCCCGATAGAAGTGACTTAAAAAGGATAAAGGACATCTTCAACATATAGAGGCAACTACTGAGAATTTAGAGAATTTAATAGAATGATGACTATTATCTTAAAATTGTAGGGAATTAATAAAGAGTTGAAACTACCCTACAGTCTTGACATGACGTAAATGCTTATCCCTATTGGTTACAATGTGCTCGGCATCAACCCTGGTTAGTCATAACACTTAACGCCCCACAAAAGCATCTCTGCAAATAGGAAATGATTTTCGTTGCAAATGTGGGATCAACATCTGCCCTTTTCGTTGAACAGCATTTACTTCGCAAACGTAGTTGACTCCAACCAATGAAGCACATCCTGACCAAACTCCTCCGGCTTCTCAAGCAGTGCCCAGTGCCCTCCTTCTCTGACAACAGACTTAACATCCGGTAGGTATCCGTCATCAATCGAGTCCTGGAGCGCAGCAGGACGGCACACAAAGTCCTGCTCTCCGCCCCAGAAAAGCGCCGGAACATTGACAGTCTTAGCATCCTCAGAAACATTTCTGTCTGACGCACTCTGAACATTAGCCACGAAGGCTTTGTACCAGCAGCTTGGTGCATCGAATCCACCCTCCTTGGCATATCTTTCCATAAAGTCTGCTCTATGCTCGGGGGTGGTAAATGGTAGAGTTGGCTGCGTGCGACCTTCGGTAACGAATTTGCGCATGCCGCCTGGGCTAACCCAGTTGTCCAGCCACGTATAAGGATCGCCGAACGCGACACTATATACTGACTCGACGTTCTTGGTCATGATAGCTGTTGAGTCTTCGGCGGTAAAGAAATGCCAGTACTCGTAGACGCCATGGCCATGTTTCTCCTTCGCCGTCTTGTTCGTTTCTTCAAGATCGAATTTTCCTCCTGGGGCAATGTACGCGACGTTGATCATGACAAGACCAATGACACGATTAGGGTAAAAGTTGTACAGGCGCTGACACATAGCGCTACCCCAGTCGTGGCCAAGAGAAATAACCTTATCCACCTTCTCGGCATCGAGGATTTCGATAGCGTCAGCTGTCATGTGCTGCCATGCATATGCCTCCAGGTCGGTTGGTTTAGAAGTGCCAGCATATCCCAGACAATCCAGCGCAACGACGCCGTATCCATTTGGTACAAGATAATTGCTCATCAATCCATTCCAAAGCTTCGCTGAGTCAGGCCAACCATGGAAAAGAATGATCGTCGGCTTTTCAGCCTTGGAATGGGAGACGTAGTAAGTGTATGTGAAACCCTGGGAAACTTCCAGGGTCTTTTTTGCAAGGCTTGAGAGAGTCATAGTGCAGTAATGTTTGTTTGGAAAGGAAAGAGGTGAGTTACTGTCCTGAACTCTTGAATTATATATCACGAAGGTCGTGCGGGGTTGTTCGTTTAGTTTGTGGCCCTTACGAGTGCCCATACGAGTGCCCATACGAGCCAATGTAACTATCTTCGGTGGGTCATATGGGTCCTCCTTTGCCAAGTTCTGTGCACGTACCCGTTGCAGGGTTGTTGATAGTACTTTGATGCATGGGGTAGGATACCTAGTTGGTATAAGGAAAAGGCATGTCTTGTACGGCTTCGGGTTGCGATACAGAAGACCGTGAAGTACCTAGACGTCACCGGCATTTTGTTTCGGAGCGATCTGTACACAGTCTTATTGTATTGGCTAAAGCGTGCTGACCTCCTGGATTGTATCTCACATCTTGGAAAATCTCCATGAGATATCTATTTACCGGGTATACCTATCGCAAGGGCTCAAAGTCGCTGCGCTGCTGGCATCCTTAGGAATAGCGCCGGCAGCAACCGCAGACTGGTAGCACCATCGCCAGTCTTGTTTGCCCAATTTACCGTCACACTTCCAAGACCAAAAGAACCACCCATCAGACTTCTCAAAGGACTCTGCCTGTGCAGCCCAATAGGCCTTATACCATGTTTCTTGTCCATTCACCTTGAACTCGTCCGTATTCTTCAAGGTACTGTTCACTGACAGAGACCATTCACCAACAAAGACATGTCTCCCCATGTCATCTTTGCAGGCAGTTTGGATGTAGGCTTTCTTGTTACCGGCGATCCTATTATCGAAGCTCAGGTATCGATGCGCATCGAAGAATACGTGCTCATCATCTGGGAGATAGGTCCTTGGGTCTCCTGATCCCCAGGACTTGCCCTATAAGATGTCCAAGTTAGCATCACTATGATTTCCATTCTTCCTAGAGGCGTGCAGGGGACTTACCATGAATTGGATGTGTAAGCGGTCAGCGCTAGCAACCTTTAGGTAGCCCTCCATAGCTTGGATGCGCTTAAAAGCATTCGGATAGTAATTCTTGATCATATCAGCTGCCTCGGCCTTCCACTTTGCTACATGCACAGGCTCGTTCAAAACCTCGAGCATCCCAACAGTGGTGTAGTTGCCGTTAGTATGGATCCGCTTCGTCATCCACTCGAGAAACCGATAAGCTCGCTCGTAGTTCTCTGGAGTATAGAATCCAGGGTTTGGCACGGACTGAACCGTTAGTAAGCAAAGTCTGACGAGGCTGTAAAAAGGATACATACATGACCTGTGAATTGCTCGTTTGGAGAACTGATCCCGGGACCAGAGTGAAGACCGATAAGCACGTAAATGCCATATTTCTTACACAAGCCTACGATTCGATCGAGATGCCAGATACCGCCACGGGGCCAGTATTCTCCTTCTTGGATAATGTCTTCGTACATCCAGTATCCGACAGGAATACGAACGGCATTGAGGCCAAGGCTGGCGATCTCCTTTATATCGTCTTCTGTGATCCAGGTCTCCCAGTGCTTTTTAAAGGCGGCGTTGGCTTTGGCTTGACCTATACCCTTGACGCATGCCCATTCATCGTTGTAAGCACTGCAGCCCATGGTCTTCCATGAATCTTCGGCCATCCATCGTTCAATAATAAACTGCGAGCCCAAGTTGACGCCACGGATCTTTTCGTCGTCCAATAGGCGTCGCTCGGTGAGCTTCTCTCCTCTGGCATTTGCAGCCGCTGGTTTTCATTAGTTTCGTACTTCTTCATATGGATATTCAAATATTCACCTCTGGACTGTGGGGTCCAGGCACCTGCTGCGCTAAGGAATAAATATAGCAAGGGATTGAAAAGCATCGTGGAGATAACGACGGTGTTAGAAGATGGATGGAAGCTGCTCGGCGGAGTTGGGATGAGGAATTGCAAATTGCTTGAAGCTCGAGCTGCTTGCAAATAAACAAGATAAAGCGAAACCTTTATGTCAATTTATACAGCTCATTCCGTCGAACGAGAGTAACGGGTATCTTCCGCATGTTCATTCCGCGATGCCTGCCGATCTCGTTAAAACCCCTGTATCCTACCAACACCCCAGACTCTACATACTTCTTAGACTGGCGGACCGTTAGGGACTCCACGTCATGAAACAAAAGAACCTCTATGCTGGGTTACATGTATACCACCTGTATCCACATATCCCCAAACTAGAAATACTGTTGGTTGATTTGGGCTAGGATCAGAAGTGCGGCTGAAGAATTTAACCCGACACGACTCCACTAGTAATCCTGTTTATATTGAGATGAATGATCTGATAACGATACGCATCGAAGCGGGTGACCCCAAGGACTTACGAGTCGCCTTTTTTAGAGATCAAGGTTATACTTGAAAACCACTTCAACAGCTTAAAAGAGAATAGCAGCTGCTAACACTTTTACTGTGGAGTAGAAAGCGATCTACATCGGCATCGAGATGGATTAAGATAGTTAACGAGGTACTCAAGAATCTTGAGGAGATCAGATTAAACAACAATGCAAGTATCTATTTTCACATATCGGTGGATGAAGGGAGCAAGTATGTATCGACGTTAAGAGAACTAGAAATATGTTTTCAAACTATAATTTAAACCTAATAGCACAATGACCATTTACTTGAAAATTGAAAACTGGATAATATGAATCAGATTTACTGATCCAAAGCCTGCGCCTTACACATGTTGCGATACCTACCGCCTTGCGCAATTAGCTCTTGATGCGTTCCAACTTCCTTGATCTTCCCGGCATAGAAGACACAAATTACATCCGCATCCTTGATTGTGATAAGGCGGTGAGCAACAGCAATCGTGATTCTCTCACTATCCTTACCAGCCTTGGATAACGCGCCCTGAACAATTTTCTCGCTTTCTGTATCAAGCGCGCTTGTCGCCTCGTCAAGAAGCAACACCTTCGGATTACGAATAAGTGCGCGGGCAATAGCAATGCGTTGTCGCTGACCACCAGACAACTGCGTACCACTAGAGCCAGCAGGAGTAGACAGACCCTCAGGCAGAGACGACACAAAGTCCCATCCATTGGCAGCTCGCAGTGCCAACTCAATCTCCTTATCGCTGACGGTCCCTGCGGCACCCGAGGAAATGGTATCGTCAGATGCTTCATCGATCCCCAGCGCGATATTCTCACGGATAGAGCCTTGAAACAATGCTGGCTCCTGTTGAACGAGTCCCACAATGCGACGATACAATCGAGGATTCAGAGAAGTCAACCTGGACGAGTCAATGTCGATTGAGCCGGTTGTGGGATCGTAGAATCGTTCAAGCAAAGCGATCATTGTAGATTTGCCACAACCAGACGATCCGACAAAAGCGACGAACTGACCCTTCTTTATCTAGGCACATCTTATTAGCGGTGAAAAGAGAGTAGTAAAAGACACCACTTACATTAAAGTTGATGCCTCTAAGGATAGGTATCTCGGGTCGAAGGGGATAAGAAAACCGTACGTCACGGACATTGACCTCAGTGCCCGATTCAGGACCGTTTCCACGATTCTCATCCGTTTCCCGCACTGATGACTGAAGGTCCTGGAGCCAAAAGATATAGTTTGCTGCATTGATACCTTTGGTGACGCTGGTCGAATACTGAAAGAGTTGTGCAGCTGACTGCCCAGAGAAGAAAACGCCCAGAAATGCGACGAAAAAAGCGTACATACTGATCTGGTCAAATGATAGAAGGTAGCAGCCGTACCAGAAGCCAAGAGCCATAAACCAGTATTCAATAGACTGTGTAAAGGCGAAACAGATCATTATGGTGAACACAGGTCGCTTGGAGTTGGCCAATGCCGAATCGAGCTCGTGAGAGTATCGAGATAACACTGACTTCTCGATAGCAAGAGACGAGACAGTACGGATAGAGATGATTGCTTCGGATGCGATAGAGGAGCTGAGTGACAAGAGCCTAGACGTCTCGCGATCCAACTTAGCATCGAAACGGATTTTGAGATAGCCAGCAATAACCAGAGGAGGGAGACCACTGCAGGTAACTACCAAGCCGAGTCTCCAGCTATACACGATAGCTAAGACGCTGCAGGCAGCAATGTTGAAAACGGCGACAAGGATAAGACCGACGTTGTAGCCCATAAGTTCAAGGACAGCCTGTGGGTTTGAGTCTATCTGACTGATCAGCGCTCCGGTGGTGTTCTCCTCCCGATCAAAGAACTGCAAATCCTGCCGGAGGATGTTCTCAAGAATGGATTTGCGGAACTTGTGACTCAAGGTGTGAGCAACAATATTTGTGGCGTATCCCAAAGCAAAATAGGCAACGAAACAGCCGCAGGCGAAGACAATGAACATCTTAGCATAAAAGTTGCCTTGGCGCTCCATCTCAGACCCTGTGAGAGAGAAGGCCTCGACAATGTTGGCAATCAGAATGGCCAGACCAGGAAAGGTTGCGCCTGCAGGATGTTAGGAGCTGAGAGATTTGACAGAATCAGAGACAAAAGACCACTTACCTGCCACCATGCAGGCCATCAGGATGACAATAAATGCCAATCTCAGCTCAGGCGTTTGACCAACAATACGAATCATGACAGAGATGACACCCCGTTGCTCATGATGATCAAATGAATCCGAATCCTTACTACTATCGACATGAGTTTGGTGGAAGGTTTCATGCCGAGATAAGGTTCTGCTAGGTTCGATAGATATGGGAGCGTGGTCGAGGGATTCAGATTGGTCCGTCGCGCCTCCAGACTCATTGTTAGAGTCAGTGAGGTTCTGAATCTGCACGAGTCGAGAATAGGTACCGCCATGCATGATCAAAGATTGGTGAGTACCTTGCTCAACGATGCGCCCCTTCATCATAACGACGATGTTGTCCGCCTTCTGGATAGTAGCAAGCTTGTGAGCAACAACGATTGTTGTACGGCCCTCGGAGGCCCTATCAAGTGCCTTTTGAACAATACCTTCAGCTTCTGGATCAAGGGCGCTTGTAGCTTCATCAAGAAGAAGAACCTTAGGTTGAGAAATGATACTGCGTGCAATAGCAATGCGTTGTCGCTGGCCACCAGAGAGAAGCCCTCCACGCTCACCAATTTGCGTATAATAGCCATCAGAGAGCTGGGAGATGAACTCATGGGCGAAAGCTAGCTTAGCAGCTTCCTCGACACGGTGCATCTGATTTTCCACTAATTCATCTTCCCAGGCAGTACCAGTTAGACCAGATCGAATATTTTCAAAGACAGTTCCTTGAAATAGGACTGGCTCTTGTTGAACTAAACGGATATTGGTTCGGAGCCAGTTAAAATTTAGCTGATCGGTTTCATAGCCGTCTAACCTGATCGTGCCCGATTGGGGATTGTACCAGCGCTCGAGAAGACCGATGATAGTGCTTTTTCCGGATCCAGATTGGCCCTGTACAAAACAAAGTTAGGCACGCTTCCATATCGGTGAAAGTCTGAACTCACAACTAGGGCAGTAGTTTTCCCAGCAGGAAAATTGACGGAATAGTTATCAAGGACTGTAACACCAGGCCGAGTTGGATAGGCAAAAGTGACATTGTCAAACGTGATTTCGCCTGTTATCTCAGATGGTATTTTGCCGGTAGAATTGAATGAATCAATGTCGGACTGGCGGTCGATGAGATCGAAGAGTTTCGCTGCAGCAACGGATGCCCGGGTAAAATCGACAGAATATGGCGCAAGCATGGTGAGGCTGGTTGCGGCGATGATAACGGAGAGGAGGACACTTGATTGTCAGCAGGTAAGTCGGCCAACCTATGCCACAGCTACTTACGTGAAGATCTCTCCGGGCTGGTCTATCTCACCCCTAGCAAACATCCGTATGCCCTGCCAGAAAGCTAGACCGTAGCCCAGGTAAACGATGCAATACTCGGCTGAAAGCAGAGTGCCAAAATGAGGCGAAATTTTGTTACCGACGTGGTGGGCATAAGTCAAATACGTGTTGTATTTTCTGACCAACCTGTTACGCATCTCAAACGCATGGATTGTGCGGATGGATGACAGAATGTTTTCGGCAAATGAGTTAGCTTCGGACTGAATTTCCAAGATGTTGGTTTCGTGGCCTGCCATAATACCAGCTGCAGCTCCGTTAACAATAAGCGTCGCAGGTGCTATGCAAAGGCAAATAAGCGTAAGTTTCCATTGGAACACAAATGCAATAGCAAATGCTGTTACAAAGGTAGATAGTCCTTGGAATAGCAGCCCCAGCTTTTCATTGATGCCGCCTTGAATCAAGCGGCCGTTGGAAGAAGCCTGGGCTGCAATAGAACCACCGGTGCCGAAATCGAAGAAAGCGACTTCTTGGCTAAGGGCGGCTCTGAGGTATGAATGTCGAATGTTTCGAGTTATACGATAAGCGGTGTAGGTCAGAAGCGTGTTATAGGCGTAAGATAGAAAGAATCGGCCGATGCCGAGGTAAACAAAATAGAGAGCAAATGTTGCGGCGTCGTCGCGGAGTTGGGCAGGCGATGTCTTTTCGGTTGAAAAATCAATAACGGCGGTGATGAACCTTCCGAAAATGAGATTTTGGAAAGCGATACCTGCACCGGAGCAAATGGCAGCAAAGATGGCGACGGCTTGCATTGAATGCTCGAACACACCACCGAATTTGAAGATTCTGGCATAGGGCCACGTTTGTGGCTCCTTTTCGGTTGCGCAGGTGGTTGCAAGAGACTCATCGTTCTGGTTCGCCTCGTCTTCCTTCTCATTGGAGATCATGTTGTCAGCCGTTGGTGATAATGCAGTCTTGCATATGCTTCGGAATTTAGGATTATTGGTAAGGAATGACTTCAGCTGAATTCTAAGTGAGGGTAGCGAATTATATTCTTTTGAAGGGAAATAACAGGAGAATCGTTTTTGGGATGAGAAAGCCTTTCCCATGTTAACGGAGTCGGTACCGGAGCTCAAGCATCCCCTCGGCAGCCGGGGCTCGCAAGTCCCACCCTCCGGCCGGCTGGTATCCACAGTTCGTTGCTAGTATCCCAGGTACATTTTAGACGTGGTAGATTTCTGGTCTCGGCGACCGGAGCTCGCGGGGCCCGTCACCGAGTGGCCGAGCGAGAGTCCGGGTGAGTCATGGAGCCAGGCCCCCAGGCGGCGAACGACTCATGCTGTTAACCTTGGGCTAGTCTGCATTCAAGTCAAACTCCACTATAATAACAGTGTCTATTGGTCAGCTCATCATTGCAACCGCCACTGGATGTGGTCTGCGTCACAGCTATTGACACCTCCCTCTCTGCTTACAATTTCCCTTGACGAAAAATTACATTCCTCACTGCGCTGCTTGAAGTGCTGCCCCCCTGTTACTATACTGTGTTATGCTTTCCCTCCTTTCTCGGAGACCGAATTCCTTCTTCCCGATCCCAGACGCCCTCGACTTTGCATGCCTTAGTAAGGAGTAGGGCGGGCTCCAATCTTGCAATAGCTGCTGCGACGCCTGTGCCACCATAACATGGATAACGGCAGTCAGCTCGAGGCCGGTGGACTCGGCAGTGGTCCTGACTGGTCGCCAGTAGCCCCCGATGCAAGTCGTCGAGCTGTGAGTACTCCCATCCCTCACCTTTCAGCTTTCGAATACAGACTGACCTCTATCATAGTGCGATGCTTGTCGTGCTCGCAAGGTATGTACCATGCATGATTACAGAAAGACCTACGTCCATTGGCTCCCTTCGTATATCGAGTTTTGAGCCTGAAGCTTACATACCTACGTCAGGTTCGTTGCGACAGAGAGTCGCCTTGCGCCCACTGCATCAGCGCCAAAGTTGTTTGTGTCTACACTCCCGTCCCAGCTCCAAAGAAGCGCACGCGCATTCTCCTCACCCCACAATAGTATGCGGCCCCTAGATTCCATGCACATGTATTATTCTTCATGACGTCCCATCTTTGTCCTTCACGTTGACTAACATATCGACTTCCTGTCTCCAGCGAACGAAAGATAGACCTCATCGACAGCAGGCTTGAAAGGGCAATCGGGCTTTTGGAAAAGCTCCGAGCGAGCGAGTCGTTCAACGAAAGCTCTCGGTCAGCCGGAAATTCACGAGCTGCTGACCAGGCACCCTCCTCTATATCGATACCAGCCAGCGACTCGACCCAACTGAAAAGGGCCCATGGGCAGGTGGTCGAGGGAGAATCTTCTTTATCAGCTCACTCTGCCTTTGCCAACGAGTTCTTGCAGAAGGTTGCCGCCACCGACTCACTGCAGGTTTCCAGTCCCGAGTTATGCGACACTATTGATGAACTGTCTTCTATACTCACGAAGGAAGCTGTTGCAGATAATGAGCTAGCGTATCCACATGCCAGGCCCATCCGGGTGGTCAATCTCCCAGAAAGTGAGATGCCTCCCTTCAAAAAGGCCATTGCTTTAATTCGTCTTGCGAAAGGTGCGCCTTGATCCATCCCCGCGCAGATTATGACCATTTAGGCTGACACTGTGGTTCACGCCTTAGCAAAACAGCTCATAGGGATTGGCTGGATCTACCAATTCCTTCCGTTTCAAAGATTCACAGACATGTGCCTTGATGTCTATTTCAATGACAATCATTCTGGAGCTAACTTTACCACTGTCAATGCTGGCCTTTATTCGCTATTCTTGGACTACAGCTTTCACGTCGTCGGACAGGAACGGGACGAATACGTCGCCCATGCTCATCTATGTCGCGACAATCTTGAGACTGTTTTATCAAACCTGCCATTGCATCTGCCCGCGACCTCTGACACTATTCTTGCTCTTCTTTTTGGTGCAAGTGGTCCCTCAAATCATGATGCATGCCTGTGCTGACTACTCTTCAGGCCACCTATGCTATTGAACTCTCGAAACCTTCTCGTTCGTGGACCTTGTCTGCCAAAGCATCAGAACTTTGCCAGACTCTGAGCTATCACAGGGTTGCATCGATGAAAAATGACAAACACGACGATTTCTAATACAAGCAATTCCTGTTTTGGAGCATCTACTTCATTGACAAGAGTTTATCTCTGCGCTTAGGGCGACCTTCAACGATACCTGACTGGGATATCACAGTACCACAGCCAACTACCAATGATTCTATTCCTGAGGCGGTTCTAGCCTACTTCGTTCTATCTATCGAGACTGCCCGTTGTCAGGGCAATATTTACGAGATGCTGTATGCCCCCAAATCCACGACACAACCCGATGAGGTAAAGCAATCTCGGGTCGAGGCTTTATTGTCTGATCTACAGACCCTGGATGAAAAGGTTTGGGAAACAAACGTAGGTTAACATGAAGAAAAATGATTGACCAATTTCCTGACATAAACCCAAGATGAAATGGCACCAAGAAGCAAGGAAGGAGTCTGGTGAAGATTTGATAGACTTCTTTTACATTTCAGATAAGGTCCTTCGACTATCCCTCCTTACACTTGTTCATCGGGCCGCGCCACCCATTCCAGGCTCTACCACGACCTTCAACTACAACTGTGTCGCCACTGCAAGAGCCACTTTGGAGAAACATGAAGAATGCGTAGCACACATGCATAAGAGCGCGACACCCTACCTTGCGACTTACATACACTGGTAAGCAATGGAACCTATACTCACCGTTCTTGGTTTGGCTCAGCGCTAACAAACTCAGGACACTTTTATTCGCTCCCTTTATTCCATTCATTGTCATATTCTGTCACGTTATCGAAACCCAGGATGATGCGGACCTAAACCGCCTCCAAGCCTTTGTTGCTTCCATCCAGTCTGCGTCTTCTGTTTCTGATCCCGCCGCCAAGATTCAACGCCTATTCGAAGTTCTCTGCAGAATCGCTGTGGGTTATGTGAAGTTCCGCTGTTCATCATCGCCAGTGGACGCATTTCATGACAGCTCAAAGATAGATGGCTATCTAGACGCGCTGGGATTCTCCTCCACCAGTAGTGGCATCCCTGGCAGACAAGATCCTTTCATTGCTCAGCATGATAGCAGCAATGAGGGGGTGGGCAGTGATGGTAGGAGAACTGGTCCAGATCAGTTTAATGGTGATCTGCGAGCGATGAACCCGATGATGTGGATAGCGAATAGCGCTGAGTTGGAGGAGTGGCTGGGAAACAGTGAGTTTCTTACAGACTTGATATAAATACCCAATGTAAGGGATTTTGTGATGGTCAATCCGCTCGAGCCTATGAGGATACTGATACGTTTATTTATGTACTAAGTGGTCTAAGGCGAGTTTTGATCTTCTTAGGCTGTGATATTTTATTGCCGCAAACCTTGTCGGTCTGAATTCGTAAATTGCATAGAGAGATTGTCTGCGTATATTCCTATATCATGTTGACTATCAACTTTCGCAGTGTGTCTGTTCCCTGGCATGTTTCGCTTATTGCGCCGTCCTCCCGTGCACAAGAGGCCCATATCGTGGTAAGACTTGTGTACTGGTCTAAACTTTGTAATACTGTAGGCATCTCAGACGTTACATTACCATCTCCATTTGTCCCCACGGTCTCCATGATATCTGTTATGAGGGAGTCAAAGCGTGAGCAGAGTAGCTTTCCCTGCTCCCATCGCTCGCTCAGACTACGAAGGATAAACATAGTATCCCTTCCCATGACCCAGATGTTTAGTGTGTGCAAGTCATCACTGCTCCCATCAGGTCCAGTGCGAAGACTCCAGAAACTGTAAAGGGCCATGAGACCGGTCCAATACACCTTTTCACAAGCCACCTGAACGTAGAATATGGAATTCGTTTCCACCAATCGGCGATAGAGTCCGATGAACCCGACTGCAGAATGCCATAATTCGATGAGCTCGCTCATTGTTCGTTCAGGAAGTATTCTGCAAGGTCTCAGCAGAAGCATGCGACCCATCAACCATTCGCTTTCCAGAAGAGTCCTTGTCGGCAGCCGATAGCTTGCTTCTTTCCACTCTGTCAACTCAAGGGAGAGTTGCATGAACGTCTCTCGTGCCATTGACCCATCGGCGTCTGTGGTCTCATTGAGACCATTATAAATCTTGGATTGGATTTGCAGGGCGCGATATCGCTGTAAGTACCCGTGAATCTCTACGGGCGTCGCCGATATCTCGATTCTGAAGGTTGGAAGGGACACATTGATGGCCGAGTCAGATATCTCCGTAGGGCGTCCACATCCCAGACTCATCGACCGATCAAACGCATAAATGCTCCACCACAAACGACGTCGCGTTTCCAACAAGCTCACTTCGATCGAATCTGAAGGTTGTGGATCCTGGTGCAGTCCAAGGTCTACGCACATTCGCATACCAACGCCGATCAGATACCAAGCGTCGAACAGAGAGGGATTTAAAGTCGCAAATTGTATCAAAAACAAGATAGACTGCACCCCGATAATGTTGCCTGGTATAATAGCAGACTCCCGGAATTCTAATGCATGTCGGAATAGTCTTTCTGCTTGTGCTGATATAACGCTATCTGCACTGCGCGAGAGGCTGGAAGTTGATATTGCGAGTACTAGCAAAACTGTGAAATAGCTATAACCGTGGCTGATCGACGAACGGTCAAAGTCTTTCACAGTTGGTGATACTATGCTAATTGGGTCCCGCACGCGTTGATAGTGCATCCCTTGTACAGAGGGTGTCGCGCCGGAGAAGACATGCTGAAATTGGACCCAAAACCCCTGGATGGAGAAGAAGGGGAGACGCGGATATACGTTTTCCAAGTAATGTTTTGCAAGGCTTAAAGCAGTAGATTCTGCAGGCAAGCAAGGTGTTGTTTCCACTCGCTGGGCCCGATGGATGGTTGATGATGAGATCTGGTCAGTTCCTGCGGTTGCCAAAACAAGTGTTGAAAGTGTCGGACCTCCTGTAGCTGACTCGTACGAGGATGGAATGATGGGTAAAGCTTCTATGTCATTGACTAAAGAATCGATCATCGAGCTCTCCTGTGCTTTCGGTGGCTGTTGATGTCCTGGCAATTGGACATTTGATGATGGGGACTGGGAGACACTATGTCCGGTTTGTGCTTGAGCAAGTCGCCGCTGAGCATCGACTATCTTTTGTTGGAGGACTGTAGGATAATCTCTTCCGCGACTAGACGTTTCATTCTGTAGGGAACAAGTATCTTGACGGCCAGATCGAACACAGCGGCCGCAGGCTGGAGTAGCCCCATCACACTGTAAGCGATTTAGTGTATAGACAATAAAAGTGGGCAGGTGTAATCGTACATACCTTGCTCTTTCGGCTTTTACAAAAGCTACATGCCGAGAATACTTGAGATACTCTCAATGACACATTTCTCAGAGGACCCTGTCCGTCCTGCAATGTAGGCTGAGCCATTCCAGTATGAGATGGTGCAAGCATGTCCAAACAGCTTCAACTCTTCAAAACAAGTGTCGTATGCGCTGCGGGGAAGTTAAGCGATTGACGGAACCGCCGGCGGCTTGCACTCGTCTTAGGTCGGTGGGTCGTCCTGATTTAGGCAACGTCTGATCCTCTGGGTCTGGAATTCGGGATATTGATCGCCGACCCCACCCTCAAGCGCAGGGGTTGATGCTTGCTCTCAATTGTACAACGGCGGTTCCGCCTGTGCAAAGTATGAGAACCAGTACCGGATCTTAACAATTATATCATGTGATTGAGTGATGTCGAGATATCATTAACACCTTTAAAATATCAAGCTTCCATGAAGCATTAGTTGATTAGAAACTAAATTCTCGATTCCGTTTCTTATTTATGACTTTTATTATTACCGTAAACTGCCATGGCCCCTGCACGAATTTCCCACGACCCTGTTCTTCGCCGTGAGCCGGCAGCTTCAAGTCGTGACCTCCAAGTCCGCAACCTGGAAGCAGATCTTTGTGTTTGCGGTGGCGGCTTCGCTGGTACCATCGCTGCAATCGCCGCGGCAAGGAACAATGTCAAAGTCATTTTGATCCAAGATCGTCCCGTCCTTGGAGGCAACGCATCCAGCGAAGTTCGGCTTTGGATTCTCGGAGCGACTTCGCACATGTTCAACAACAACCGCTATGCCAGGGAAGGGGGTCTTGTCGATGAGATACTCTTGGAGAATTTATATCGGAATCCCGAGGGCAATCCTCTGATTCTGGACACCATTCTCTTAGAAAAGGTCAAGCTTGAGCCCAATATCAAGCTATTTCTGAACACCGCCTTGGTTGGGTGCGAGAAGAACGGTGATACAATCGGCTCTGTCAGCGCGTTCAGTTCTCAAACGTCGCTCAGGTTCAATATCCGAGCTGATCAGTTCATCGACTGTACAGGCGACGGCACACTCTCTTTCTTGGCCGGTGCTCCGTTCAGAATTGGTGCTGAGAAACGTGACGAGTTTGGAGAACTCTTTGCACCGTCTTCAGAGTATGGGCACCTCTTAGGTCACTCCATTTACTTTTACACCAAAGATGTCGGAAAGCCTGTCAGGTTTGTCGCTCCATCTTATGCTCTCAAGGATGTTGAGGCAGAAATCCCACGCTTCAAAAGTTTCAGTACCAAGGAAATGGGCTGCAACCTTTGGTGGATCGAATATGGTGGTAGACTCGATACCATTCACGATACTGAGGAGATCAAATGGGAGCTATGGAAGGTTGTTTACGGTGTCTGGGACTATTTCAAGAACTCTGGACGCTTCCCGGAAGCGGAAAACTTGACACTTGAGTGGGTGGGCACGATCCCGGGCAAGAGAGAAAGCAGAAGATTTGGTCAGTATTGATTTCTAGATTTACCGGTATAAAGCTAACCTCTACAGTGGGTCCCACCATGATGGTTCAGCAGGATATCGTAGAGCAGAGGTTCCATTCTGACGCTGTCTCTTTTGGTGGTTGGTCACTCGACTTACACCCTGCGGACGGTGTCTTCTCTGAAGTTGATGGCTGTACTCAGTGGCACTCCAAAGGTGAACTTGATCCATACCCAGAGGTTGAATTCAACTGACATATTTCCAGGTGTCTACCAGATACCCTTTTCCTCCATGGTTTGTACCGAGATACCAAATCTTATGTACGGAGGTCGTATCATCTCGGCATCTCACGTTGCTTTCGCATCCACAAGAGTCATGGCGACGTGTGGAGCCAATGCCAACGCTTTGGGAGTTGCAGCCTCGTTGTGCAAGGAGAAATCCATCGATCCTCTTCAACTACTCCAGAAGGCCGAAATGAAGAACTTCCAACTTGAGCTCATGCGCTCTGGGCAATTCATTCCAGGGTATAAGCTTCAAGACACGAAAGATCTTGTCCGTTCAGCTTCAAAGATCGACGGCTCGCCTACTTTTGAACTCTCGCAGCTCCCAGCTGATGGGCCGCCCAAGGTCTTAGTCAGAAGTCTTGCACAGATGCTACCTATCTCGCAAGGACCGGTCCCCAAGTTCTCCATTACCGCCGTATCAGTTGAAGCTACCAAGCTGATCGTTCAGCTTCGAGGTTCTAAGAAGCCTTACAATTATACGCCAGAGGTTATCTTGGCCGAGAAAGCGTTCTCGCTCGACCCAGGTGCAAACGATCTTGTCATTGACTTCGGGATCGAGAATCCTCAGACTCAATATGTCTTCCTTGCCTTTATCCAGAACGATGCTGTTGCACTCTGTACAAGCAAGACCCGTGTTTCAGCCCTCATGACGGTCGAGCATGAGTGCACACAGAGTCCGCCTACTAACGTTGGCGTCGATGAATTCGAGCGATGGACACCTGTTAGAAGGCCGATGGGTCATAACCTTGCCTTGAGTATAGAACCACCCCTCAAGGCATGGGGCGTTGAGAACATTCGCAATGGCGTTCCCCGTCCCACCAAGAGGACGAATTGCTGGGTTCCCTGCTCAAACACGGCTGGTAGAAAGATTCTGAACGTCTCTTGGCCTAGCCCAGTCGAAGTCAGCAGAGTAGTTATTTGCTTCGACACAGACTACGATCACGCCCTCGAGTCTGTCTTGAGAGGTCATCCAGAGAGGGCTATTCCATTTTGCGTAAAGAAATGGCGCCTACTGGACCTTTCTCAAGGGGAAGAACAACTATACATTGAAGATGAGAACCACATGTCGCGATGTGAAGTGGTCCTTGACTCGCCCAGAAAATTGACAGACCTTGGAGTGGAGATACTCGAGCTGAATGGAGGCGAGAACGTTCTTGGTGGGGTATTTGAGGTGCGCGTGTATGAATAGGCTTATGGTATATCGTTTTAGATTTGAATGACTCAAACTATCTCTCTGTGCAGTGGACAGTTCCTCTCTTAAGCAGCCACATCTTTACTTGCCACTCCAATTGTTTGCTCCCACAGAATAGCACCGGGTCGTCTGTCCCATTGACCACAGGTTCAATGTCTCGTAGCTCCATTCTCCGAAGGCAAAAGCCACTGTTTCCATTTAGACTCTGCGACTGTCCTTTAAATCGATCGTGCCACCATTGAGATGGTTTACCATCTATCAATCCATCACCTTCTTCTCCATTAGTTATAAAGATTCGTACCATACTCCAATCTCTTGGGCGCAAGAGTTGATGGGTCAGCAAATATTCGACAGCGCCAAAATCATTAGCCCGAATACTGCACATCAGAACTGGCTTCTTCTCCCCGTCCTCGGGGCTGCTCTTACGGTTCATTTCCAACGCCATAGCAATGAATGGCGCGATTCCAGTCCCTCCAGCGACACAGATCAGCCTTTGTGCACTGTCAAGTATGGCAGGTGGAAATCCACCACCAGCTTGGACAATTATCCCAACCAAGAGATTGCGTGGACGTGGAAGTCCAAGCAGACCCGTGACACGTCCATTCCGAGCCATAAGGGAAATGGTCTCGATCACGCCATCATCGGCGTATCCAATATGGTATGGAGTAAAGGAAAGACGTCTGTCCTCTTCCGACAGGTTTTGAGGTCCCGACACAGGATCAAGATCTCGAGGGAATTGGATGGTCAAGTGTTGACCAGGCCGGAAGCTCCGATTGAAGTTTTGATTGGCTTGGACAGCAAAGGTATGAACACTGAGATTTTGCGTTAAACGGGTGGAAGAGACATGGGTGAGCATGTTAGGCGTTGACTGGGCACCGTTGGTGTCGATTTTGGCGCTATCGAAATTCATTTTAGCTCAGCAACGAAATGTGTCCAATTGATACACTCCGTAAATGTCGGCTACCAGAGATTTGGGATCAAGCCTCAAATAGTCAGGCCATTGATGGGTCATTGTCATGGAATATTTACAAAGCTAAACAAGTCGAACCATCAAAAGCCATGGATAACTGCCAGCCGTTGGCCCGCGCGAGACGGAACCGCCGTGAGGGGCCATAGTGGGCGGCGGAGGTTCCGACTCCCTTGCTATGGAATACCCACACCACGGAATCTTTCCAGCAACCTAGTCGATACCCTCGGCCAAAACGCCATCTCCGCGCTTCCCCAGATTCCAACAATGTTGATAAGGTTAAAAATGATACCTTCCCCAGATATTTTGCGGGGAATATCTTCAAGCATAAGCATTCAGTCATTCTATCGGACCATTTGAACTTCTATTATCACAATGGCTACAGTTGTGGACGCAGCACAGCCCAAGATGAGTGCTTGGCTGTTCTTCAGCATCGTCGTCATCTCCATGGGATCAATCTTTTGGGGGTAAAAATCACCCCAAAGACACTATTCGCCAGATTACTAACAGGTCATCAGTTATGACATCGGCATCCTGAGTACTATCTATGTATCCCCTGGCTTCAACAAAGCTCTCGACAACCCATCCTCGAGCGACAAGGGCCTCATCACTTCCATCTTCTACGCAGGTCAGTTTGTTGGCTTCGCATTCTTTGCAGGTCCCTTGAACAATCGCTATGGTCGCCGTTGGGCAGGCTTTGGAGGCGTGTGTCTCCTCTGTGTAGGTGCTGCCATACAGACCGGCTCAGTCCACCTTGCTATGATGGTGATTGGGCGAATAGTCGCAGGTCTTGGTACAGGTGTGGTATCTACGTCTGTCCCGCTCTACCTGAGTGAGATTTCACCTGCCAAGAACCGAGGACTGTACGTTGCTGCAAACCAGGTTGGCATTGTGTCCGGGTAAGTCAAGACTGAATTCTCAAATGCGATCGGTTTCAGTTTCTAATTATCGTAGCATATCGATCGCTTTCTGGGTTGGCTATGGATACTCCTTCTGGAACACTGGAAATGGTATCGATCTGGAATGGCGCCTATCTAATGCCATGCAATTCGTTCCCGCCGTTCTCTTCCTGTCAGGTGTTCCTTTTATCCCTGAGAGGTATGTCTTGTGCCCAGTGTCCCATGCTGATCTCATCTAATTGCCTGTCAGTCCTCGATGGCTAGTTGAATCAGACCAGATTGAAGCCGCTAGCCAAGCACTTTCCAAACTACGCGGCCTTTCCCCGAGCGAAGTCCAGCCCGAGCTTGACGAGATTCGAGCCAATATTCTCTGGCACCAAGAGAACTCCATCACGTCTGCGCGAGTTTTCATCCAGCAGAAGCCACTATGGTCGCGACTCTGGCGCGCGTGGTCGCTCGCATTTCTTCAGCAAATGAGTGGCGCTGCTGGCATTAGATACTACCTCCCCACAAACTTCATTGCTGCTGGTACCTCGGAAGAGTTGAGTCTGCTTGCCTCTGGCATCGACGGGACGGTCCAAGTGGCCTGCACTGTTGCTGCCATGTTCTTCATTGACAAGCTTGGTAGAAGGCACTCGCTTGGGGTGGGTGCCATAATCATGGCATTTTGTCTGATGGTATGTTGTGAGATTTCCTTTGGGTGATTGATTACTGACAAGATGGTCCGGCAGATCAACGGCGCTTTGCAACTCGCCTATCCCGGCCAGACAAACTCACACGCTAACTATGTCAACATCTTCTTCATCTTCTTCTTTACGGTCGGATGTAAGTTTCTCGTTCATGCTCTACCACAAACACATACTGATGAGTTTCTCCAACAGACAGCATGGGTTTCGGCCCCTGCGCATGGATCTACGCATCTGAAATCTTTCCGGCAAACTGTCGTTCCAAGGGTCTGGGCATTTCGTCCTCTGGTGCATCTCTAGGTTCCATCATCGTAGGACAAGTCTGGCCAGTTGCTGTATCTCGCATCGGCCCAAAGGTCTATTTCATCTTCATGTCCTTCAACGTCTTTTCTGCGATCCTTGTCTATTCATGCTACCCTGAGACAAAGAACAAGACCTTGGAAGAGCTCGATTCGCATTTTGGCTCGCTTAATGTCCACTCGGAGGAAGTTGCTACGCCAAAACAGATGCTTGGTGGGGAAGAAGAACGCGTCGAGGCACGCGCGAAGGGCGTTTGAGTGGGGCTAGGTCCGATCAACATTTGACTATTTCGAGGAACGAGACGACTGGTCTCTAATGTATCAAAAGTCCAAACGGGCTTTATTTTCGATTTATTATGCTGTCTTTTCACTGGCCAATTACATTGTCCCAGAATCGAAGGATAGGCCATACCATTTTATGAAAGACTTTTTCAGATGACAGGTTATCATCTGGGCCCAGAGTCTTGACCAATGAGAAATTTCACCTAAGAAAGCATGAACCATCACGTAAAGCTGATGCAAACTTATCGGTAGGATATCTAAATTAAATTCATCAACTAGAAAGTAAACATCCATCTCTTATTAGGAAGAACGTTTTAATAACATTGCTTCCGAATAGTTGTTTGCAATATCTCTTCTGCTACCCTATTGCACTCCAGAACGCCAATTAAACTGCAGGGATCATGACGACTTGGCTTTGCCGAAGGAAGAAATCCAATGTTAGCCGATGCGGGGAAGTCTCCAGGAGCCATACCTCAATAGGCTTAGCGAACAAGAGCGCGGAATGAGTTCCATCATTACTGTCTCCGCACTTGTGTAGACCTCGTCAAACTCATGAAACTGTAAACAACAAATACCACAGCCTTTGTGACGCCGTTTAGCAATGGAAGATATTCACTCAGCGTTACTATCAGAATTTCCCTGAGAGACGGAAAGAGGAGTATACCGATTCACTACTGTCCTCGACCAGAGGGTTGGAGGCATGGATTTACAATGTTTTGTACGCCCATATGACCTTATCCTCATCGTCACACGTCTGACTGTATTGTTCCCTGCAGACAATAAATGCCTGTAACCGCTGCAGAAAACGAAAAGCGCGCTGCGATACAGGTACGAATCAGGTCTCCATACTTTGCAATCCTCTTTGGCTAACGACGGGGTAGAGATTCCAGCATGCCAACCATGTCAAAACTCAGGGTCTATCTGCGAGTATACAGACGGGCGTTCAGGCAAAGTTCACCCAAGGAGTTTCATCCATGATCTGGAGAGACAACTTATGGAGTTGGAGACACAATTACATGATACCGAGAATGCATCGATTGAAGCGTCTCCAGCTACTTCAAATCTGACATCCAGCGAAGAATCCACACAGACTTTCACCACTGGGAGTGGTGAGGGACAATCTAGCTTTATCGGATCTTCAAGTGGTAGAGTGACAGTTCTCATATTGATAGCCTTTGCTAACATCGTATAGGAATCCACTTGGTTCGATCAGCCCTCGAGTGCGCTCAGCAGGATTACTCGAATCTGGAAACACCGTCAGAATCTGCAGAAGCGCGACCCAATCCTCCACAGCCACAAAAGTATAATGAAAGGACTGCTTTACCCCCACGAGAACTGGCAAATAATCTGAAAGACACCTTTTTCAGCTGTTATCAAATTCAGTATCCGATTCTAAACCAGGAACAATTCGAGAAGACCATGTCACAATTCTACGATGATCATGAAGGCAGGAATGACACCTCTGACTTGTCAGCTGTGGACGTACGAGTGCGGTTTATGATCAACATGGTTCTTGCGATTCCCCTAATGTCTATGGCTGGGGACCATGACGAAAGTCATACATTGTCAAAGAGTCTCACTGCCAATGCCATGGTTGATGCAGGCCACATCATGCAAGCAAAGAACGTGCAGTCTCTACAATGTCTACTGCTACTTTTGTTACTTTCAATAGTGGATTCTTCTTCCGCGCCCGTCTGGTATATATCGGGCCTATGCATGAGGATGTGCATTGATTTGGGATACCATTCAGAAAGGACTATCGATATGTCTTCTTTCTCGGGTGCGACCGACACGCGCAAAGAGGAAGAAGCAGATATTAAGCGCCGCCTCTTTTGGATTGCGCGTAGCTTTGACAGAACCTTCGCCGTCCTACTGGGTCGTCCTTTCACCTTTGACAATCTGCCAGTCGATGTTGACTTACCTGGCTGCTCCCTGACGTCTACGAACCGTCAACAGACATTACATTGGCTTGAGCTGCAGCGACTGCAAAGCGTGATAGTTCATAGGCTTCACGGTACACGAGACGCCATCGATCGACACCATACAGAAGATTCAGAACTTGAGATATCTCAATGGATGATAAACATGGCGGAAAGTCTGAGAGATTGGAATAATATCGCCCAAACGCTTGCTGACCCTTGTGGCTGCGACGTCAATTGGTGGAGCTACTGGCATAGAACAGCTTTGCTCATTTTGTACCGGCCATCTTCGTTACGACCAAGCCTCAGTCCATCCGAGACATTGTCTTGCTACATGGCGGCGAAAGAACTCATACAACTATCATTTCTCCGCATTAGTGAAGGCTTGGCGGACTTTACTTGGATTGATCTTCACTTCCAATTCATGAGCGGTATTACTATGATACTCATTATATGGAAGAATGTAGAAGCGAGGAATAAGGCTCAAGAGGATTGGGTCTCGCTCAAGAGTACCCTGTTTCAGTGGAAGTTGATATTGGAGAGACTTGGAGCGCGTTGGGAACGAATCGGTCGAGCTCGTGAAGTACTGTCTAGATTGGCCGATGCTACGGTCGACCTGGTGGAGAAGGATCCTGCAAGACCTACAGGCGCCCTTCAGACAAGGGTGTTTCAAGGCAGGAGAGAAACAAGACGTAGCCAAAGGCACTCGATCATACAAAGACTTCGAAATCTATCACAGCAAGATCGAAGTTCAGCTGGATCCTGTCGGGACTCGAGGTTACCTGATTCTAACACAGCGTCCGATGGAAATACCATACAGTTAAGCAACTCCATCAACAACAGGAATCCCGAACATCGAGGTCAGGATGTGACCACTACGCAGGAGCTTCCACTAGGACCTGCAGGGTGGAACTGGACCGATTCTAACGTTAATATACAACAAGAGACAGCTATTGGGTCACAAGCTGTTGGTAATACCTCGAACTGGGAGGCAGAAGAAACACTCTGGCCACTACTCAATCTATCTGATATCACGACTGGCACTGATGAGTTGGATCTCTGGGCGTATTTCTCCGCTCCGATGCTGGACATGGAGAATCTAGCCCTCCCAAACTTCAACGGTGGCATCAGACTTGACGAGTCCCTTAACAATAGTATCCTCAACTTTCAAGGGGATCTCGACTACTTGCCTTCTCCAACCGGAGCCAACGGTACTGAGGGAAGTCATTGATGACAATAGTGAACCGAAGAGCAAGACAGACACAACACATCTATCTATAATTCATCGACATAATCATAATTTAAAATCGATCAGTCTTGGTTTTTAACACTCGATATGCACTTCTCCACCTTCTGGTCATCTACTTTATCATTATGTGACTACACGTGTCTGACATGTAGAACCTACTTAGAATAATCTCTTGTGAAAATATGGCATCTATTGAGGTCACACGGACAGCTGCATCAGTGAGTATTGTCAGGCATCCGTGCATCTTCCTGGGTAATATTAGCCGGTAGACGGAACCGCCGGTGTCCAGCTCAGAGCGCGGCCCTTCCGACAGCTAGACTACGACTAGTCGAAAAAGGATTATCAGCCGTCGACCCCTGTACATTCCGCTCGCCTAAGTGTATCTCGACTGCCTTAACCTCGCGCGGCGGTTCCTCCGCAATGTATCCCCACCAAAATCTCAACCCCTGTCCAGAAGGACGATCCAGAATGCGTGGAGTCTGGGGAACTCTAGAACGGAATTGTCCCGATCACAGAACCGATCGATCATTTAGCTCAACTATACGGAGGAAAAGGAAGAAGATGATGCATATAAACTCGCATAAACGCCATCGTTCTGGACGCTTCTTCAGTGCTTCATTCAGTTTATCAACATGGCGAATTACAAGCTTCTCATCTATCTTGCTGCGCTTTCGAGAGTACATGCTACGGTTACACCCGGCGGCCTCGCTACCATATCAACTGCCGTAGATGTCAACAGCCAGGCTGGATGGTGGAATCCCCTAGACGAATATGGCGGTTATGATTGGCTTGCCTACCTACGAAACCCTCCAGGTGGAAGCACAGCCAACAACAACGTGATGGTAGCCCGTCGCTCCATTTCCGATGGCACCATCTCCCGCGACTGCGTCAAGACTTCTGCTGGTCAATGCGCTGTTTTCGCTGATGACCTTGGCCACAATACTCCGAGCATTGCTGTAGACGGTGACGGTTACGTCCATGTCTTCACCAGTATGCACAATGAACCGTGGCAGTACTTTCGGTCCGCCACGCCATACAGCAGTACCCTGGTCGATGCCAGCTCTGAAATGTCGGATCAAACCATCAAAGTCACATATCCTGTCATCAAACGTGACGCTGATGGCAATCTATGGTTGATGATTCGTGGACAAGCGCCCAACGACAACAACGCAAAAGGTGGTTACCTTTACAAGTACACAACAAGCGAGGGTTCTTGGTCGCGAGTTGCTATCTGGGCATACAACAAAGGATACTCAGTATACCCAGACGATATCGCTTTCTCATCGGATGGTGATATCCACCTTCAGTGGGAATGGAGCAAGTACCCTGCATCTGCTGTTCGACATCAGGGAAGCTACGTTCGCTACAACCCATCGACAAAAGCTTTCACCTCAGCTTCGGGAGCCACAGTCTCTATCCCCATTACACAGAATAGCGCCGATATTGTCTACCAGCCGTTGACGTCGGGTGAGACGTACAGTGGTGATATCAATGCCTCGCCAGGTCCTGCCTTCCAAAGTGCGAAGATGGCGCTCTATGAGCGGCCTGATGGATCTGTTCACATCCAGCATGCATATCGCTTCAAGACTTCCAATGCAGGTACATGGCAGATCCGTCGTGCCACTGCCACATATGGGACCCAGGATCCTTGGAAACGGGAAATACTTTACCAAGACAGTGAGACAAGTGCGGCACTAGGTATCACGCATGATGGTACGAGTGCGCGTATCTATTATTGCCGCTCTTCGGCCAGTGCACACGTGCTTGAGAATTTTGGCGGTGCCGGCTGGACTAATACAGCTCTTGAGCCTGTAGTTGGTAAGAAGGTGCAGCGTCTCCAAGCATTGATGAAGAATGATGGAACTGACGTCTTGTACTTGGGATCCCCTACGAACGTCAACTCTACAACTGGAAGCCTGTACCTTATGACTGTTGGGGGACGGGAGTAAAGTAGAGAATTAATAGCTACTTTCTATATGGTTAGGAATGCTATTCCAGATGGGCTAGTAGCCCATGTGTCCTGAGCGGTATCTTCCAAGCTTTCAAGTACATCGGATAATGTCCAACGCGGGTGGCCTTCCTCGGTGGAGCCAATGTCTTGATGAAACACGGTTGCACAATCAGAGCCAGTCCTAATTAGAAAGCGTGCCTATGTATCCTTTGCCTGGGGTCCGTTATGAACACTTCAGCCTAGTCACCTTCGGTCCTTGATTTATTACATCTTGATCAATTACTACCGTTCTTTGTATAACTTGAAACAATAGAATAGTATTAAAAAGACTCTGCCTTGAGTTAAAGAAATAACTCAAACTGGACGAGGAAACCTGGCTTCCTGGTCTCTACGAGCTTCCCGAGCTCTAGCCTTGATACCGTCAACCTCCTCGGGCAGTAGAATACTCTCCCAGACAAAGAAGTAGAATTCGTCGAAGGTATACTGCGTATCATTTACGCCAGACGCTAAGCCCAAAAGCCACAGTCGCTTCCTGTCTCAAAAGGCAAGACCTAGTGGACGAAAGGACTTGAAACCAACACCGGGTAAAGGCGACGTACCGGAACGAAGATGATCCCTCAGTCGCTGCCAGAAATTGACACCATATGGCCGGAAATCGAAAGCCTTCGCTGTCTGCTCCCACTTTTTCTCCTCCGTAAACGTTGGTAACTCCACTGGAGTTGCTCCTTCTGGCACCCGGAGCCCTTGACCCAACCAGTGGAATTTACCATTTAAGCGATAACCTCTAACTTGCATAAACACTTCGTTGTGATTTGGGGGTGCTGTTATCCATCGGTTGTTGACTGACGGCGCGGGGGCCGGGGGAAGTCGATAGAAGACATCTTTTCTAGGTGTCGTGAGTGTTGCAAGATAATCCATTGCTGACTTAATTGGCTCAGTATCAGGGAGTGGACTGTCACGGTCGAGAATTAGATCGACCGGACCCATGCCAAGTAGGAGCGATATATCGTCTTTGGGCCATCCGATGCCTGGCCTGTTGGTAGCGAGCAGTTGCATGTCTCTAACGAGTTGAATGATCCACATCACTCGCACAACACGCATTTCCTCTACCCAAGTTGGCTGTCCCATATCAGTAACAGAGACTGGCGTGCCAACAAACTCGCGATCCCAGGCAGGAATCCATTCCTCAGTATCTTTGTAATCGTGTGTGTAATGTGGTGACGGGTTATAAGCATGCAGTGGCTGGAAGCTTGGGTCTCGTAGCCTTTCCAGGCAAGACGCCAGGTATGATTGCGATAGAGACGTTATATGATAAGCTGTCGCGACGATGGACCTAAGTATTGTCGGACTGGGTGTGTAAGATAGTGAACCTGGACCCAGGCTCTTAACTTTCATCTGGAGTTAGACAGGGAATCATGGCCTTCATAAATTGGGTCCGGAATTCCTCTAGACCCTCAAGGGTAAGTACGCCATAGCGTACAAGTATCACAGCTCGAATAAGCTCTCTGACCTTTGATGGGATAATCGACTGTGGTCCTGATAATATGCCTTCGGTGATGAGAAGGGATTTCAAGCCATCTTCAAAGAAACGCCATGCCTGTGGAGAGGCTTGCAGTAGATTCCATAGTGGGTCGAGACTCGGAAGGCTAGTAATGACAGAAAGTAGAATCTCGGGTGGCAGGCTCTCAAGTGAGAGTGCGCGAGGGTGCTTAGCATCCGACATGTTAGCCAAGGCTGTTGATGTGAGAAGTGGTTAGAGAAGAGAATTGTAGACGTTGATAGCGGGAATGCGCGTCTTTTAAAGCGTTTTCTACACATCCATGTCTGTGTTGGTTCTGTCTGTTACTGGCGTGCAGATCTCCCCCCATCCAGGCCCCACGTAACACTAGTTATCCCACGGCAATAATGATATCTTGTTTTTGTCTTTCTATAAATTGACTACCAATCTTTCTTCGCCCCGGAACAGTCTCCAACAATTCGCCGAGTGAACTACTTCCGGACAACCCTTTAACAAAAAGCCCCATCGTCGCACAAACCCTTCGCTTACTTCCCATGAAGTTGCAAGCCATGGATCTCCCCATACCAGAAAGCCGCACCGTTCAATGTCATTGAACCCCTCGTAAATTCTCAGCCCCAAATCAAGAAGAAGCGCATGGCTGTCGTATTCATCAGCCATAAGTATCAGGTTGTCACGTAACTTTGGGAAAGGTAGTGCATTAATCCAGAAAGGAGGAGATCTCGATCGCTGCAGGGATGTTGTTCGGAGATCCGATGGAATGTCTTTCGCTGCTATTATATCAGTTTCAGACACGCCAAATGCACTACGACATCCCGGTGGCAGGTGATGCAGCAGTGAGAGCAGGGACATATTGTGCAGCAAGGCACGGACAACGTTGTATTGAACCAGTGTGATAAGCCAGTGATCCGCCGAGAGTGGAAATACGATCGGGCGTGGTGGCTGAATCCCGCAAGCGAATGTCGAGTACGGCAACAATGGCGGTATGAGTCTGTAAGTCTCACATTGAGAACAGATATTTCGCTCTGGCCTATGAAATCCACATGAGAGGACGTTGACCTTGGGGTTTTGAAATGCCTCTGTGATAGACGAGTCATGTGCGACGTTTGTATGGCTGTACAAATTAACACTGACAAGCATACCATATCCTTCTTGGTAAAGATACTCGCCAGGTGTGCTCGAAGTTTGGGATATCTGGTTTCTGGCACCTGAAGATGTGTTAATTGAGGGTCTGGAAAATGAATACAGGCGGTACGTCGACATAGTTTATCCTAGGTAAGGATGCAGGCAAATACTTACGCCAGGCTCTCTGTCTCAAGCGGTTCTGTCGCTTCTTTCTCTCCACGGGATTTGTGACACCATGCCAATCGTCCTCATTAGACCGTATATTGGAGGGATCAAGTCGACAGGACTGGGTAATCGGGGCATCAGACATGCTGAGCCACGCTAGGTACTCGCGAAAAAGCGTTAGGTTGTTCCGGAACCCTTCTGGTGGTCAACGCTGAGTAACAGTCGGCCTTAGGTCGTCCCTACTCATTTACTTCGATGTTGATGTGTAAGATTTGAGCTGTGTATGGAATTCTTACCTCCAGGAGATCAATGCTTACTCCGATGCAATCTGCTTTAGTAATCTGTGGAGGCTGTCAGCTGCAACTGCGTTACGGGCTAGTACCAACTCGGTTAAATGGTTTGACCTTGTTTAAGAATAGTGTGTGGGAATGGGATTGGTAATTTAGTGTTACGCTCTTAGAGTGTCGTCGGTTGGTCGGCGCATTATAAGATACTGACCTTCCCGCTCCAACAAACCGGTATGTGTTCATTTACTTGCATTCAATTGTCATCAGTGTATCAGGAGGCCTGCATTGAACTCTCCAAATCCGACATCCTCATTCACGCATATCGGTCATACCAATTGATACGATGATGCATCAAGAAAAGCCAACTATAGCCTGCTTTGGTGCTACCGGAGGATGTGTGGCGACAGCCTTAGCAAGCGCACTGAAAGATGGGTATTGTTGTACAGCTCGTACGTCTCGTTTTTCACACTTGTTACATGTCCTTTGCTCACAGATTACAAGTTATTAGGGATCCGGACAAGCTGCACAAAATTCTGATCACTCAGAAAGGCGTTCCATCAGGTATTGTCGACCGATATCTTACCGTTCATCGGGGCGACGTGAAGGATCCCACCGCCGTCGCACAAGCCCTTGTCAGCCCAACCGACGCCAAGTTCGTTGTTGACTTTATGCTCAGCGGCGTCGGCTCACGCCCTACATTTGAATGGAGTATTACGAGACCTCTCCCGCTGCAAGACAAAACCATCTGTGAAGATGCCATCAAAGCGATCTACACTGCTCTCTCCAATCTTTCTGCTTCCGGTATCACCGGCACTACCCGCTCACAGAAGCCTCTCCTTGTGGCTGTAAGCGCCGCGGGATGCGGGAGGAAGCGAGGGATACCTCTCCCTGTCTATTTGCCATACCATTACGTTGTGGGAGGGCCACTGGCAGATAAGCAAAAGATGGAAGATCTGATCTTCAAAGATGGAGGTCGCCATGTACGGGACTTTGTTCTCATGCGACCAGTGATTTTGACCGATGGAAAGGCAAAGAGCGATGGGCAGCTCCAAGTTGGCTGGGAATGGGGTGTTGTCAGTGACGAAGACAATGTTAAAGAACCAGGGCCTAAGATCGGATATCTCATCAGTAAAGAAGATCTTGGGAAGTGGGTATTTGACCATGTCATTACAGAGGGTGGGTGGGAAGGGAAGTGCATTTACTTAACCTATTAAGAGCTGTAGTTTTAAAGTATGGACAGGAATGACAGGAATGCACAAGGTCAATAATATCATACTAATTGATAATAAACAAATTCGAGCTAGATAAAACTCAGTTTTGGCGTGCAACCGCAAATGGGTTGGCAGTAAAGGTTCCATTCGGATCAGCTGCCAGTCTTGCCTTACCCAGTCTCTGGTACTTGTCCTCATCTTCATAATAGGTCTTCCAAACTTCAGGCTTTCCCATATCCCAATCACCCCATGAGCCCCAGAGAACACGCCTGTCAGTCTTGCTGAAATAGCTTGATTTGCCAATCATTGCAGCATCATTCTCACTCTGCCATTTGTTTGCCAGATCCTTTGAATCCTTTGATAGCTTGGGGTTTTCTTTATCTTCCTGAAGGTACCAACAGTCGACAGTTTGAAGGACGGTTGAGTCTCTCCAGCTATAAGCAGTCCCATTATCCCGATTCTTGTAGAAGAGCGAATTCTCTCCTCCAAAGCACTGAATCTGGGCTGAGAGCTTACAATTGTCGTAAAGGGCATTGGGTACGGGTTTCTTGTTGGCGTCGTCGAGCTTTTCATACGGATCGCAGATCAGCTTCAGACGCTGAACCAGACCATCAACCCAGCCATCTTTGCCGAGAGTTTTCGAGTTGGTGGCGTAGGTACGCTTGATGTATGGACGGGGGAACTCTCTTCGTTGGGGGAACAGCCAGTGGCCGGTCATCTTAGCCATGTCCGCATTGAACTCATCAAAGTGAACACAGCCAAGATCCAGATTATCCAAAGCCCGAAATTGCTGGAACCACGCATCCACGCTTTCGTCATACTTCTGTTGGCCTTCAACTGGGCACCATTGAGCATAGAGTACAATGGTAGGAGGCAGTTTGCCCTCTAAGAGGGCGCGAATAGTGGGAGGGAAAAAGCTTGCCACCAAATCTTGAAGGCCTCGCCAAACTTCATCATTCTTGAATGATGGAAATAGTTTGGTGATGTCAAAGTCCTGGCTCAAAACATTGACACAAAGGTCAAACCCTCGCGGTGCGGTGCCCTTGTCAGACATATCTGCAACAATTTTCAAAAGAGAGGTAAGAGTCTTCTCATTGTAAAGCCAAAAGGCTTTCACTCCATGCGGTCCCTTGAATTGCTTTGGCCCTTTGGGAGTTTTGATCGTGTTCTCGATTCCCATGTAGCTCTCAGCCTTGAACGCCATGATGGTGTAATGTGTGATCACACCAAAATTGCCTGGGCTTCCGCCACGTATAGCATAGAAGAGCTCAGTGTGGCTGTGCTGGTTGATGTGCAACACTTGGCCTGCATGGTCAATCATTCGTATCTCAGTGATATGGTCACCAAGAAGCCCAAAGCTGCGACCAAGTTGGCCATAACCGCCTGTCTGGCCATGCCCTCCAAGACAAACATAGGCGCACTGCCCAGTAGGGAGGAATAGTCCGAGGTTGGTGAGATAGGCATTGAAGTCCTGCAGCTGGTTGCTTACACCAGCAAACACAAGGACCCTATCATTAGGTACATCAATGGTAGGATTTTCGATGATCTTCATATCCTTGTATGTGTCGCTTAGATCAAGTTGCACATTCTTGCCTCCACAAGAGGATGCGCCACTGTATTGGTGGCCACCACTCTTGATAGCAATGGCGACCTTGTTCTTAGTGGCCCATTGAATGGCGCTCTTGACATCGTCATCATCTTTTGGTTTCAGGATGTGTGCAGGGTTCATATTGTGGTCTATCCCGTAGGACGTAGTCGCATACTGCTGATTGAAGAAATTGTAGTCCTGTCTGGCATATTGACTACTGTCACGGGAGTATTGCATCCCGATAAAATTATTGACTGATGCCATGATGCAAAACGAAGAGAGAAAGTAATTTGATGATTATGATGAAAGGGGGATTGGTGATGAGGCTGATTTGAAATTCTGAACTGTGGGCGAGCCCGGAAATATATAGTTATCTGCTTTCTCCTACTTTAAGCAGTTCTCAGCAAATTCCTACTGTTAGCAATTCTACTTTTGGTCAGTATCTCTGTACATTAACAATGTGAAACATGCAGTTGCGGTCAAAAGGCCTCGACTTGTCGAGGCCTGATATTATCGAGACCTCGTACGTTTTCCGCTACAAGCTGAAATTCAGTCAGCCACTTTCCATTTGTTTCGCCGCTTCTTTTCACAGCCAGACAGACGCAATAGGTTGCGCATGAGAATGGGCGGGGTTTGAAAATGTGATTTGTTAGTAAAGTTAGACATGGCGTTGAGATCAGAAGGCCTCGACAGGTTGCGGGGTAAAGTTACTGAGACCTCATGGGGATCTTCATGCCAATCGGTCTTCAGCCAGCCACTTTCTTCTCAAAACGTTTCTCACGCCTTGTCAATGAAGTTTTGCCTGAACCTAAGCTTGCAAGCAGCAACTTAGTTTGCGTGGATTCATCTCACTCTGGAACAGTTAGAACGAAGGGTAATACGAATCGTAAAATTCAAGATACGTATGCGATGAAGCTGCATTAGGCTAATGAATGAGTTATGCAAGTTCAAACTATTCCGTAGGTGAAAAGGTTTTTATGAGCGGCTGAAAATTGTAGCCCTAGCCATCTGGCACCTGCGCTGAATTAGCGCGGATCTTTCCCTCTTTTAGCTTGGACTAACCGAAAACATCCCGGCGATACTTCTAAAATAAAATATGGATACTCGTTGGCTAGACTGGGAGTACAGGGTAATGCATGCTCATGGTATGTGATAAATATGGCTTTAGGTCAAGTATGTGAGTAAATACCGTGCTATTCGCAAAGCTTCAAAACATCAACGGAGCTGGGTAATGTAGTCAGATAAACCGGCTGGTATGACATCGGTAGGACTTTTTCTCGGCTGATAATGTTCTTTCGTCAAAATTCCTACTCTTGAATAACACGGGTAGAAATGACCTGGCCGCTGCTCTTCTAAAGTCACGTTCAACACAAGCTATTGTCACGACGACAGTCTACTTCCTGTTAATTGTTCCAATCATCAAGATCACTCCATTATGGCTCCCTCCCACTCCAACAATTGCATCGTTATCAATGGACAATAACTAGAATGAACATTATCTTACACGATCAAAAACGCACCATGCTTAGTCAGCCTCTTTGTCATCATCAAAATTGGCAAATGAACTCCGCTTTGCAGCCAGTTCAGCCAACTCTTCCAAACTCTGCCCACTCATAATATCGAAAACCGCAATATCGGAGCCAACCTCCTTCATGAACCAGGCGCGCAACTCAACTGCAACCAGTGAATCAACTCCATAACTGTGCAGAGGCTTTGATACATCAATGTCTCGTTCGCTTGAAGACAGTGCTTTGCAAAGCTTCTGAACGATAGCTGCGCTGACAATCTTAGATGCGTCAGCTAGCGATGCCGCCGCTGGGAGTAGCGTGGAACATGACGTGGCTGAACCTTCACCATCGCCTTCACCTTCATGATCACCTTCGCCTCGGATCTGGTATAAATGTTTGAAAAGAGGATCACTCATCCAAGCTGGCTCTGGAATACCCTTGATGCGGAGAGTAGCTGGCGCCTCAAGACCAACTGCAATTTGTGAAAATGAGGAAGCCTGCAACTCTTTGTTGGCATTGGAAGAGTACTTTCCATTCGGGTCACATAACATGTCGAGAAGGGCAAGGAACTCGTCTTCTCGCATGGCATTGAAACCTTCTTGACGAAGATTAGCCATGCTCTCTTGGTTCTCGGCAGCGAATCCAACAGAAAGGATCATTCCCAGGTCGACAGCCACACCTGGCAGCCCCAAAGCAACGCGGTGACGGGCTAAGGAATCTTGGTACGTGTTGCCAACACAGTAGTTGGACTGGCCTCGGTTGCCTACTACGCCTGAGGCGGACGACAAGAGGATGAAGAAATCCAGGTCCTGGGGAAGAAGCTCGTGCAAGTTTCGTGATGCGACAACCTTGGGGCGCACGGCAGTATAGTAGTCTTCCTGAGACATATTGGAGAATATGCTATCCTTGAGTACCATGGAGCCTTGGATGCAGCCCTTGATAGGTGGCATCGTCTTGGCGCAATCACTGAGAACTCTTTCAAGAGTGGCACGGTCAGACACGTCGCATTGAGGTGCCGACGCTGTAACACCAGCCGCAGCGAGCTCTTCCATGAGTTCTTGAGCTGCTGGTCGAGTTGTTCCAGATCGGGAGAGAAGGATGAGGTTCTTGGCACCACGAGATGCCATCCAACGTGCAGCACTACGTCCAAGGCCGCCGAGACCTCCAGAAAGAAGATATGATGCTTCAGGATCAAAGTAATATGTCGGCTTTCGACTGGGTTCGACCTGGAATGCGTTAGCGTTGGTACGTACTAAGAGCTGTTGATATAGCTTACCATGACAAGATCATCAGGTTGAGCTTTCAAGACAAGCTTGCCCATGTGAGACCCTGATTGCATGATTCTGAACGCCTCTTGAATGTCCGAGTAACTATAAACATGCAGTGGCTGGGGTGGGGTGATGGATCCTTTCGCAAGCAGGTCAACCACATCTTGAAGGACTCGAGAGAACAATTGACCTCTTTCAAGTGAAATGAGACCAATGTCGAAGAAGGAAAAGGTAACGCTCTTCTTGAACGGTCCCATTGGGAGACCGGCGTTGGCAAAGATATCAACCTTACCAATTTCGATAAATCGCCCGTATGGTGCGATACAGTCCCAGCTCGCACGCAGGGTCTGTCCGGCTGTAGAATTGAGGATAACATCGACGCCACGTCCATCAGTCAATCTCTTGATGCCGTGTACAAAGCTCAAGTCACGACTTGACAGCACATGGGACAGAGGCACACCATAGTGCTCATGCACAAAGTCTCGCTTCTCGATAGAGCCCACAGTGACAAACACTTCAGCTCCAACTGCTTTGGCGAGTTGAATAGCAGCCTGCCCGACACCACCAGCGCCCCAGTGGATCAGGATGCTCTCTCCCGCTTGGAGGCGCGCAAGGTCATGAAGTCCGTAGTATGCGGTCGTGTAGACAACTGGTACTGCCGCGGCAACGGCATAGTCGATAGTTGAGGGAATCTTGGCGAACTGCCATTGAGAGCCTCGTGCGAATGTCTTGAAAGTTCCCCTAAGCAGACCGCAGACACGATCGCCCACAGAGACGCGCTCAACATCTGTTCCTACACGAGTCACGACACCGGCGCACTCTTGTCCAAATGCTTCGCCAATGACCTGGCCAAGAGCTATCATGACATCAAGAAGATTGAGACCTGTAGCGTGAACGCGGACCTCAACATCATAAGGTCCGAGCGGCTTCTCGTACAGCTCGTCGTCTTGGAACTGAAGACTATCGAGAAGACCAGGCACAGCGCACTGCAGCGTCAAAGCCCTGTCATTGCTAGCCTCCTGCCATGTATCTGACCTGGCTGGCTCACCCTTGGTTTTAGAGGCGATGAGATGATTGACTGTATTGGCCTCAGTGATGCGCGGAATGTAAACAGCGCCATCCTTCTCGAAGAAGGTGTTTTCGTTCCCACCGCCTGAACTCAAGATCCTCAAGATTATGGAGGCGGCCTTGTCCCAGGAATCCAATTCATCGACAGATAAAGTGGCAAGGTTTAGTCCCGGGTTTTCAGCGCGCATGCAGCGAGCGAATCCCGTCACCATGTCAGCACCGGGGTTCTTGGGTGACGGGCCACCTCCCTGGTTAACCCAAAGTAATGTCTTAGTGGAACTGACCAGCTTCTGGAATGCTTCATAGTCCTCATCATGAACGTGTTCCAGAAAGTCGGACTCAATGTCCCCAAGAAAGATACAACGGGTTTGTTGCAGCTCCTTGAGATCCGCCACAGCGTCTTGCAGGTTAATAATATTGATACCAGTGCTGAGGCTCGCCGCTTGCTTCTCAATAACCGTAGCAAGCCTCTCTTGGGTGGCTGAATTGGAACCTGTACCGCAAGTGATGATCTTAATAGGTGACGAGGCGTAGGAAGTGGCTGGGGTATTCTCTTCACCTCCATCACCAAGAGCTGTGCAGATGAGGACGCTGACCATCTGATGCCTATGGTCAGGAAAGTCGTAGATATGCAGATCGATACCACTGAATCCACTGGCCTTGAGCGATCTTGACCAGTCATTTGGAGCAGCCAGTGGAGTGAATTGACGGAACTCTTCGACAGATAACCACCAACCTGGCAATAATCCAAACGCAAAGCCGGTTCGTATCATACCAGTGTTCGTCATCTCATACAAAATGAGCTTGCCTCCGGGCTTGAGCAGCTTCCTGACGTTGGATAATGTCGCTTCAAGATTCTTGGTAGCGTGAATGACATTGGCAGCGCAGATGACATCGTACTGTTCACCTGGGCCCGAGAATCCTTGTTGCTCCAAACCGTCCTCGATGTTGAGCGCGCGGAAGCTCATGCGCGCAGCACTATCCTTGAACATTTCTCGAGCGTTCTCAAAGAAGCCAATCGAGATATCTGTAAACGCATAGTGGCTGAACCGCGGCGTGCCCTTCTCGCCATTACCTTGTGTCGTGAGACACTGGAGGATGGGTCTTGTAGCACCACCAGTCCCGGCACCAACCTCGAGAACACGAAGAGCTGGGTTTTTATGGGCCAGAGCATCGATATACGCCACCATGCGGTCATACCCAATTTCAGCCCCGACTCCAGAACGGTAAACGTTCTCCACCAGCTTGTCCTTGAAAAGTAGTTCCAGTGCGTCAGATTGGCCCGCAAGAATATTAGGGAGCTCTCGCCCCACATTGACGACCAGCTTTCCTTCAGCTGAACCCTCTGTGAGGAGCTTGGTCTCCATTTGGCTGATGTACTCATCGTCGTCTGCTCGTTCGCGCCATTCAGGCAAAGCATGTGGGATAAGGCCAGCGTCATACTTGTCTAGTTGGTGTTTAATCCAGGCGATATACTTCTTGTGATAGGGAACTGACTTGGCGTCGCGGCTCTCATCATAGATTCTGTCCCAGAAGCGCTTGATGTACAAGAAACACATCATCTCTACCTCCTGGATCAACTGTGCCTGTTGACCTGTAGCGCCACATTTGGCATCAGGCTGTAGTGTCTTGTCCGCCGTCTCTTGGTCCAGAAGAGCTGGATCTACCTTGTAATCAAGGTTGAAGCAGAGTCTTCTTGCAGCGTCAGATGAGGAAGCGCCTTCGCTTCGTGCCACGGTAGTGATGACAAAATTGTCCACGGTACAAACGGCCTTGCCAGTATCAACATCCATACCAACGATGGACGCCTGGGCCTGTCTGATGCCAAGGAACTTGCCTGAGCACGAGACTCGGACAGCATCGAATTTGGATGTTGAGGGATCAGCAGAGACCCAAAGGTCACCAATCTCGGAGGGAACCATGACTTGGTCAATCTCGCGACCACCTTTAGTCAAACTGACAATGATACTCTGGAGGATACCATCGAGTACAGTGGGATGGATCAGGTGGTCCTGAAGGTACCCAAGAGGCATCAAGCCCTCAAGATCTTGTCTCTCCACTGTCGCCACCGCCTCTCCAATATCACCGCAGCGAATATCACGGAGGGTCTGGAATGTAGCGCCAAAGTCAAGACCAACGGTCGACAGATGCTCATAGAGCTGTCGGAATGAAGTCTCAACTTTCGAGGCCTTCTCCATGCTCCCCAGTCTGTTCTTACATGCTTCTTGGAACTCGAAGTCTTCTCTTCCATCGTCGACAACAGTATAAGGTTGTTCGTACTCGGTGACGACCAGGCCATGGCAATGTTCGCGCCACTCACCTCCTTCATAACTGCTAAGGGAGAACTTGCGTACAGTCCTCGCCACAGTATCAGGATGATCTCTCGAGGGCTGCATATAAAAGTGCGTCTCGAGGCCATTCTGCGTCGCTGGAACGCGAAGAGCAACGTTAAAGCGAGCGTCGAGAATACGGAAGCCCTTGACTACACGAGACGTGTCCGCCATTTGTCGGCTAGCCTCTATGGCCATGACAAGCATTCCTGCGGCAGGATAGATGGTGGCACCGGTAATTCGATGGTGCTTCACCCAAGGGTTCTCAGAAAGACGCATGTAGTTCCGCCAAACAGCATTGGCTGGGTCCCAATCTGGCACTGGGGCACCAAATAGTTCATGTCGCATAGCAGGACGGAAGCGATATCCTTTACTGATACGGCTCTCGTTCCAATAGATGTTGGAATGGTTGAAAGGGTATCCCGGTGCGTTGACGACGAGGGAGCTGTCCTTTGCGATACTGGCATCAGACATGTCCACTTCGTATCCACGGCACCAAAGCCAGTTGGCGGCTCCCAGAGCCGTGTCAACGGCAGAAGCACCACGACGAAGCACTGACTCGTACCCAACACCATTCACCTCCGGTGTCAGCTCCATGATCTCACGAATGGGACCACGTAAGGCCGCGTGAGGACCAATCTCAAGTACTTGAGTGATCTTGGGGGTATTGACTGTTGCTTTAGCCGAAGATCCAAGCTTCTTGACTGGAGCGTTGGACTTGGTATTGGAGCACATAAGCGAGAAGGCTTTCGAGAATTGGACCGGCGAAACTAGGTTGTCAACCCAATGATCGGGGTTTCGGAGAGCAGAAACAGGAATGATTGTTCCTTCGAGGGACGAGTAAAAGACAGGAGCAACCTGGCCCGGGGATGTATTGTTTCCAGCCTCGAGGTCACCGATTGCACTCCTGTATTCGTCGGCAATAGTGGCCATCAGAGGGGAATGATAACCGTTGTCAACCTTGAGCTTCCGGGCAAAGATGCCATCCAAGTCTGCAGCAGCTTTGATCTTGTCGATGTATACTGCACTGCCGCTAAGAGTCACATTCCTCGGGCTGTTTATACAGGCTACAACAATATCTCTACCGGCGGCGCTGCCAACATGCCCCTCAAGATATGTCATGGCATCTGATGAACCCATGGCCACTGAAAGCATGGCACCGTTAGTATGGTCGGGAGACTTGGCTAGCCGAGAGGAAAGGGCACCGCGATAGAAGGCTAGTCTCCATGCCGACTCCTGGGAGATAGCACCTGTAGCATAGGCAGCCCCGATCTCGCCCGACGAATGCCCGACCACGGCAGCAGGCTTGATGCCCCAGCTGGTGAGGAGATCAACAAGAGCCACCTGCAAAGCTGTACAGAGTGGTTGACTCAATGCTGGATCGTCGATGCGTGACTTGTCTTGATTTTGAAGCAATTCACCGACAAGTGACCAAGGGCATCCGAGTTCTCGTAGATACGAGTCTGCAGCAAAGATAGATGTACTGAATATAGGATAAGCAGAGATCAATTCTCTACCCATTGCATACCACTGCGCACCTTGTCCTGTAAAGACAAATCCAAGCTTAGGGTCAGCAGTGGCTCTGACAGGTGAGGGGTTGCCGTCCAACTTGGCAGACAGAGCCGCGATGCTGTCGGCGACAAGGGAGAAACGCCAAGGGAAGGATGTGCGGTGGTTGATGAGGGTGTAGGAAAGGTCATTCAAAAAGCGCTGTTCCTCCTCAGACCCAGCAACTATGGATTTGCTGGTGAAATCAAGAAAGTCCTTGTATGCTTGCGCCATTCGGCCTGCTCCAGCTTCATCAAAGGTGGAAAAGAGGAATGAGCGACTGGGGGGTGCATGTCCTTTGAAACGCTTGACCAAGATATACTCATCGTCACTCGAACTAGAAGTAGACTGATGGCCGTTGGTATGGCCATTGACACCGTTAGAATGGTCATGTGTTCCATTCGTGCCGTTGGTGATAGACTTGAACCCCTCAACTGGCGGAAGCTCGACGGTTTGGTGTTTACCTTTCAAGCCATGCTTGAGCAGATAGTGAAAGGCATCATCGATAATGATGTGGGCATTGCTTCCACCATACCCAAAGGCATTGATTGACGCTCGTCTGAGTCCTTTGGTAGGCCAGGGCTCAGCCTTGGTAGGGAACTTCAGGTGCCAATCATGGACAGGGATCTTGGGGTTGGGTGTCTGGAAGCCCATGTTGGGAGGAATTATGCCTTTCTCAAGAACCATTATAGCCTTAATGAGACCTGCAATACCGGCCGAGCCTTCAAGGTGCCCGATATTTGTCTTGACTGCCCCGACAACCATTGGCTCTTGCTCAGAGCGATACTCTGAGAAAGCGCCGCTGATAGCACTTGCTTCAATGGGGTCACCCACAGGAGTACCTGTACCGTGAGCCTCAAAGAAGCGTGTCTGAGTCTTGGATAGACCAGCTGATTTATAAGCGGCGTTGATCAAGTCAACTTGAGCCTTTCGAGTAGGTTGTGTGATACCAGGTGAGTTGCCGTCCTGGTTGCTTGAGGAGCCTCGAACGATGGCACGGATACAGTCACGATCCCGTATAGCATCGCTCAACCTCTTCAGCACAACCATACCAAACCCTTCGCCACGTGAGTATCCGTTAGCCCGTTCATCAAAGCTATAGCATCTTCCATCGGGAGATAGGAAGCCAAGAGCTGTGAGTGGGATGATGGTATCAGGATTGTAGAACAGGTTGCAGCCAGCCGCCAGTGCCATGTCACACTCGCCCAACCGCAGGCTATTACAGGCTAGGTGGCAGGCGTTGAGACTACTGGAGCACGCTGTGTCAAGACTTATGCTAGGCCCATGAAGGTCATAGAAATAGCTCAGTCGGTTGGCAAGCATGGTTGTTCCAGTGCCGGTAGCAAAGTAACGCTGCTGTATCTCGGTCTCCTTGAACATGATAGCTTCATATTCACGAGTAAAGCAGCCGATAAAAACACCAGTGTTTGTTCCGAGAACTTTGTTCATTGGACATCCCGCTATGACAAGGTTAGACCCAGATATCTCCTAGTCAAGACATGAAGGGCTCATACCGTTCTCTAGAGCACGATAGGTATTCTCGAGCAGACCACGCTGCTGAGGATCCATGCCACCAGCCTCAGCAGGTGTGATGGAGAAGAACGGGGCATCAAAGGCTGCGATTTCTCCCTTCAGAAAATGCGCCTTAGTAACATTGAGCTACAATACTGATCAGTGGTGTACTTAACAAGACATAACAAAAGGATGGGAATACTGACTGAACCCGAGCGCTCTGGGTCCGGGTGATAGAACGACGAGACTTTGAAACGATCGTCTGGAATGTTTGTGCATGCTGAGCGGCCAGTAACCAGCATATCCCAAAACCCATCGGCGTCTGTAGCATCGCCGGGGAACTTGAGATCAAGGCCAATAACAGCGATGGGCTCCATTGTAAGACTTGAGAGCGTTCCAGGAATAAGAATACAGTATTTTAAAACTTTGTGTATATAATAAAAAGGTTGAGATGCTTTTAGTCTGTCACATGGTTAATATCTGGCGTTGCAGAGTTATTATAGGGTTGTGTTTAGACACAATGCATAAGTCTCTTCCAAACATCTTACTACCAGCCCCTCATTGTAGCTACAATCAACATCTCTGCGAGATAGTGCATGTTGGATCAATGCAGTATACAGTTCACCGTGGGGGTAGACATTTACTGAATGATTGTAGATCTTCGTCTGCATCTGCATCGGCGTTGATGAGTTGTCAACAAATCAGTCCTTTCGAGGCTATTTCCAACGTCGTTATCATGGATTACATGCACGACAAAGGGCCCGATAGATGGTGTGAGGATATTCCGTCTCACCCAATATTGAGAATACATCGCCAGTTTGGAGTACACTATCTCCGCTGGCATGTTCATGCATCTGTTCTAACTACAATCCGGGAGTAGCAGTTGTCAAGCGGCACGTATTCTCGCTTGGAGGGGCAGATCTTTCTGAGGTGAAGATAACCTCGTTGACAAATTGTGAAGTGACGATACAGAATCTACCACAGCTTCCGTTGATTGACATTCGTACCTTAACGTATCCGTCAGGTATTCCAAGGCCAGTTCTAGAAACCTGCCATCCCATATGCAATGCATGCCTCCAGCCGAAGCTCCCTTTTAAGCGTTTAGCCTGCACCAGATAAGCAGGTAGTAAGAGTGGCGTTGGCTATGGCGTGAGTCTCTCAAAAGATCCTTCTGCTTACACGGGTCAAGCGGCAAGGCTGCAGCAGTCTTTGAGAAGGTCTGCCAAGGATGAGTCAATTGTAAGCACGCAATCCATCTACCGGGGCTGATTTCTTCCCGCCCCGGTCGGGAAGAAATCAGCCCACAGATGCAGCCTGACTAACATGCATTACTACGTTGGTTCATACGCGATATGTGTCAGTGCATATATCACACATGTCACATTCCTGGCGCTTAACCTTTCGAGTTTTGAGTTGCCGATCACGATGCAGTAAGATAACCTCGCATTCCCACACGGGCCGCGCTTATGGTCTCCTCGCGGGGATATGCTTCCGGATCTCGATGTGGACTTTGCAGTCGAGACGAGGAACTGAATGCCCAATTTCGCCCATGACAATCAAAAACGGTTTCTATCCTCAAGGAGAACGGGTACCTCAACGATCCCCTCTCTGTATCCAGCACAAAGCTCACAAACTTCTTTGTATACCCTTTCGTGCATATAACAGTGTCTTAGTAGTAAAGCCGTCATCATGTCGTTGCCCAGAGCCAAGATTCTCGTTGTCGTTACGGTCGGGGGCTCGACTAATTCAGGTATGTGAACCTTATTGGTGTTACTAGAGAAAGCAAGTCGTTAACACACTTCTAGCTCCGATCCTGGACATATGTTCCATCTTGGCAGCTAGAGGTCATACAATTGACTTTGCGACATTGAGCGGCAGAGAAAAGCTGGTTGACAATTATCCTTTTGTGCAAAAAGTCCACATAGTTGGGCCGGCTATCTCAGCTGAAGAAGATGAAAAGCACTACATCCTCTTCTCGCGTTGGAACTGGAACACTGTTCAAGGGAAAAGGGATATTGTCAAAGGCAAGATTGCATTTGATGCGTTCTGGCCTTTTACATATCGCGGTCTGAAAGAGGTTGTCACTACCACCAAACCTGACTTGATATTCTCCGACTTCCACGTTGAAGCGGCTCTGGATATCTGCAATGAGTTCCGTCTTCCACACGCTGTCATGTGGCCCCAGATGCCGTGGTTGATGATGCCTCAGAAGTACATTCCGGGTCAGCCCGGTATGCAGCAAAGATGCTTGACCAGCGAGCACGCTAGCATCTATGACAGGTTGTTCGAGATGACCTTTCTGCTTCGTTCGGGGCCATTCTTTCTTCGCTGGGTCTTCTGGACCAGGGCCATGCGTCGAAAAGAGGGAGTTGCGCCTCGACCAAAGCTTTCCAAGCCGGACTATCTTGTGTTTCTGAACAACTTTTATGGCATGGAGACACCACGAGATACTCCGCCTTTGGTCCATCCTGTAGGCCCCATCTTGGCCGACTCATATCCTGCTCTGGACGGAGACATCAAGAAATTTGTTGAGATGCATCAAAAGATCGCTCTAGTTGCGTTTGGTACACATGTTATACTGGACGAGGAAAAGATCTTCAGGATCATCAATGGTCTTTCTGATGCCATTTCCTCAGGCGTGATTGACGGTGTCGTCTGGGCACTCAGTGCTAGAAGTCGTGGTCGACTTGATACTAGCATTCGAGTCCCGTCTGCATATCTGTCTCACTTGACCGTTGAACAGCTGTTCAGTAATCAAGATGAATCGTGGCACTTTGCTACTTGGGTACCGCAGCGCTCCGTCCTCGAACATGCTTCCACAGCCATATTCGTCACGCACGCCGGACCTTCATCTGTCAATGAATCTATCTTTCACGGTGTCCCTATGATTGCAATGGGGATATTCGGTGACCAGATGGTCACCACATTGAGATTGGAAAGATCTGGCGTCGCCGTCCGTCTTGACAAAGACACTTTTGATGCAGCGTCTTTGACAGCAGCTATCAGAGCCATTCTCTTGCTTGACAGCGAGTCGTTCCAGAGAAACGTCACGCGTATGCAGAGAATTGCCATAGTCGGATCACGGAAGAAGCATTTTGCTGCCAATTTGATTGAGGAGCATCTATATGACTGGGATGGCAGGTTTGAGCGATCCCTGCTGGATCTTAAGGATTCTGAAGATAGTGAAGGGGTTCCTTCGCAGACTTTAGATCCAAGAGACGTGTATCCACGAGGCAAAGAGCTGCGTCCAATGCATCTTCAGACACCCGATGTGCGTATGTCGTGGATCAAGCTCAACAACATCGACATCGCGCTTTTGCTGGTTGTTCCGTTGGGTCTCGTTGCATTGATCACTGGGGTAGCTGTTAGTGCGTGACGGAAATGATTTATGTCGTGTATTTTATCTCTTATATCAATTTACCCATAGCTACTGACCAATCACTGCCTTGGTAACAACCTTCTCTACCGCCCGTGCCATGTCATCCACTATCTCCACAGGCACTCTTGGAATTTCATGCCCAGCTCCATGGTCCAGAAGGACTTTCCCCCAAGGGTGGCACAAGCCAGTCATTGCTTTACTATAGCTGACATCAGGGTCCTTTTTACCATAGATATGGGCTGTCGGGACATGAATAATTGGACCCTGCGTGTCCTCATCCCTCAGAAACTTGATCTCTCCAGCGGTTAAAGACTTCTCACAGTAAGGCAGTCCTGCGCAGAAGAATATGGCGAACTGAAAGGGTGGTGGGTTGGAGTGGCGAGCACGAGCAATGATCATAGCAGCGAGGGAAGCACCCTGGGAGAAGCCCAATACACCGTCAAAGGGGCCTTCCTCAGCAATGTACTCCCATAGGTCGTCAATGGCTGTCAGAATGCTCTGTGCTGAGTTTGGATTGTAATAGGCAAGACTCTCATCTTGACCAATGAAAGCCTCTATCCCTATGTTGTGTGTAAGAGTCTAGAGTGAGCAAGCAAATAGCTCAATGACTGACCAGGTGCAGGTGGGATGGGTTCCGCACCATCAACATACTCGTATTTGTGCGATTGTGAGTGGCCAAGTTGATGTCGGAGCGCAGCTGCATTGAGGTCAGTTCGCGTAATGAAATGAGCTGTGTCAAGGAACGCCATGTACATGTCTGCATCTCCAGCACCTAGATTCTGTGTTAAATTATGTCATAGTAGGATGTTTGTGACTTTTGCGACGGTAACATACCTTGCTGTTGGTGCCCATTCCGTGGAGGCAAAGTATACGCATTGCGTGGATGGTAAGGCTCTTAGGGACTCTAGGTGATGGAGAGTTTGAGTTTCCCCGAGAGCGAAGAGACTTCGGAAGAAGTATAGAGGCAATATGAGAGTCCCCGTGATACGTTACAAAAGATGGCCAGTCCTAGGATAAGCATGGTCACATATCTCCAAGTCAATCGTCAAGTCATACCTGCAGAGCTCAATGTGACAGATAAACACAGTATGCTTCAACAATAGTTCCATCAATCCCGGGTGCATTTGCTTATCAATAGAGTCGCATCTTCCACCGCTGTATTTTGCAAGGTATATGCACATGTTGCTGACAATCCTATTACCATCCTTGGGACCTTTATCTGCCCTTCAGCCGGACCAGAATCAGTAACAAGGATACATCCTCGCGAGCCAGGCTGGTGATCTAGGAACTGCACGAAGCCCATGATTTTGTCAAGTCTTGCAAGTCAAGGACTCACTCAAGACGGAGTGAAAGAGTGAAGACAAGATAAAAAGGCATCATTTTCCCAACCATAACTATATCAAGACTCCATAAGACTACAGAGATATTTGAATCGCCTTTATTAACTTCATGTTTATACATCCTGATCCGTATTTAACCTACACTAAAACTCTCTTTCAATACCTCTAGAGTCTACCGAGGAGCGTAAAACCATCATCCCAAAGTCATCACCCAAAACACGAAGACGTACCCATCATGCCGAATCTTGAAAACGATCTCCATAATGGCAATGGCATCAATGGAAACACAAAGATAGGAAAAGACGGCGACGGTAACCCCCACACCTTTGGCATCATTGGCGGCGGGTGGTATGGGTGTCACATCGCGACAACTCTTCGCTCGCTCGGCTTTCATGTCAAATTGTTTGAACAGCATAAGCGACTCCTACATGAAGCATCTGGCAACAACCAGTTCAGGCTGCATATGGGCTTCCACTACGCACGTCACAGTGGTACTCGTATTCAGTCAAGAGATGGCTTTCTGCGCTTCGTCGAGCATTACCCCGAACTAAGCCGCATCGTGCCCTGCAACCTCTATGCTGTACCAAGTCAAGATTCCCTGCTTGATTACAATACCTACAAAGCCATCATGGCCTCAAGCGGGGTAGCGTTCACCGAAGGGGCACCACCGGGTGTTCCTATCACTAATGTCGATGGCATCATGTGTGTGCCCGAGAGGGTTTTGCTGCTGAGTAAGGCGCGTTCTTACTTCGAGTCAGCACTCAAAGGAGCCCTTGAGCTCGGCCGAAAGGTTTCAAGCATTCAAGAGGTGGATGATGGGGTGCTGATCGACGGTGAGAGCTTTGACTTTGTGGTAGATGCAACGTGGGGGCACTATATGGACCTGGATCTGCAGGTCATATACGAGGCCACTTTGTTGCTCTACTACGAGGGTCCTGCTGATTTTCCGGCTGTGACCTTGGTCGACGGTCCCTTGGCGTCAGTCTACCCCACTGAAGTGCCGGGGTTTTATACCTTGTCTAGTGTCCCCCACACACCTCTTGGGCAGTTCAAGACTGCAGCAGAAGCTCGGGCGGCACGGGACGAGGTTAGTCCTGCAACCATATCAGCAAAGCGGGCGCTTATGGAGGAGCAGATCATGCACTACCTTCCCACGTTCCTCGAGACATTCCACTACATTGGTCCACAGCTTTCCGTCAAGACCAAGCCGCTAGGGGCTTATGATGACCGCAGCTGTCGAGTCTCGCGTCACGGTCGAGTGTTTTCCGTCATGTCAGGGAAGATTGACACCATTTTTTTCGCCCATGAGCGAATTCTCTCGCTGATCGGCAATGGGAGTTGAAGGATTCTTTTGTCTCTGATGCAACTGTAGCATCCTACCCTTGTCTAAAGACAGGTTGGAAATTCACTCACTCATGCAGCCTCTTATCTCGGGTAAATTTACAAAGGCTAGATGTATGCTTAATCTTGGTGTCCTGGCTCTCATTGGCTAGCTAACGAAGTGTCATCTTCTTTTCAAATTGATCGACCGGGGAATTTTGCTTTAGCTTCCCACTAGTGGGAATAAACCACGTAAGACTGTAATGCCGGAAACACAACCTGAACCCAGCTCTGTAAACAAACCCAACTGTCCCAAGTTAGTCGATCCAATAAAAGATGTGCAAGTAATCCTTGGCGGTAGACTGCTGACAATGCATCGCATCATGTAGAAGGATTGTGCCTAATCGTGTGTTCTTCAGCGCTTCTGATAAGATTTCCCGCCCAACTCCCATTTCATTAAAACAACACGTTGCAACGTGGGTGCTGTACCCAGATTCCGTAACTCACAACAGAGCAGATAACCAGATATAGCAATGATCTGAATACCATCATATCAATTTTGATAACTGATAACGTAGTGTAGCACTGAATATCAGGCAAATCTACTATCCTCTATCCAGATATAGGGTAATCAGGCTCCCTAGCCCTTGCTGACTCTGATCCACCCCTCCCCTTGGTTTTGGCATGGAACGCACAGACCCAAAAACGGAGGCAGCCCGGTAATTAGCAATGTTTGTTTCTTGTTTCCTGAGGCTGAAATATTTGTTGTCTCTTGTCGTAAAGCTGACCACAAACTGATCCCCCACTCTTTTTCTGTCTTTTGTTCCGTTCCGTTTACCTGTCTCTTGTTAATGCCTACGCAAAATTTCGAACCATCTACTGCGGCCTCTCTTTCTTACGCCGCTTGAGCTCTCACAACTCACTCGGGCACATTTCTTTTCCCAATATGTCGGCGGCACCAGATCTGCCATTGGAGCACTACCCACTTGGGACTCTCGTCGAGAAGCATAACGAAAGTCAGGAGGCGACTCCTGGCAATGCACCTAGAATACCCGACTCGGCGACTGGAGCTGAAGCTTCACCCAACAATCACGGCTCCGTCTCCAGCAATAATAACAGGAATGTTGATGTTGCAGTTGGTTCGTCAGACAGTGCGACCAAACAAAAGGTGTACCATACTGGATGGCGGCTTCATGCTTTAACCGCAGCGTAGGTTACCTTCGCCCAATTGCTCTTACTTGACGGCTGATCGCCATTGACGTAGTCTCTGCTTGAGCCTATTGCTATCGACATTGGAGACTACCATTGTAAGCACGGCTCTGGTCTCAATCGTTGATGCCCTTCAAGGTTTCAACATGGCCGGTTGGATCGTGACATCCTACTTGGTAACATACACCGGTAAACCCCAAGTTTATCGTGTATTACTGTTGTAGGAACTAAACGATCCCAGGTTTCCTTATTATTTACTCCAAGCTGAGTGACATATTTGGCTGCAAACTGATGCTATTGATTGCCATCACCATATTTACTATCTTCTCCATGGCGTGTGGCGCTTCGGACTCGATGGTTCCTCTGTATGCTAATTCTCTCTCTTGATACCGACCTTGTGCGTATTCTCATCAAACATCTTTACACTAGGATCATCTTCCGCGCATTTCAGGGAATGGGTGGCTCCGGTATCTACTCTCTGTCGACAATCATGGTACCGCTCATGGTGCCTCCCGAGAAGTACGCAACCTACATCTCCATCATGTCCTCAACCTTTATCCTCTCGAGTGTCCTCGGCCCGATCCTTGGAGGCGCAATTACAGATAACACGACATGGCGTTGGGTGTTCTACTTCAAGTGAGTTCCATTTCCGTCTAGAAACCTTTCAACATAGGCACTGCTTAATGACACATTACCTCCAGTGGCCCCGGAGGAGCGCTTGCAGCTGTTCTTCTTGCCTTCTCGGTCCCGTTCAACTTTCCCTACGGCGAATCCGATCGATTCTTTCATTCCCTCGCATCGAAACAAATGTGGAAGCGGGTCGACTTTGTGGGTATGGTTGTGTCATTAGCTGCCTCCATCCTCATCGTCTTTGCACTCGAACAAGGTGGCGTGGCCTACCCTTGGGGTAGTGGTGCTATTGTATCAACCTTTGTACTCTCTGGCGTCTTGTGGATTGCCTTTGTTGTTTGGGAGCGACTGCTCTCCAAGAAAGGTGGTGTCCGTGAGCCCATGTTCCCATGGAGCCTGGTGCACAACAGGTTTGTTATGGGACTACTCTTGTATGGCTCCAATCGGTCAAACCTGTGCTGGTCAACTAATTCGACTTTCATCCAGAAACGGATTCTTTACAGGATTCCCCTTTATGGCTGCTCTTATCAACATACCGCAGAGATTCCAAACGGTCAATGGAACGTCAGCTATTAACGCGGGCATTCGCACACTGCCGCTGCTTCTCCTGTCTCCACTTGCGACCGCTATCAATGGGATCTTGGTGTCTAAGCTAGGAGTCCCTCCTCTTTACACGCTACTTCTAGGAGGTTCATTACAGACAATAGGAGTTGGCCTATATAGCTCCCTACAATCATCGACCTCTATCGCCTCGGCGCAATATGGTTACGAAGCTATTATGGGTCTCGGTTTCGGCTTTAACCTTAGTACAATACTGATGATGGTGCCTCTAGTCGTCACTGAGAAAGATCTAGGTACGAGCTCCCAATTTCCCTGCCAAACCACCAATGTTTCTCTACTAACGTCACCGTAGCTGTCACAATGGGTTCTGTGACACAGATCAGAGTGTTGGGAGGCACAATCGGACTTGCCGTGTGTTCCGCTCTGCTTATTAATCACATCAAGAGAGAAGCTTTCAAGTTCTTGACAGCAGAGCAAGTTGCACAAATACTGCTGTCCTCAGAGAATATTGAGACCCTTGCATCCGAGACACAAAATCGGATAAGAGTTTTATATGCAGATGCCTACTCGGAGCAGATGAGGGTAATGCTTTATTTCTCCATCGCATCTATTTTGTCACTGGTGCTTCTCGTTGAGAGACAGCCAAGAAAGGCTCCCACTAAGCCGGAGAGAGCAGCTTAGTATCATACTTGTCTCATCATACATTCGGATTTAGCTACCAGAGAAGTTTCTTAGTATAAAGGTGTAGTCTATTTCCATATCTAGGCATAATGTAGGGTTTATTAGATACAGCTGGACATAAGTTGCTTGTAATACGTACTAGCAATTCCATATCTTTCAGTATAAAAGTCTTCAATTTCTCATTCGCTGTATGCTCTGGAGTACAAACTGCGGATGCAAGATATCAAACGAGCTACCACTTGCGATGCTTATGAGTTTGCATTGCTCTGCCTGACTTCGACGTGCTAGGAATGTATGTTTTGACCCCTACTTAGATCAACGACCTTTATAGAGCCATTAGATTCTGCAGATTCCAACAAACCCTGTAGAAGAGAAAGATCATTGAGGGCTTCCAGCGGACTCTGACGTCGGTCAGGGCTGTTCTGCAATATGGCTTGACCGAATGCCTCAAACTCAGCCATGACAGCATTGTTGTAGGTGAATTCTTTTGTCTCCTCCATTGACTCCCCTGAATCCGATTCAATCATTGATTTGACACTGACAGGTGTCCAAACAACAACGCCACGAGTACTGATAATTTCCATCTCCAGAGTGGATTTGTGTTCTACCCCGAAGGAGATGCAAATTGTTCCGTGTCGAGAATCAGTGGTGGACACAATAGCATGTATGGTATCAACAGGATGAAGATGCTTCTCAAGCAAACTGGACAAAGCCAGTACCTCCTTCGCCTCTTGTCCAATGGCACCGAGAAGAAGCCGGAGGCTGGCAATAAAGTGGATTCCACTATCGACAAGGAATCCGCCTTGAAATTCTGGAGCCTTGCGCCCTGGAAATATCAGTATCTGCATTAAAATGCTAAGTACAATACTTTCACATACATTCTGTTTTGAAATATTTATTTTCCTTTTTTATTAATCCATAGTAGCTCAAACGAAAGGATGCAAGTTGTCCCCCCATTTCTCGGATTCTCGTCTCGGCATACCTCAGGCTCTCATTAAACCGAAAATTCTCAGCAACGGCCCAGATCGGAGGGTGTGACTGAGAATTGTACCATCGGACAAGTTCCATAGCAGTTTTGGTGTCCTGTGCTATCGGCTTTTCGCTCAACACATGCTTTCCGGCTTTCAGGGCCTTCCAGACAAGTTCGGGCTGGACGAGAATGGTAGCACATGATGACACTGCAGCTATGTCAGATCTTGCGAGGAGATCGTCGAGTGACCTTCCAGGTCTGGGGGGACTATCAAAGTAAATGTCAACGCTGCCCCGGGCTAGGGTCGCAAGCGATATTGCCGCTTGCTCAGACCGTGAGTAGACGGCTTTGAGACTGAAATGTTCAACTGCCTCAATAGCCGGCAGATGTTCTGTAGCATGTCAGCGCGACATTGATCCAAGAGCTCCTCTGCAATGCAACATCGCCATTGATAAGAAGCTCGAGGGGGATCGGCATACGTTCTCTGGCAAAGATTCCGGCTCCGAGTAAAGCTATGCCGACCATGTTGCAACACACCGTCAGCGCAAACGGCAGGTAACAGAAGGATAAGCTCACGGATGAAATGGAGGGAGGGGGGCTGACAAGATATGATGCTCAGGCAGATAGAACCACGCCTTGCAGGATGACCTGACCTTTTAAGCGAGGCCCTTTTGGTTTGGAAACCTGTTATCCAGGTACACGTAAGATACAGGGATAGCGGGTCGGGCCATGGGTCGGGCCACGGGCTGCTTCCCCAACCGTTTGAGTTTCATTCTGACAAAACCCAATGTAACTGTAACCTATTTCCGTAGCTATGCATTATCTTATGCACCCGGGTACCTTCCTCTTCCGCAAAATTCAGAAGGAAGCTACTCTTCCGAACACAAACGTTATGCAATAGTGTGATAACGATAACGTTGGATAGAATGAGTAATTTATTTCAAGATAGCAACTTGAGAACTCAACCTTCCCATGCAGTCCTTCTACAGATCAGCAACTTATTCACAATAGAAATCAGAATCAAAGAATATGCCTATTATTACGTGGAGATCAATTGACGAAAGTCTATCCTTGAAATGGAAGATTGTTGTCACGCTCCTGACAATCTACACTGTCCGTATCATAGGAGGTCGCATTACCAAAGAACGAGCAAGGCGGAAGTTCCGCGAAAGACACGGCTGCTTTCCAGTGACATGCCAACTGCCACTCAAGGATCCATTCTTTGGCATCGACTTCATCTTGAAGTTAATGGAGGTGTTTAAAGAAAAGCGACTTTTGGAAACATTTGCCAATGACCTTTACAAGACAGTTGGTACCACCTTTCTCGTGGAACGTGGTTCTCAGCAGACCATATTCACAATCGACCCGGAAAACATCAAGACAGTCCTTGCTCTCAAGTTCAAAGACTACGGACTTGCTTTCCGAGCCCCATTGTTCAATCCCGTCACCGGAGGTGGCATGTTTGTTTCTGATGGCGAAGAATGGGCGCACTCACGGGCTTTGATGCGTCCAACCTTTGCCCGTGATCAAGTGGCCGACCTCGGCTTGACAGACCGACACGTCAGAGACCTTGTGTCAAAGATACCCATCAACACTGCTTTCAATTTGCAGGAACTTCTCTTCGACTTCACCATGGACACTGGTACTGAGTTCCTCTTTGGCGAGTCAACAGATACACTTTGCAACCCTACCAAAGCAAGCCAACAGTTTACCAAAGCCTTTGACTTTACTCTCAAAGATGTGGCTTACCAGGCAAGACTGGGCCCATTCCGTCGCTTCCAAGGCTCTCGAAGAGCTGCACATGATGCCTACCAGGTCTGTCGCTCCTATGTCGAGCGCTATGTTGATCAAGCTATGGCTCTTCGCACATCGACTTCGGTGGGAGAAGTGCCAAAAGATCATGAATCACAAAATCGACACGATAGTCTGCTGAGGCAGCTTGCTAGTTCGGGCGTATCAAAGGAAAAGATACGTGCAGAGCTACTGAGCGTCTTGATAGCGGCAAGAGATACGACTTCCAATCTGTTGGGTAATCTCTTTTTTGTGCTTGCACGCAGACCAGATATCTGGGCCAAGATTCGAGATGAAGTTAAACATTTAGACACCAACGTACCAACATATGAGCAGCTTCGTCATCTTACATATGCCAAATACTGCATCAACGAATGTCAGTATTATCCCAGCATCATACAAACCCCTGGCTGACATATCCTTAGCATTGCGCCTTCATCCTCCCGTGCCCAGTAATGGGCGCATGGCATATCGAGATACAATTCTTCCTCGTGGTGGTGGCCCAAACGGTGATCAGCCCATTCATATTCCCAAAGGCTCCATGGTGAATTACACTGTCTATGCCATGCATCGCCGCAAAGATCTATATGGTCAAGATGCTGAAGAATTTCGTCCTGAGAGATGGGAGTCTCTTAGACCCTCGTGGGTAAGTTAAACATCTGATGTATAGTTTAGCAAGAGTTTGGCATAATTCTAACCACAATCAGTTCTTCCTACCTTTCAACGGGGGCCCACGTATTTGTCTTGGTCAACAATACGCTATTACTGAATCTTTATTGGTCATGATGCGGTTCGCTCAAAAGTTTGCATCAATACGATCGATGGACACAAAGCCCTGGACCGAGGAGATCGCGCTTGGCTGTGGCAATGCTAATGGGGTCTATGTTTCGTTCCAGAGAGTATAGTAGGGAAAAGCAGTACTGAACAGGTGAATAGGTGAACGGTTATGGAATCTATCTGAGAGGTACCTGCAACCTATAGTAATTAATATGGATACATAAACTTTCAAACTGCTTTTTATATATCTATATCTGGTTTAGTTCTGCCCAGTAGCAACATGCGTAACCCACTGGAGTCAGAGGGTCCACGGCATTCTTTCGGTCCAAATCTTGTACATCTGCTGCTGGCTTTTTAAGATCATAAATATCGTACTTGAGAGTTTTCTTCATGGTTTCCAACATTGCGAGTGAAATGTCATGGTGGTTTCGAGTAAGGTTCTTTGATGGAAGGTCCTCCGCTTCAGCTTTCCAAACAAATTCCTTCGCAAGCTGGTCGTCCAATATATAGTCCTTGGCGGATTGATGTACAAACGACAATACACCATCTGTGACGACCAGAAACCCTTTGCAGCGTAGGACTTGTCTCTCTAGGGCTTCAAGTCGATTAGCAGGTGGAGAGAGGGATTGAGCACCGGAAGACAGTTCCGCGAGTGATAGTGGACGATAAACAAGTGTCGCGACCGCTAAAATGTCCCTGCATTGTGATGCATGGCCTGAATCAATGACTTCCTGCATCATGCGCCTGTAAAGATCGTTCAGGCCAGATGGAAATTTCTCCAACGTCTCTGGAATCTCCCACGAATCGACGTCCAGCAATTTCTGACAAGCCAAAGCCACCCAAAGAAAGGTGTTCTCAGACTTTTCCGCGAAGATATCACGGACCTCAGCGTCGATTGTAGTATCCTTATCTCTCTCAAGCTCCTCGACCTTGTACTTGATGAATGCGTCGACGGCATGTTTGATCGATTCCCTGACTTCCTCGTTGTCTTCGAGAGATAGAACGACCCGTTTGAAGGAACTTGACTTCTTCGTAAAGGCGTCTTGGAATTCCACCCAGTTACGACTCGAAGCAATGAACCTTACTGGAGATTGCTTATCATTGCACAGCTCTATGATCAGATCAAGGAGCTTTTTGTTGTCTTTGTTGCATTCGTCAAGTGCATCGATCACGATCGTGGTACCCTGGGGAACATGGTTGCTGTTCTCTGCTATCATCCTCCTCAGGATGGATGACAGGATTTCCCAATTGTTCGGTCCGTTGAACGCCTGTTCACCAGCGCTATCGAACTCGTTGCGCACGTGTAAGACTAGAGATGGGTGCTGATGGGCAAGGCTCCAGACTAGACCTCGAAGAACGGCAGTAGCATTATTCTGATGGTTTCTCGTCGATTGGCAGAAGAAGCATGAGATACAGGTCGGACTCATCTCATCAAGGCGATCTATGATTCCGCAAAGGAGCATAGTTTTGCCTTTACCAGGGTTCCCCTTGATCCAAAGAAGCTTGTAATCAGGGTCTTGTTGCCAAGTCTGGAAGCCCTCAGTGAGGAAGACCCAGGAATAGCAATGGGACAACAGCCTACCCTTGTCGTCTTCAATCCGCTTCTTATCATAGAGTGGGTTGGTTGTGTAGAGGGCTCGGAGACATAGTCTATTGCCTTCATCCTCGTTGAGCTTCTTTTGCTGCTCGGTCTGACGATCAATGGCCTTCTCAATGCTTTTCACGCCAATGACGAGACTCTCGAGCCTGTTCCGTGACTCTGTTGTGTTGTACTGCTGAGAGCGCTTATTAAATTCCTCCTCCGAGGCCTCAATATCCTTGATTTTCCCGTTCCAGTAGTCAATGTTGACCACGCTTTTCAAGAACGCAAGAGCCCGATTCTTGTGGAAGTAGCATACACTCTCAATTAGGTAAGAGAGAAACTTTTCGTAGAGGTCAAGTACAAGTGGCTGAAGTTCATTTCGTAGGTTGGACAAAGCGGACTTCCCACCATGTTCCTCTGATTCCAAGTTATCTTCAAGAAGAAGTTCTGCGAGGTTCCAGTACCAATTGACGCGTGAAAGAACGTGTTGTAACCCTACGCGATGGACGCCCGGCTGTTTCACGGGATTTGAGATGACCTCGAGAATGAAGCACACTCCTACCCATGGGATCGCAGCTTGTGGAACAGCTGATACGGCTGGCTCGACCAGAGCTCTCACTGTTCCAAAGAGCTCGAGTCCAGAGCTCGCCATCTCATATCCCCTGGCTTCCTTTTCGGTCTTGGATAATCCGATCTCGACGAGACGTTGCATTTGACGCCACCGCTCTTCGTGAGAGCTCCCAAGTGAAACGGAATCGTCATCTGGATTGTCCTTCTTGAGCTCAGACACTAGGATCTCTTCATATTGGGCCATGTACTTGTTCCCACTGTCTCGGAGGTTATCGTAAGCTTGATTCCATAGTTGCTCCTGGAGCTTGTTGCGTTCGCTATCTGTTTCTGATGGACTGTCCACAGGGAATGGTCCCTCATTAACAGTAGGTGTTTCTTTGTCAACAGCGGGTGATTGATCGTCAGCGGTGGGTTGCTGCTTGTCGCCAGGAGATAGTTGAGGGACTACAACTGTGTCGGCGACCTTGGGTGGTTGTGGATCACCGACTGGTGATGAAGGCGTGTTCTGTTCTTCCTTCACTTCACTCCCTTCTCTCCCTTTAAGACGGTTCTTAAACCTATCTAGGAGGCGCCGGCCACCCATATCGGCTGATTTATAGAGTAAAACAGATGGCTGTAAGCTGTGCACTCAGAGATGGGTCAAAAATGGGAGTTGTTACTGTTTGCTTTCCCTACTGCCTTCTGCCTCATTTATTCTTATCCTTTATGGCAGCAAGCCCTCGATACGTAATTGAGCGGGGTAATGAAGCTACAAACTATTCAACCCTAAATGCGCCTCGTAAAGCCAGTCAGCACTTTCGATCCACCGGAACTTGTGCAGCGATGGATAGAGCTCATGCTGATCACTTTCACGTGCTATCTGCAGCAAGACAATGAAGGCGGTCGAGACTTCATCTAGCTTGCAGATTCAGTTCATCGCCAAGCTGTCATTGGTGTTGTTTGAGATATCAGCGCCGTTGTTCAACTAATTTCACTTTGGCGTTCTTTCTGCATGGCTATTGGCCTTGAATCTGGCGCTAGATTTCAGCTCTCCAAGCCTGTTCCAGTTGCGGAAGGTATTCATGACGATCCAAATAAACAGGGCTCATCAAATGGTGGGGATTATTACGTGGGTCCCATTACCCTACAGCCTCTCTATACAACATCTAACTGTACATGAATCTACTTATCGTTGGAACAAAACGCCGCATATAACTTAACAAGTGCTATAGCTTCAGCTGTAATATATATATTAATGGGACTATTTAAATTTGACTAGGAAGTGTTTCACTGGGTACTCGTGATCGGTCATGCAGAAACTTCTCCTCGAATGGATAATAACTCAATAATTCACAGCCTGTATCAGTTACAAGTAGCTGGTTTTCCAATTTGATGCCGTCCTTACCGCCGACTTCACCAACATAGGCCTCAACACACAACACCATTCCTGCTTGTAATTCTCCTTCGTAGCCGTATGAGTCCAAGTCTTCAGGGTAACGGATACACGGATACTCGTCGCACAAGCCAACACCATGGAACATCACACTATATCTCTGAGCGCGACAACTCTCAGGCAGGCGATGGCCATTGCGTGTCAGCTCCGTAAATTTGACACCGGGTTTGACCATCTTCGCATTCGTGGTGATATGCTCATAAGCAATACGATACAGACGTTTCTGTTCTGCCGTAGGCTCGCGGTCCCCGCAAATCCAGGTACGGGATATATCGACGCACATACCGTATACGCCAACGAGGTCAGTGTCGAGAGCCACCAAGTCTCCGTCCTGAAGTACGCGCGGACCACATTCTTGGTACCAAGGATTGGTGCGTGGTCCAGAACTAAGAAGACGAGTTTCGATCCATTCGCCACCACGTCGAATATTGCCAGCGTGCAAAGCAGCCCAGACATCATTTTCAGTGGCGCCGGCGCGTATAACCTGACGCATTTCGCTAATTGCAGCCTCACAAGAAGCAATTGCACAGCGCATAGCTAGTATCTCGTCGGGCCCCTTGATCATCCGCGCGTGTTCAGTGACAGCCTGTCCACTGGAGACTTCCACTCCTAATTTCTCAAGCGCACGTAGCCCAGCAACCTCGATGCGGTCAACGGCTAGTCGGCGGTTATCCCCAGCATGCTTTCGGAGTACTTTGTCGACTTGCGTAGCAAAGGTCGCAGCATGTTCATCGGTACGATCGCCTGTTTCAAAATAAAAGAATGAGGCGCCAGAGCGTAACTCACTTATCAGAGGCAGATGAGCTGAAAGATGATCGCATTCATGGAAGTCCCACAGCACTAAGTAGCCGTTCGCCGAGACAAAGCATGCCCGAGCGGGATTGTGAGCGGTCCACAGTTGCATGTTGGTAGTGTCAGTGGCGTACCGAATGTTCAGTGGGTCGAATAAGAGGATACCACCGAGGTTTCCAGTAGTTAATTGATCGCAAAGGCGCTGCAGGCGATATGCACGCATGGTTGGTAGGTGAGGCGGCTGTAGGCCCAGGCGCTTCCACTCACTGAAAGCCAGCGGAGTTGGTCCAATGTCCACTCGATCATTATTATTGTTGGAGCCATCGGGTTTCAAACTATTGGTACACGGCTTGGTGGGGTCGATCCGACGGGAATCGACAGGGAATGAAAATACAGGACTGGGCTTGATTGGATGGTCTTTCTCCTTCATCTTGTATATGTGGGAGGCAACAATTGAAACAAGTTGCGCACAAGGTAATTTAGCTTACACTATTTTTCCAAATGCCTCTTTACATAAAAAGATGGAACAACATCAGTTTAAGTATTTCTTCCACAGTGACGGGACTTCAGCACGGCACAGTGACAAACAATCGGATGCGCTACCAGAGTTGGATGGGAAACCGTAGCCCCGGAATCATAAACCGTCACCATGCCACCTGACTTGTAAAGTGATTGTAGCTGACTTTTAAGGTTACCTCCTCGCGCTAGGATGGTCATTTGCGGTTGTAGAGCTCTGCCCCAGATTATCTCCAACGTTACCGCTCGACCTCCGCCTCTTAGTGACGAAGAGAAACTTATCAAGAAGCGGCTGATGGTCAGCGGCGATACTGTCTGTATGGCATGACGCGTATGTTGCGTCTCACATTCGGGAACACAAATGAGGTAACATGTCTGTGTCTCCAAAGGGTGGTAAATTTGAAGTCGAAGACTGTCCCGGTAGTCCATTCCGAGTCTCCTACCATCACAGCGTCATGATTCAAAAGTCCCGAAAACCTTCTTCAGAGTGGCGGGGCTATGACACCGATGCTGTTATTGATATGCTCTTAGTGTGTAGATGCTGATCCTATATATTTCCAGCAAATATAATATGCGATAGCGGCTCCTTCAAATTTGAGATAACATACAATCGAAACGGAACTCCTAGCCACTTCTGTATAGACAGTCACGCTTACTCCATAAGCTGCCGCATGTCGTCCAGTGTCTCTAGTCCCAAATAACGTTCGCTCGCTGCTTCCGCGTCGGGTATTCCAACAATCCTGCATCCATCGATGAACTTCTTCTTTAGTTTTATATCGCTCAGAGGGTTTGCACGACTACCAACGGCGTGCTCTACGTATTTCGTCAAGACATCCCCGCTTCGAAGCACGACACTGACCTTTGCTGAGTCAGGTGCAATGCTGGTGTCGATCTTTGCGCTGATGCGATCGCGAATGGCTATGATGGCGGGATCGAGTACAACGTTGTCTTCATACTCTGACTGTGTGACTCTACCGAGGATGAGGCCGCATGCGCCACTATGGTAGACGCTGAACTTAGCTTCCAGGCCGTCCTTTGGACTCTTCTTGCCAGTGAGTTCCAAGACAAGAGGATGGACTTCGACCGTGATAGATTTAATCTGCTCCGATGAATGTCCATCTCTGATCAGTGCCGCGTGTAGTTGTATGCAAGCGTCGATAACAGGGTGGATGACAATCCCGCACGGGAAAGGCTTGAAGCTGTTCCGCAGAATTTCCCAGCGACCTGTACACTGACCAGCTAAGCCATCTTCATTTTCAGTACTGAGCCAATGATCGAGACTCTGGAGCACGTCTGGCTTATTGTTGCCGACAACAGCAGCCCATCCACGTTTCGCTTCCAGTGCGCCTTCACTGCTAGTATAGCCTCCTTCGGCCATGACAGCAGCCAGCAGACCGTTTTGAGCAGCACGACCGGGATGGAAGGACTTGCAGTGGGAGCCAAACATCTCTCGAAGTCCGGTGACTTGGGTTACTGCGAGACCAATTGCATGGATAGTCTTTGCTGGAGACAAACCCAGAATCTTTGAGACTGCAACTGTCGCTCCAATCGATCCGACGGTAGAGGTGATATGCCTTGAGAATTATAAGGTCGTGGAAGAAACGGATGATGGAAGTTTGTATACTTACCAGCCCACGTCGTAGTGTTGCGGCCAAATAGCAAGTCCAGCCTTGCATTCGGCTTCTATACCCGCCACGAGAGCGGTGATGAACTGTTTTCCCGAGACACCTCCTTTCCACTCGGCTACAGCAAGAAGAGCGCTCGCAACTGGCCCTGTTGGATGAATGATAGTGTCGAGGTGGGTGTCGTCATAGTCATGGACATGTGATGCTATGCCATTGATCAACGCCGCATGTTGAGCATCTATTCTTGCAGCTCCCGGATCTCCGAGGAGAGAGGCAGCAGGTGCGCCGAACAATGGAGAAAGTGTTTGATACTGTCGAAAGACCTGCGTTAGCTATGTAGCTTCGTTCAATAGGCTTTGGACTTACGGCAATCTTTGTGGCTTCATGCCTACTTCCTGATATGGCGCAGCCAGCCCAATTGTAGAAGCTTCGAACAGCGGCGCGGACCACATCTTCCGGAAGATCTGAGTATTGGAGGTTGTATGACCAGGTGGCAAGACGTCGTGTAGCCATTGTAGCGACAGCAATACTGAAGGTTTCGCAGTGTATTCAAGATAAAGTCGATATAGATCGTAGGAATGGTTCTCGATAGAATTGGACGAGCCTGAAACTTTTAATGCTCATCTCTACTTAATAAGGTGGCTCATTGGCTGTTCCGAAAATCTCGGCTCATCCGTCGGTTCATCCGACTTTTCGGGTGCGGTAGTCTCGGCACACCGTGCTTCGGTTGGCCCGACTGACTAACACAATCGACCGCCGCTAGTGCTACGCATCAACACACTGAACCCTGCAAAGGCGCTCAAGCTGAAGCTGTCCCAATGGATCTGCGAGAGGTTACTCGAGATATTTGTTCCAGATAAAAGGCAACTGATTTCCCCAGATTCTTGGCTTCTGACCCTCATCTCTTTATGAAGTATTGATCATTGGTGACTGGCGCTTATTATATCTCTACAAGATTTATCATTCCCGTCCAGCGGAACTTCTTATTTGCTTACACTTTGGTGATAGCCACGGCAGGATCTGTCCGTTACCTACTTTGGAATCTTATCTTAAACTCATATTATCGGAAAGAACAGTCGGTAACGCATCGTCAAGATGGGTTTCTTTGGTTTTCGAGGAAGGAAACTTCAGATGGCCCAGATCTGGGCAGTCATTCTGCCATGCTACCTTCTGTAAGTCTGGCTTCTGAATATGCAAGCAACTTTACACCAGGTTGATAATAGCTAATGCGTTTTGACAGATTCGGTTATAACAACTCCATTGCTGGGGGGTTTCTTAGTCTTCCATCTTGGGTAGAAACCTTTCCGGCCCTTGACACTGTACATACAAAAGGAGAGACAAGGAACCACAACTCTACACTTCAGGTATGCTCTACCATAACATTCATGAACATTTACTAACCGAAATTCCGAAAAGGGTACGGTCGTGGCTATGTACACTCTGGGCTGTCTCTTCGGCTGCCTCAGTTGCATCTGGCTTGGTGACAAACTCGGCAGGAAGAAAACGATCATCTTTGGCGCTTTCATCAACACAATTGGGGCAGCTCTCCAGGCCTCTTCCTACTCACTCCCGCAGCTCATCGTTGGTCGGCTAGTTTCTGGATACGGCTTCGGTCACATTACGGCCACGGCCCCCAACTGGCAGGCTGAGTGCTCTGGCGCTGCTCATCGGGGTGCGGCGGTGATGCTTGAAGGCTTGTTCATCTCGCTCGGCTTAGCTATCGGAGGTTGGACTAATCTCGGCATGTCTTTCCATCACGGCTCTGTAACTTTTCGGTTTCCCATGGCCCTATCGGGTGTGTTCTCGATTATCATTATGCTTACTACGCCGCTACTCCCGGAATCACCTCGGTGGCTGACCAAGAAGGGTCGGGTCGATCCTGCAAGACAGGTGCTGGCTGACTTGACTAACACCGATACCGATTCAGTTGAGGTTCACGAAGCAATCCAGGAAATCGAGACATCTTTGGCCCTTGCAGGAGAGGCCAAGGTCAAAGACATCTTCACCAACGGCCCGCTCCGCCTGTTCCACCGTATGTGCCTCGCTTGCGCAGCACAATGCTTTCAGCAGATGGTATGATACCTCGAGAATTCAGAGAGCTTGTGGCCTCGCTATAGTATCTGACTGACTCAACCTAGAGTGGCATCAACGCCCTGGCCTTCTATCAAGCCAAGATCTTCGAGGACTACCTGGGTCAGACACCACGGGCAGCAAAGATCATCGCTGCTTCAGTCTTCACCTGGCAGACCATATGTTCACCCATCGGTGTCCTGACTGTGGATCGGTTCGGACGTCGCAAGTTGATGATGGTCTCTTCTCTAGGCATGGGTGTCTGTATGGCAGTTGTCGCGGGTGGGTCATCGCAGCCGTCCAGCACGGCATCGGTGGCAGTCGCGGCGGCATTTATCTTCCTCTTCTCACTTTTCTTCCCTACTGGGTTTCTTGGGCTCACGTTTCTGTACGCTGCTGAGATTTCGCCTCTCAGTCATCGCGTACCCATCACGGCAATGTCCACTGGTATGTTTATTCATGCGTAACTTAACGGGAAACTGCGCTAACTTAGATTAGCCACCGCCTGGCTCTTTAACTTTGTAAGCTTGAGTCCTTTCAATCCCTTTATGATGAGTTAAGACCTAACATGTGCGTCACAGGTTGTTGCTGAGATTACTCCGATTGGGCTAGCTACCCTCAAGTACAAGTATTACATTATCTACGCCGCCATTAATATTTGCCTCACTTTCCCATGTAAGTGTAACGCATTGTCCCCTATATCAAACGATCGATTTCTGACTACTTACTCAGGCGTGTACTTCTTTTTCCCCGAGACCAGCGGCCTGCACCTGGAGGAGGTTGACGCTATTTTCACTGACAGTAGCAACATCTTCGAAACCGTCTCTATTGCCAGACGCAGGCGAGCAATTGATGGTAGAAGCATTGGTGATAAGGAGAAGGGAGGGAAAAAACAAGTCGTAGAGATCGAGAAGAGCATACCGACACTTCAAAACATCGGTCAGGTCAGTTGGTAGGCCTGTCACTACGCTCTATGCATGAGAACAGTAGAGAACTGCTTGGGAGGCCGATTAATTAGGGAGAATGGAGAGCGGCAGAAGGAGAGGTGTTTGCTATTGAGAACGATGATGAAAAAGAACAAGGCTTTGCACATTTTGCAACAGAATGGCAATAAGAATTTCATTTAGCTCAATCTATACAATCTACACACCATAAGCTCTACAGTCAGTGTATATGAATACTACGTAACGTTTATAGAGAAGAGTTATGAAAATACCCACAGGGTTTCAAGTTCCATGAAATTGATGTTAAACTTGCCTGTCGTAAGCCGCCCAAGCACTGTCGAGCTCACGCAAGTCACCACGACATCTGACTCGAAATGCCGATATCGCCAAGTATACAGAAGCTCTCCAGTCCTTAGATGCCAGCAACTGCAATTTCAATCAATTTCAGAATGCTTTAGCGTAATAGTAGGTTGAATTTTAACAGGTATGTTTCGCACCCGAGCGAGCTTAAGTAAGCACTTATTTAGCGCAAATTTACAGCGTCACGCCTCACTGGAGGTGGGGAATTCACTCAACCTCCTTCACAACGGTAATGCACCCCACAGGAGTGCGCCGCCATGTCCGATACACAGACTGTCTCGACAAGTGAGAGACCTACTCGTCGTCATCCTCGAGGTCTCGTAGCTTGTCTTCGGTGCAAGAGCCGCAAGCAGCGCTGCGATAATGTATATCCGGCGTGCTCGAATTGCCATGACGCGGGACAGAAGTGCTCGTATGGAGCAAAGCAAGCGCTGCCAGCAGAGTATGTGAAGTCTCTCGAGCGTCAGGTCTCAAAATTACAACAAGAGTTGGCCTTGTCGCGACAAAATGTCGTCACTCCGACAAGCAGTTCTTTTTTGCAGCAACAGCAGACATTGCCGATGGTGCCCAACATGAATGAGCAAACAAGTTCAAGGGAGACTGCCGCTTCGGACCTGGAAGCCAGCGCTGGGATTGTTGCCCCATCGCCAGATTCCTTCTTGGGGACCTCAAGCGGGTATCCTCTCACGAGGCTCCTGCGATCGGCATTGCCCTCAGTGGATGCACACCAAGGCGATCGAGTAGTAGCTGTACGCGAAGTAGATGCCGCGACATGCTCTTCAGCAGCTATACGCTTGAATGGCGGTCAGCAGGCCGAGACCGATGTATTCTTTGGCGGCTCAGACTTACCCACCAAAGAAGTCGGCGATAAGCTTATTGGAGCGTACTATGCAAGAGTACACCCGAAACATCCATTTCTAGCTCGAAAAAGGGTCCAGTCGCTCCACGAGGGTAGACATGAGCTCACCCCTGCGCATAAGGCCACGCGTTCAGACGCATTGCGGACGAAGTGCGACTACGCGACGTTGCAACTAGTATATGCCATAGGAGCACGATACTTGCAGCTAAGCAATGACGATGATCACTCATCCCCTACGGTAAGAGTTCAGTCTCAAAACAATTCTGCAAGTCTGACTCGCGAAACTAGCGACACTATGCCTGCGCACTAGCAGATGCGGACTTTATCTTCGCAACAGGTAGTCTCGAGAGCTTGGAAACAATGCTTCTTCTCACGATATACCAATTAAGGTCACCAGCTGGGCCCAGCGTGTGGTGAGCGATTGACACACAATTGAAGTACAACGGAGCAACCTAACAATCGTCAGGTGGATGATAGAAACAACAATGCGAAATTGCATCGACCATGGCCTTCACCGAAAAACTAGCAGTCTCTCTCCGAGCCTCGATGAACGGCGAAAACGAATATTCTGGACGTCATATATGTTGGAAAGATCCGTCGCCCGCACAATGGGTAGACCTCACTCCATTTCTGACAGAGATATTGATATCCCACTTCCAGCCAATATCGACGACGAACTAGATACTGACGAAGCCATCCTCGCGGCCATTGCTAAGTCAAATGAGTGCCCTTCACGGATAACTACACTCACGCCGGCCATTCACATCTTCCGGCTACAACAGATAGACTCCAAGATCTCACATACTGTATGTCGCGTGGACAAAGATGTCTCTACAATCAAGCCGCATAAGGTAGCTCGTCTTCGGGATGCTCTGGAAGAGTGGAAGACTGCTATACCCCAAACTGGTCCAGAGGACAAGCCGCATCCGTACCTCACGACGGATTACCATATGATCCAATACCATAAAGCGATCATACTTCTGAACCTGCCCTTCTTACCCACCTTAACCCCACAGGGCCCGACTTTTCACGAGATCGTCCACTCCGCCGGACAGATTTGCATCCTGTCGAAACGCCTTCATGACCAACAGACGTACATCTCCTTCTCTTTGCTCTCATTACACGCCAACTTTGTCGCTGGCTTGGTCATGGTGTACTGTTTCTGCCTAGACTCATCAATCTTTAGTCCCAAGTTCAGCAGTAGCGTACGAGCTTGCAGCACAATGTTGTATATCATTTCCGAACGATGGCCGAGAGCAGTGCAGGCTCGCAAAGCATTTGACCGCCTTGTCGCTGCTACGATAGAATGTGACGGCGAACCAAGTGCGGGTTTGATGAGGCCTGAAAATAATTTGCCTTCGTCACAGGACGGGTTTCAGCCGGGATTGTTGTCGGGCGAGGCTAGTCATCCGGAGGTATGGAACAGTTTCGAGTCGATACTTGGGGATCATCAGATTGATCTCGAAACTTGGATGCACGATAGCATCTTTGACACGATAAATACATTCCAGCCAATGGATTGGGCAGAGTAGGTGGCTCTGTTATAGCTTTACAATGCTCACTTAACTGTACATTGGATTTAAAAACCAGATTAATTTACTCTTATTAGTATTAATAAATTTGTATAGTACAAGTCCCTATATTATATGTTTACAGTGGAATCTAAGCTCTGCACATACGGCCGTTCTTCTCCACGGTCCAAGCCTCGCTTCCAACACCCTTGTAGTTGTAAAAGAAGGAATGGGGATCGTACTTCCTCTTGATATCCACCAGGCGGTTCCAGTTTTCACCATAAAATACCTCCTTCCACTCAGGCTCATTGAAATCAGCCTCGTTCATATATGTACCGCTTCCAGGGGTAACATCCTTCAGCTGGGGCATATACACCTCAGTCATCTTCTTCTGGTCGGCAGCCATATCATCCCAACGGGTAGCATCCCAAAGAGATCCAAACTGTAGTGAGATCATAGCCTTACGCCACACAGAGGGAACAGCGTTGGAAACACCAGGCAAGCTCTCGAACTTGCCAGCGCTACCAGCAAGAACAAGTCCAGTGGAGGCAAACTTTCGAGTAAGCTTGTTGAAGTCGGCACCGGCAACTACTGAGTTGGGGATGAGACGGCCACCCCACTGGAATTGAGCAGCTTGAAGAGAACCACCGGGCAGAGGGCCATTGTAGAGCGCATAGTGGTCGCGGAAGCTCAGGGTAGAGTAGGAGGCAGTGAATGTAAGGCCAGCCTTCGTGAGGTAGTCGGTAAAGGGAGCGAGGATGGTATCACGCACGAAGTCACCAGTGGAGTTCGCAATAGTAACGGGTGTGATGGCGAAATAGGCTCCGGTGAGAATATAGGTAACGGTGGAATCGTTGCCAATCATACCTGGCAGAAGCTCGTGGAATCTGTTGACAGCGGCGTAGTACGCATCCTTGTCTGCGCCAGCGACGAGCGTAAGCTTTGCGCCGCCAATGGTGGTGGTCTTATGGGCGCGAACCGTCATAGATGTCACTACACCAAAGCTAGCACCGCCACCACCGCTCATTGCCCAATAAAGATCTTTGTGTTTGTTAGTAGCAGTGGCAGTAATAATTTGGCCATCAGCAGTGACAACTTCGTACTCAAGGGCATTATCAGCGCCCATGCCGAAGCTAGTACTCAGAGGAGAGTGGCCACCACCAAGAGTGAAACCAGCAAGACCAACAGTAGGGCACTCGCCTGGCACACTAGTAAGGCCATTGGCACCGGCAAATTCAACAGAATCATAACCTTGAACACCAGCACCAAGCTTAAGAGCAGGGCCAGTATACAGCTTGTCAGACCATTGTTGAATGACTTCCTGCTTCTTCATGTGATGGGTCCAGATCGCGAGACCACCAGCACCAGTAGAACGGCCAAAGTAGCTAAAGAAAGTCAGTAAGGATTATCAACTTGGGCTTGGAAAAACATACTCATGGGCTGTGTTTCGGACGACTAGTCGGATGTTGTATGCCTTGGCGAACTTGATAGCGGTAGCAACATCGCGGGCATCAGACACCTTGACAGCGTAGCTGACATAGTTGCCAAGAGTACAAGGCTTTGACTTTGTCACAAACGGATCGCAAGACTGGTTGGCAAACCAGTTCTGCATAACCGAGGATGAAGTCTCGATGCTATAAATCGTTAGTATCGAAGGTCTTTTTTGGCTAGAAGGGTTCTGGCGTACTGTGTCATGGGCCACTTCCAATCAGCCTTCACAGCGGCGCAAGCCTCCTCGTCGTAGTTAGGCTCGTGGCAGGGCGAGCCAAGTGGCACGGTTGCAATAAGAGCGCCATTGACGGTGCTATTGAACTTGGCCCACACTTTATCGGACGGCCAGCAGTCATCGCTGGGTAGGCAGCGACAATCATTGCGAGCATGGAGGTGAGGACCATGGAGGTGAGCGCTGGAGCCACCGGTAAAGAGTGCTAGAGGCAGAAGCGCCAAGGAGAGAATTGACTTCATATTGGGCAGTTGGGCTTGGCTGGACGGAATAAGCAGAAGTGGTGTGGCAGGAGGGGGACAATTATGGTATTTATGCATGGAATTTGATGCTGCATGCCCCGTTCCCCTTTTTGATCCATATCTAGTCAACTACACCGGCTCTAAGCCCTTTAAGACTCACCGCGGCACTAGCAAGCATGGACCGCAGCTGTTATCTGAGAGAATTCAATGCTCTCTCCAACGTGCATTCTTTTCTTGGCAGATCCCCCAGAGGGATCTATAGTAAGGGTCTAGAGGCGTATATCCGCATCCGAGGTAAAGATAGCTCGATCGTCGGAGATTAGATATAAAAGAAGTAAGAGACCTTCATACCCCTGCAGCTGATGGCACCAGACTGTCTTGGCGGACGAGAACCCGAGCTGACTAACGTTCAGCTAAAGGCCATGATCTGCGGGTAATAAGCCACACGTGCCGCACAAAGAATCCAGTGTCTCACAGATTCGGTCTAGACGAATAAGAGCGGAGGCTCATTGATCAAAGATGGACATTTCACGAGTCAGGTTTCGGGGCTCTAAAAAGTCAAAGCAAAACATCCACAGTCGCGATCTGAGCGTTCTCCATCAGGTGGCCTCTGCTTCGCTGACATCTGCAAGGCGACAAGTTTGCTGCAGACAATTTCTGACAATGGCGACATCCTTGGACGGTAAATGTTCCGAACGCAGCGCCACCCCGAAATAAAATCTGACCACTAACGCTCGCCGCCACCATTAATCAGTCTTTGCTTGGGAAAAGCGCCGACGCCACTCAAAATAACATGTTCTAGCTCGTCCATTATCTTAACGGTCTTGCACGAACTTCCCCACTGCCATGCAAACCCCTTGGCCCCTTGAAACGTGCCTTGCAGAGCCTCCTCGACGGCGAATCAAAGGCGCTGGGGGTCTGTAGTAGCTGCGAATCACCTGCCGGAAATAATCCTTGGATCGTCTTGGCAGCCCGTCTCTAGCGGATTTGCACTACCAAATGGGTCTAGTGGGTATGCATGGAGTCATGGGTCAATCGACTTTCCGCATCGAGGTTGTGTTCTTTTTAAGATCCTGGGAAAGTTCTTTTGCCTTGGTCGTGATCTACTGGCCCCGTGCGGAGCGTTCGGGAATCTCAATGCTAATTTATGTCGATCGAGCATGATCTTCATTCTTACTTTGGCAAGCACAACATCGCGAGAGGTTTTCTTTCAAGAAATTTTTTTTTTGTTCTTTGTTTTGAAATGGAAGGCAAACCCTAAGGATAGAAATTAAGTTATTCAAGCTGAGGCATAGAGTGCATTACACTCTGCGGCGCAGTCACTATCCCACTAGCCTATTTTAAAACCCTTGCAGTGACTTCTGGTTTAGTTGGTCGCTACCCTGTAAAGGCAAAACGGGTCCTACAGCGCAGCATGACAAGTTGACAATTACTCTCAGACGATAGGATGTTCCCATCCCTGTAGATTTCAGCGTGTTATTGATTGCGGGTTCTATTCTTGTCTATCAAGGGGCATTTATCTCTTCCCTTTCTCCCGATACAAGAATACTATTGCAATAACGGAGGTTCGGGTCCTGCGGCTGCTGATCTAACATGGTTTTGGTCAGCACGCGTATCAAATAGCGGGGTCGCTGATAACGAACCGATTAAGTACCTCTGCCATTTCTGTATTTATGCCATACAAAAATCGCCTGGGCAATGGAGGATTCGCAAGTCTCGACATCGGCAGCCTATACCGTGTCGCGCTCCCGTGGCAAACAACCTGGTGAATCTCTTTACAACGTCAGATTAAAAGAAATGAGAAATGCTAAGCGGCTAGCGATCTTCTGATGAATCTGAATCCGATGACGAGATTGAGCCAGGTCAGTTCGCGCAGTGTTACTGGGTAAGTCCTTCCGCTTAGCTGATTGGTTAGGCGCTGTGGTTTTACACAAAATGTTCAATCGTAGAGTTGTCTTACATACCGATGAAACCGTCGTCAAATCTGGAAAACGCATAGCACTGGGAGAAGCAGAGGCGCTGAAAGTCGCTGCTCATGCTGGAATCCCAGCTCCACTCGTTCACGACGCGTATTCTACTTCCGACGGTCAGGGCTGTATACGCATGGACTACATCAAAGGATAGCCGCTCGATACAGTGTGGCCCGACATGTCAGTTGAGCAGAAACGGGATATTGCCCGGTAAGTTCGGGAGCTGATCGGGAAAATGAGATCCGTGGCTCCTCCTGCTCATCTCATTGGAGCCTGTGATGGTACTGAAATCCGGGATACGAGGTTATACTCTACATACCATTCCCCAGCGTGTCGCGATGAAGGAGCCTTCAACGACTTTTTGTTATCGGGTCTTTACGAACATACTCCCCCTCTAGTGCGGGAAACATTTTATCAGCGACTACAAACTAATCATCGGGTTGTCTTGTCTCACTGCGATCTTACGCCTAGAAACATATTAGTCCAAGACGGGAAGATCCAGGGACTAGTTGACTGGGAAGATAGCGGATGGTTTCCAGAGTACTGGGAATATGTCAAGTTTTTTCCAGCGTACTGCTGATAAGGATTGGAAACTATATGCAGAAGATATCTTCCCTGAGCTGTATCATGATGAGCTGGTTGATTTTATGGCAATATCGAAATGGCAGAACTCTCAACTAGTCTGTCTGAAATCAGGTAGCGCCTTAGTGCGTTCGAAGCCATTTCGCAGGCATGTTCCATGGCGCAGAAGTAAAGGGCTTATCCTCTGACTCCAAGTTTCCGGTGGATCATCGCATTCAGCCTTGCGTTATATTGCCCCGCGGTTAGATAGCCGCTGTTGTGGAGTACCTACAGTCACAGGGTTCAGAACAACCCAATATGTCGCACAAGCTAGCTACTGCCTCGTGTACTTCCGGTGCCCCAGAACATTAACACAGCACAATACGAGACATAAATGCGTGACCTTCAAGTGCAGCTTCACTTCTAGAGTTGGGAAATACTACCAGAATTCTCCTCGCGATTATATTGATACAGCCACTGGGTAGTCTTTGTTATCGCCGACTAGTGGCTCTCTTCTTTGGACGAGCAGAGATCAAGCTTAAAAATCCTCTTCGGCATCTTTGACTAGCTAGACTGACCTGAAAACTGCCGTGGAGGCAGAAATAGGCAGTAGATCTCTTTGACATCGGTGCGCAGTCCACGCCATAGTTACAAATTCGATTGTTTTGTGCAACTATTCTCCGCTACTCCACTAAGTTCCTATCAAAGGAGCGCTAAACCGGTGATGGTGAGAGCTGTCGTCACTGTATAAAAGCTCCTTGGCAGTCCCGTGCTACCGCTGTCCTTAATAAAATCAAAACCCTCGGCGGCGTACTTGTCACTGTCGACTGTTGATAGTTTATTTCCACTCCTGTCTAGGATCCTAGCTTCAAAGGTATGCACCGCATCGGGCGAGAGCGAGTTGCCCTTATCCTTGATTTCCTTAACGATAGCTGCAGGATCCCATTCATAGGAGCCCGATGAGAAAGATAGGTCGCTGACAAGTTCCCAGCCAAACGTGCTGCTGTCCACGTTGCCAAGCGCATGGAACCAGAGGTCAAATTTACGGGCCTCTGGCTCGCTTAGGGAGCCTTTGGTGGCATCCCACGTGATGTTGATGGGTTGAGTAAGGTCAATCTTCTTGGATGAATCAGGGCCAGTGAACTCGAAAGCGTGGATGGCGTTAAAGAAGGCGCAGCTGAGAGTAGAAAGTAGAAGAGCTGAATGCATCTTGGCTTGTGAGGCAGCTGTTGATACCCAAGGAGGGTTATTGAGCAGAGCGGGCAAGGAATCGACAGTAGGGAAGCGCAGTGCAGATCCAGAAGTCGGGGTGCAGGCACTGGGTCTATAAGAAAACTGCAGATGTCTCGGGATCACACATTTATCCTAAATGTAAATAAGTCTAGGTATATTTGCCTATGATTGGGTAAAGAGTTTATCTTGTTGGTTGACCCTTGAACTGTAGGGGAGAGTGCCGATTTGATCTATGTCCCCTGTCGGGTGGGTCACAGACTTGGCACAGAGTCTAGAACGTGACGAATGCCACGTTAGTCGGGCGAGTCAGGTTCCGGCCTAACACTGCAGATAACTGACATGCTGTTATTGAGTACCAAGGTGAAAGAAAGAAAGAACGCGATGATCATCACCTGAAATAGAAGTTAAACTTTAAAATAAGTGTAAGTGGCATTGAGCAGAGAGAAACATGTTAGCGTGAGGTTTACAGACTTCCACCACTTAGATCATGTCAATCTGATACCTTAACAAGGATGGCAACTGTGTACTTGAGCACAGGTGCCCGTAGCTTCCACTCTTACTTACATCTAAGCCCCGGAGAGATATATTTACCGAAAGCTATTGTACACCAATCTAACATTAAAATCAGTTAAACACTAATAGTCCTTAGGACTCCGTCTCTTCCATACTCAATAGATATCTTTTCAACTCGTACCTATTCTTTATCCCAGGACTGAATCAACTAGACGCAGGATGTAGCACTGGCTGAGAAACTCTATTAACCGACGGCACAGTAGATATGCAGTTGAACCAACAATGAACGACCAACGACCAACAACCAACAACCAACAACCTTGCTCTAGCGTAGTCCAGACCACTTGAGTAGTATCGCATCTCGTTGTTTAGACCTTCAAAAACGCTTTTCATTTGATTCTGTATAACTGATAGCCAGGACTATTCGAGCACGTGGGCTATCTTTCCACAATTGGGGGCGATTTAGCTTAGCTAACAGCCAACTGCATGTAACTAACTACTGTGCCGTGAGTAAAGATGGAGATATTCTACGTACAACGAATCAGAATCCTGCTATCAAGGTCATCTTCTTCTGTGCGTTTACACAGAGCTCGGATGGCAGAGAAGCCGTATGGGCCTGCTTGATGGCTCTTGGGCTTAGTATATGGTTGTTGAAATAAAAACAGGGGGGATAGAAAGTATATAAGAGGTGTGAGAATTCCTCAAGTCTTCATCTTCTTCATCCACCAGAGCACAGCCTAGTTCAAGGAAACATTTATCCTCCGCCCTCTTCTCTTTATCTGCCTATACTAAGACTTCTGCCTCAGTAGCCATGAAGGCTATTCTCCCCATCACCGCCTACATCATGGCCTTCGCCCAAAAGGCGTCAGCTCGTCGCTTAGACTGGGCCGGAGAGCCTCTGAAAGCACCTAGTTCTGTCTTTGTGACCTGGGAAATCGCCCACGCTACTGGCGATCAGATCATCTTCGTCGCCGATAGTGAGGCAAAGTCTCTTCTCACCTATGCCTGCGACGATAACGTGACCCTTGATGGTGTCTCTATTCAGGTCTCAGCAGACGAGACCGGCAATGGGGATATCACCGTCGGAGATGCACGCTACCCTCTCGAGTTCGAGCTTGCCAGGTCTGGTGGAGTTGTCTGCGAGGCCCGATGGAACGCTGATATCACTGCCGTCGAGTGCGAAGTCCCTTGGACTGCTGATGGTCCTAGTCTCTTCCAGAGCGAAAGCCTTGAGTACAACATCACGGCCCAGTGTCTCGGTCGAGCGGCTGATGATGACCTCGTTATGGTCGGTGCCTTGACCGACGAGGAGATGCAGGTCTTTCCTGCCATCGACGAAGAGGACGGGGCAGATGAATCTGACTCGAAACATCTAGAGTCCCGACAATGCTGGGACCAGGCTCCGGTTGTTAAGAAGGATGGAAACGGATACCCTAAGAAGTGGAGACTCCACAAGCAGATCACGGTTCGTCTACATGCATCTTTTCTTGCACTAATCCATAAGCTAACATATGTTTTCTAGGACCGTATCCACTGTGGCAAGGGCGACTGCGAAATGAGCGCTGGAAAGGAATGGTCCGTCACGCACTCGGCAAGCTTCTCTCTCGAGGGTCTTGGAAAGGCTAGTTGGATCTCAGGTGGCTATTCTGTGGCGTGGACAAGGGGCAACTCCCAGACAGCCACCTGCGCCGGTAGTAAAGGACAGACCATCTGCGTTGCGCATTGGCATGACCACCAGGAGTACTCTGTGAAGAGGGAGCGTTGGAACACTTGTGCGCTTAGGCCAATCAAGGATTCTTACTACACCTATTCGCCCTTTACCAAAGGAAGCAGACAGTCATTTTACTGCAAGCGTTCTAACTGCAAGGGTTCGGGTCAGACCGGATGGGTTAAGAAAGGCAATGGTGTCTGGTAGGGAGGACTGGCTAGTCTCCTGACAAAGTATCAACTGGGTCCATAAAACGGCAGTTGGACGTGCCATAGAAGCCTTTACTGTTCAAGTCTACTGAGTCAACTTAACCAACACTCCTTAGGCCGTTCACGAAGGCCCCTTTCAAAAGTATGTCCCAATGGTACAGCGCTATTATGCACATTTAATTGGGACAGCACATGTTACATTGGTTACTATGATGCTGTCTAAAATAGAATGATATATCAGCGAACTCATATTCAGAACACTGCATATGCGAAAGGGATGGCCCTGGGTAGGAGGGCATTAGCAGAGGCTTAATTGGTCACAGAAAGAGTTTTTGTACTCTGTAAATCAGTCCGGTCGCTGCGACACTATTGATACCAAGCGGAAACCATTCTGCTGCTTACATCTGCTCAGTGCACATCTACCCGGCGGCTGAGACGAATGTGCAGCCCCAACCCTCTAATGTTGTGCGTGGGCATTGATTCAATCTTCACCCCCGGGGTAGGTGACGCATGTCGCTACTTTGAAGAAAAGGAAAGAGGGCATAGGCACATGGAACCACCTCAATACGATTAAGACAGATTTCGGCGAGGAGAGGCCATGTAATACTAGTGATGCCTGACTACGTGAGATATGTAATGCTTTAGTCTAGAAAAGGGAGTATATAACACTGTGTTCGTACTTCTGCAACCTTGATCTCTCGGCGAATTTTAGAAAGTCCAATTCAACTCGGCTTCTATGTTCTCCCAGAACGGATCTGTACCTAGGTAGTCAAGTATAGATAAATCGAAAGCCTCAGAGTTGATAGGAGAGACAGTGCTTGCTTCGATCTGTTTAGACAGACCCTGGAGAAGCCTCCGGGTACGAGTGCATCCAGCGTCTAGAGGTTCCATCTGAGCAAACAGCTCAATCGCACGACATACAGATCCATAGCAATCCATTTTTTCGGCCTCTTGTTTGTCCGAGATGATGCCCAGAACGAGGACTAATGACACCTGGAAAAGGTTCCAAGCGCTGTTCCAGCAAAGAAACTGGTTTGGGGCCCAGTCTATGACCATAAGGTCGACACCTTCTTTCGCAATCTCGATGCATTTCCGAGCTTGAGCTGCTTCGCTAGCAGTTTCCTGTCCCCATGGCTTCTGATTCAGCGCTGCGGTCAACAAGCCTGGGCGGTAGAGCATGAGCCGAGTTGTAACCCATCTCCACCAAAGAGTCGCCCGCGCAGTCTTGAGACTTGGTGGGCATTGCTCACGATGAGCCAGAAACATATGCAATGAATCTTTCCAGGCGATGAGCTCACTATCCAATTCATCAACTTCCTCTGGGCTGATCAAAGGTAACTGGACAAGGCGCTGTTGCACACGTGTTGCGATCCTACAGAACTTCTCACTAGCTGAGAGGGATATTGTTCCATAATCCTAGGGTGCGACAACAAACATGAGCAAGCAGGTTCTAACAACAGCGTTTGACGTGGCTTACCAGGTTTTCCAAAACCGACATGGACGAAGTTAGCGTTATAGTTGGATCCCAATATCTCTCACTAGGACGTCCCAGAGTAGACGAAGCCCATGTATCCAGACAGAGGATAGACCACCAAGTCCGTATCCGCGTTGTTGTTGAGCCATTTGCAGGATGATAAGCTGGATTCGTAGAAGATTGTGAAGCCTTCACTCTGTGCAGGCCCATCGCAACGGCCATCTGAAGAGTTGCTCCCATAACAGCAGCTGCCATATTGGGCTTGTTGAGAAAGTGAAGTATCATGCCACTATACAGAGCCAATGCTTGGACCATGTAGAGGTGGCCAGAGCCAAAAGAGTTGATGTTTAGATAAGTTAGAGCTCGCTTGTAGAAGTGGTTGTGCCCGTTGAAGTGGATCGACTCTGACGCCATCGAGCCCATAGCGAGGACCATATTCATAAGAGCCAGCCATGGGCCATCTTCATCCTCTTCCGTGTTTGATTGAAAATACCTCTGACGAAAGTCGGCTTCGTCGACCATGGGAATCACAGGATGTACGTGAATAAAATATGCATTTATAATCGGTATCTCATCTTCTTGCAGGGAAACCATGTCACCCGGACTGTCAGCCAGAGTTGAAGGACTTCGCCAAGCTTCAGTGCCCTTGGGAATGCGTTCTTGCACATGAGGAGAAAGGTGGGCGATGACTTTTAGAATGGTAGGAACCGAAGATATACCCAGGTATGAGGCATTGAGAGATTGTCGCGAGAAGGCTAGTCCGTTGACGTCGTCTGCTACGCGCGATGTCTCACTTTCAGTCTCGGATATTTCGTCCCAAGTGAAATTTTGTTCCAGCGGGGGCTCTAAAACTTGCAGATGGTCCTGCGGCTCCATCTCAATCGAAGGTGGAGGCGGGTTGGAAGACTGCAGCCGTACCATCAATTGCTGACGGGTCATTGACGAAAGTTCATCAAGTGAACTAGAAGGAAACAATGTTCCGATGATCTTCTGGGCCTTTGCGTAACTATCGGCAAGTTCGGTGTGAGATCTGCGTGTTGTGTTAGTTCAGCGATGGCAGGTACTTGTCCGTCGGCGCGTTACTTAAGAGATACATTGTGCCTCTTTTTCCTTGCGGGATAGTGACAGAGGTGTGGAACGAGGTAGTAGACGCATTGCCGACAGGGAATAGTCTCGCCCTCACATTTGACACGCCGACGTCTGCATTCGGCGCATGATGAAGTGACCCGGGGCTGTCGGCTTTGGTTGTTAAATTCCTGGGCGCCAATTGTCTCTGGGATGTAAGGCAACTCCATGGTCCAACTTTGCGCCCTAAATCAGAAGAGAAGGTTCCAATTGTACAAAATGATACGAAGGGTAAAGGAAAGCCTCCTGTCGAGGATTCAGAGCTCGGAACTAGCTTCTGATCATGGCCTGTCAACAAGCTTAGGCAACCGTTTAAGCTGACACTAAATGGCCCACAGGGCCACAGTGCCCAGGACGCGTTCTTGAAGGGTTGTTTCAGAGTCCAGGTCTGTAGATGACAAAAGCATCCCTATTGCAGGGTCAAGAGAGGTGCTGTCGGTCATCCAGATCGGTAGTTTGTGGACAATCTCGTGTAGTTGGAACAGGTATCTTCTGATTCATAAAGAGCATCACCGAATTGCAGTAAATTCTTCTTAATTGAGTTTAGTCTCTATGCACATAGCGTAAAACAGAAACCTCGGCAATGTCTCGCTAAGTTTAGGCTATACTGAATATGGCAAGTGAGCTCTGCTGCCACTGGAGGACACTAGCAAGGATATACAAATTTCCGTGCTAGCTCACGGCATGTCCGAAGCTACCCTGAAGAGCTTTATTAGTATGTTGTTTCCTCTGCTGCATAAGAAATGGTGAAGTTGGTAGGCAAATGCCTATAAAAACAACTAAATCTATTATCTGCGTGATAAATCTCGACTACTGAAGTGGTTTCAAAATATTTTCTGCTGATTTTAAGGTTATGGAAAACAGTTGTTCAAGGTGTTGAAATTGGATGAACTGTTGGCGGTGGGAGTATTATGCTTAACGTTGGAGCCAGTGGGTGAGAACTAAAAGCACGCTAACTTGATTGGTCTTATCTGACCGCTATCATGAACATTATCTTATCATGTATCTTATCGTAAGAGTAAACACGTGCTATCTTGTCGGTACATCCCTGCCCAATCTAGAAGTTTATTCCGGTAATCCCAGGTACCTGAAATTAGGCGCGTTGAGATCCTGACTTTCGGTACAAATGTCGACCACTTGGGGATCATCCGGCATAACATCCAAGCAATTGTCGCTCAATACACAGCCGTCGATCTCTTCAAGGACGAGTCCCTTTGTAGGCTTTTCAGAAGAGATCATAAACTTCCCGTTCTGCGCTTCGACCTTGACGCCTCTGTTCTCAAAGGACAGGTACTTGAAGGGCTGTGGCCAATCAACATCCCGAGAAATGCACTCTCCAGACTGAAAGACGCGTGCAGCCAACACGTGCACTTCTTCCGTAACATTATCGATCACCCCAGATAGAACGTTCGTCGATCCATTCTTCGCAATTGCAACATTTTCCTTTCTGACAGTCGGCTTCATTTCCTTTCCGGTTGCTATGGACAGAAACCGAAGCTCCACATCAACATGCGTCTCGTTCTGCAGACTACTCGAGATCCAGAGCTCGTAGGTCGAAGACTTTTTCGGACGCGCATGGCAGACACTCCAGTCATGATGTTCGCGCTGCACTCCAACCGCGATCGGACACAGCGCTCGTTTGATGACGTAGAAGGCTGGTTTCCTTCGCAGATAATGATCTACGATAGACCAGGATGTCGCGGGCCAACAATCATTGAGCTGCCACACCAGAGCACCGCCACATCGGCGATTCTCTCCCCACTGCCGTCGCCAATTGCGATACGCGTAAGTCATGGCTTCGCTCTGTGCCAATTGGGTCAAGTATACCCAAGTCTTGGAGACGGTGTCAATTTTCATCCCGATTTGGAAGTGCATAAAACTTACAGCGAGATCAGCAGAAAAACGAAAGTTTTCCATAACGTATGTTGCGATGCGTCGCTCGTGCCCATCTGCTTTGTTGTGAAAATCGAGAACATGTGATTGCGGGTATAAGTCCTCCCGGTTCTCGACAAAACCTTCGACGGTCTTGAGAACTGGAAAAGCGGCTAGTCCGAACTCGCTGTTAAATCGCCCGCCAATCTCGCCATACCTCTGATACTTCTCTTGGGTTCCATGCCAGACTGTAAAACGGTGAGATTAGATGCCGATAATTTGAATTGAGCCATCACTTACCATTCCATTGATGAACATCGCCAACATTGAGGTCGTCGCTGGACTTGCCGTTCGAAAATGGAGAACCTGGCCAGTATTGAGTACCGGGCGTCTCTTTCTCCATTATCGAAGGAAGCAGGTGTTCGTAGTAATATCTTGCTGGAAAGTTGCTCTTGAGCCAGCTTTCGGGGTTCTTATCGTCGTAATCATAATCAAGGTGGCACTGTTCTTGCACCTGATAGTCCTCGTTGTTGCCGGCCCAGATGACAATGGACGGATGATGTCGAAGGCGACGGATATTATTCTCGGCCTCAGCTTGTATAGAATCCGATAATGCAGGCCAGACAGGATACACCCCGCAAGCGAACATAAAGTCTTGCCAGACAAGAATACCCAATTCGTCGCATATATCGTAAAATGCATCGTCCTCATAGATGCCTCCGCCCCAGACTCTTGCAGGAATTAGCTTGGTATTGTTAAGAAGAGAGTGACGTACCTTGTCATTACTTGGTTGCCGTCAGTCATAAGCTGGAGCCAAGCACGATACTTATCAGGATCTAGACTGGGAAGAAGACTGTGAGCTGGGATCCAACAAGATCCACCGCAGAAAACATCAATGTTGTTTATGCGGAAGTAAAAAGATTGTCCACGGTCGTCTTTCTCTTGCACAAGCTGACTCTTTCTAAAGCCTGTCTTTGTCTCCCAGGTGTTGAGAACCGTATTCTGGTATGACGCGTTGACTGCAACGGAATAGAGGCACTGCTCTCCATACCCAGCGGGATACCAGAGATTTGGGTTTTCTGGTCGTGTCAATGTTTGACATGTTGAAATCGGATAAGTATACTAACCAAGCTTGAATTCTGATGCATTTGTACCATTCTCTGCTTTCTGGGCGACACGCAAGATATCCTGATCTCTGTATCCTATAGTGAAAATGATTTCATCGACCAGACCCTCGATGTCGGCGACTATCTTTCCAGTTATAGTGCTTAAGTCGTCGGAGACATCGTAATCGACGCGGACGTTGCTTATGTGCGTGTGTGATACCTCGAGCCTCACAGGCCTCCACGGCCCGGCTGTCATCAATACTGGGCCCCAGTCCCATCCCTGTTGAATCAGCTCAAATGCTTCTAAAAATTCATGAAATACTTACCCAATGATACTGCGCCTTGCGAACAGCCAGACGGCTCGCCTCTCCATTGAAAGCAACAAACTTGTGCTCCGAATGCTCCTTTTCAAGTGCTCTCCCAGCTAATAAAGCGCTATCAAACTCGATGGAGAGTGCGTTGCTCTTGGATTGCTGAAGTAGAGCTGTTATATCTACGCGATGACTCAGGAACATGTTATCGCTCTCGAGGATAGTCGTGCCGTTCAATCGCACGTGAGCGAGAGTGTCAAGGCCATCGAACAAGAGGTAAACTTGTGCATTGTCGGAGATGGTAGGACCATTGAAAGTGGTCTCGTACGTCCAAGAGTGCTCACCAACCCATTCGACATCAAGCTCGTTTGTACCAATGAATGGGTCGGGTATCCTGCAGACCCCGCGTGAGCATGCGTTTATAAAAAAACGTGAGGGAAGATTTATTACTTTTTGTTGTTCAGTAAGTCCAGATGAACGACAGTTGGGACCTTTTCCACCGTCATCCAGGTATCATCGCCCTCATCGGAACGTTTCAGCTTCCAGCCAGTGGCTAGGTCAACGATATGGGTTGCGGCTGCCATGGCAGGTGATCAAGAAACCAACAATGAACGGTCGGTGTCCATGCGTGGTATGCTTGGGTGACATTGCACTTTTAAAGATTCCCTGGTGCAACTTTGTTTCCTCCCACAGTTACCAGTCAAAAGGGAAGTTTAGTCCGGTCCAAGCTGCGTCGAGAATGCAACATTACATTCGCTCTACCCCATCAGTGACGATGATCATCAGTCCACCAACAAGTTATTTGCATAATGTAACCCACTTGAGCGCACCATCTTTCTTTTTGGGGTCACAAGCTAAGGCGGTATTTCGGACATTTCTAACCTCGTCCTAGTGCGCATCCCTCCCGTTGACAGAACCCTGCCACTTCCCCGCATGCCGATCATGTCAATAAGTACCGTTGCAATGTATATATGGATCTTCCGGGGCCATTGTCTTATCTTGAATTCAATTCAATCACCCGACCCTCGCCTTATTTCACACTTGACAATCATGTCTAAAGAGCTTGAACAGCCTCAAGGTGATCATCTTCAGAATGTCACAAGCGAAAAGAAAGAAGCTATTCAGACCCCAGAAGCCATCGCAACAGCGCTCGACAATGTAGGAGCTCCGTCCCCGTGGGGCAGAGGCCATCTACAACTGTACATGGCTTGTGCGCTGATCTACCTGTGTTCAACCATGAACGGTTACGATGGCTCGCTTATGGGTTCCTTGAATGTCATCCCCGAGTATCAACAGTACTACGGACTGGGCGACAAAGGCTCGACCTCGACAGGCTTGGTCTTCTCCATTTTCCAGATCGGACAAATGGCCGGCGCCTTGTTCGTCTGGATATGCGACTGGAGAGGTCGGAAAATCACCATTGCTGTCACTTCATTCCTTATCTGTGCTTCTGCTGTTTTTACCGCAGTGGCCCCAACTTTGTCTTCCTTTATCGGCGCAAGGTTTCTCCTCAGCTTTTTCTCAACCATTAACACCGTCGCTGCACCAATGCTACTCGTCGAGATTGCACCACCACTTTATCGAGCAACTGTGGCAGGAATATTCAATACCTTGTGGTACATTGGAAGCATCTTAGCATCATTCGGTACGTATTCTCAAAGTCCACCTCACGCTGACCAATCTGACTTGCCCCGTAATAGCGATGTACGGCGCCAATATCCACTTGAGCGGCAACATCAAGTGGCGGCTCCCCCTCTGGCTGCAGATACTTTGCCCCGGAATTGTCTGTCTTGGCAGTTGGCTACTCCCCGAGAGTCCGAGATGGCAGGTCGCCCAAGGAAGGATTCAAGAAGCTCGCGCGTTTATTATTAAGCATCACGCAAATGGAGACGCCGACCACCCCATAGTCAACATCGAAATGCAGGAGATCCAAGACTCGCTCATCGAGGTTCAAGGCCGATCCCAATGGGCTTGTTTTGATCTACGAAGCCTTTACAAGTCTCGCAATCGGCGATATCGTCTTATGCTAGTTATCGCCATGTCCTGGTTCGGCCAATTCTCAGGCAATAACGTTTCGAGTTACTATCTGCCACTTATGGTTGAGAACGTCGGTATCACATCTACGAACATGGTTCTTTTGCTGAACGCATTCTATGCATTATCTGGATGGATAGCTGCTACAATTGGAGGTATGTAAGCGTTTACAAAACAAGCAAAATCTTTTACTCACAATTAAAAGCTCGTCTCCATGATGTTGTTGGTAGGCGCAAGATGCTGATGGGATCTTGTCTGGGTATGTCAATTGCGCTTGCTATCGTCGCCGCCACCGCAGCCGAGTATGAGCGCTCTGGTAGCACCCCCTCAAGCTCAGCAAGCATTGCATTCATCTTCATCTTCGGGGTTGTGTTTGCAGTCGGCTTCACTCCGATGCAACCCATCTATCCAGCAGAGGTCCTAGCTAGTAAGCTTCCCACCGTTCAACTGCTGTTTAAAGCAGCTATATGATCTTTCACTGACACAGTTAGATGACATGCGAGCCAACGGCATGATGGTATATATGATAGCTTCAGGCGTTGCAAGCTTTGTCAACACCTTCGCAGCTCCAGTTGCTATGAAGAATATTCGATACTGGTTGTAAGTACATACTCACAGCCATACTGTGATCTATTTCTCTGACTAATGGTTCACCGCACAGCTATGTATTCTTCGTGTTTTGGGATCTATTTGAGTTTACCTTCATTTACTTTTTCTTTGTGGAGACGAAGGGTCGGACTTTGGAAGAATTGGACGCTGTGTTCGAAGCTAAGAACCCACGTAAAGCGAGTACGCGACGGATCACAGACGTCAATTGTTAGGTCGATTGTAACTAGCAATCTGGTAGTCTAAATTATGAACGGAACATCCATTGCATTCTGGGCTCTATTAGAACATTTCGGATCAATGGAATAATATGTTAATAATTTGTTACCTAAGATTTTGTTTTATAACTACGGTAATAATCTTTTGATAACTGCTGCGCATAACTAGCTTACGGGCTCTTGACTAAATACGGTTTACCTTACAGGTACACTGTAACGAACCAGGGCTAGTGGCCGATGCCAGTGAACGCTAAGCCGGGATTTGGTATTTACGTCTAAGCTTATTTCAAGAGCCGAGAGCGTTACACCAGCATACCAGATCTGAACTCCGAGACTACGTTAGACGCTAGAATGGTGTTTCGAAATTCCGTCCAAGATCATGCCTAAGCCAAGATAGCAAACCTTACCGATTCTCGGCGCAGTGAGGAAAATAGTTAGATTGCGGGGTCGATAAAGCAGTAATATGCGGCCAGGATGTCAGGTTGATTAACCCAGCGATGGAAAATGGGAAAGATCAACGTCCCAGCTCTAGGGAAACGTCAGATGCTAATTTGATCTAACGGACACCAAGTTAAACCAGCAGATCATAGCCCCTTCTAATCTAACTTATCCTTGAACACTTGGCTGAACTTGCACTTGCATTAAAATAGAAGCTTCTGATCCTGAGGGTTACCGCTGGCCAGTGCACATACTATCCAGTAGGAGAAGGTGGATAAAGTTGAGATTCTTATATAAGATGAGATTAAGACCCATGAGGCCTTAAGACTGGCACCAACAATGCTTTGCCTTTACTAAAATATCCTCGACAATCAATATCGATGAAGCGCTTCGGCCTTTTTGCACTAAGTCAGGCTCTGCTTGCACTGGCTGCCTCCCTTGACACAGAGCTCACCGCGCGCCAACAAGGCAATAGCTTCGCAGGCGTCAACTCCTTCTTCCTCCATGCATTCAAACAGTAAAGTGGTCCCTCTCAAGTCCCGTAATTATATGACTGACTGGGCATGCAGACAGGACAGGTTAGATGTCCTGGACGCCATCCAGGGTGCAAATATGAAGGTGCTACGAATCTTCATTTCACCAACTGGCCAGAACTTCAAAAACACTGGTTCTGTTTCAATGCCTGACATTGAGCCAAAGACTGTCGGCGTATGGGACGACACTCAGCTCAAGGCCATAGATCAACTCATGGTCGAAGCTCAAGCCCGAGGCATCAAGCTCACCATTGCTATCCATGACCGCTACCAGCTCGGCTGCTGGGGAAGCGATGCCTACGTATCGAAGTATAAGCTGCCTGCCGTGGACTGCAACACTGAACCAGCTAGTGCCAACAATGTCGAATTCTGGTATTCGGACAAAAACTGTATTTCCGATTTCCAGAATCGCATTCGTCACGTACTTGAACACAAGAACACACTGATTAGCGGAAGCCCAGCCTGGAAAGATCTAAGCAGCCACATATTCTCGTTCAATATCCAAAACGAAGGCCAGGGCCATTTAAACAATAATATTCCGCCTCATCCGTCGTGGTGGTGCGATCGAGCTGGCTTTATGCGGGGCATTATGGGTAGCAGTAAAGTTTTGATCTCCACTGGTAAGTGGCCATGCACTTGGAGATGTCATGCTATGACTAAAACTTTATCTAGGTGGCGGAAACGAGTTCCCAAATTCAGACGTTGCAGAGAACTGGGCATGTACGGCTTTGGATCTTGTCACCATCCATTCTTACATGGGCGTCAATGAGTTCAAGAATAAGGGTCCTGTCGCGCTGCAGCACGCAAAAAGCGCCAACAAGCTCATGTTGTTTGAAGAGTTCGGTGCCGCGGGTGTTAGCAAGCCTACCACCATTAGTCAGCATATTGATGTCTTCAATGGTCTGGGTGTACCATGGATGCCTTGGCAGATCAGCAAGCCTGGTAACAAGGCTAAGGATTATGAGTTTTGGACTGACGAGCCTACCTTTGACGTCGTTAAGGATGGCTCAAATAATGCACTAGCAAAGAACGCTGCACAAGGATGGTCTATTTAGAATCTAGGCGGCTATTAACATCGGGGATTACTAGGTATTAACTAGGGTTACAGTTGCGTTTCGATATTTCTCCCATAGCTGCCAATAACACCATCTTATGAATGACGTATGAGATAGGAAACCTCCAGCGATACATATAGAGGCAATGAGATGTACTCACTGGACCCTGTTAACACCGTCGTGTATATTAAACCCTTTATCTGGCTCGAGTCATTCCTTACTACAGGGATCCTGAATCTTGTGACCTGGGCCTTTGTCGCCTATACGGTTATTAGCACTGGGCCAAGCCTTGTTTTCTCTTCCGTTACTACTACTTCCATTGACCGAGAACCCCGCTCCTATCTCAAGCAAGAATGAAGACGATCGAGATGGCGACTACCTTGCCCACCACAACTCGGTTTATGGAAACCCAGATTGAGTCAATTACCTGCACAGACGAATCAACCAACACCACTGAGACATTCGACATGCAGCCTATGGCTATTACCAAGATTGATGGGACGAAGCTCGTTGCCACTAACACAAGATGTTGAGACATCCGTCCCTTCTACTGCCGCAGGCACAACTGTGGCTGGAGCGCCCATTCGTGGGCATGATATCATTCCAAGCCCGTATGCCATCTCCAATGGCGATCCTTACGAAATCAAATGCAACTGGAGATTCAATATCTATCAGGCAATAGGCCTTGACACCTACACAGCACCTTCGAGGAATGCATATACATCAATATCGTTACTAATATATCCAGAACGATCTAGGGATTCCTGTCATGAGTGCCTCGGTAAAGCTAGACGACAGTGAAGGGGAAATTCTGTTCAAAACACCTTCAATGTTCCTAGGGTTGGTTCTTCTTGCCATAGGTGACGAAAGCAAGTGAACAGTATCTAATTACAAACCATGTACTTAAATGAACCGGAAGCAACCGCCGACCGATTTGATTCGGAATGATATTTTAAGACTGGAGATCTGGTTACTCTCCAAGATAGAAAGATAATCTTCCAAGGACGAGCGAATATGGATTGTTAGTGTCCCCCATTGTACTCTATTCGCTATTACGGGAAACGTCTAACTTTGCGTGAGAATAGTATTTAAATTTTACACCTACAAAATTAATCAACCCCAAGTCGAAGCCTGTTTGACAGCGCTCGTCTATATCCTCGAGAGCTACATACAGCCTGTGCCAGATCCACACTGCGACACTCGAGTAGCTGCTCTGGTGCGGGTGCGTGATGGTGTCGGAAAGGTCGACTTGGAGAGAATCAGAACTGGTCTTTCGGAAAATCTCCCTGCATATCAACTCCCCACGGTGCTTCGCAACTTGGGACAGCACGAGGAGGTGCCAAGAACATGGTCAGGTAAGCTTACGGTGAGGACAGTCGTTCAACAGTTCTTTTCACAGGACAGTAATGACCGAATTTATGGCGATGCGATAGAAGTCATGGATATTAGTGATTTCATGAGGAAGAAGATAGGTAAACTTTGGGACTTCTCCGGAATGAGTCAGTAGACATGTCGCCTTCGAGCAGACTCATAGACAAATACAGTTACTACATTTCTTCTCTCTAGATAGCCGCACGTCCGATTAGACATTTCCAATGAGCTCATCTCTCTCATGGGACATGAGGAAGCTGCAACAGCTCCTTGACCGACTCTTCGATGCTGCCTAGAGACCGACGAATCTGCTCTTCCTTGATGACCAATGGGCGCGGGAGAACACAATGGGCAGCGACTGGTAGTTCTTGGCTGAGTGCCTGTCCTCGAATGCGAGCGCATCTTGTGTGCTGGTGTTTCCGGAAAAGGTTATATGTTCATGGTCTCCGTTAGTAACTGGAGCATCATATTTCTGAGACATGATCAAATGCTTCGCCTAGGTGTTTGTTTGACAATGCACAATCGAGTGAGAGATGTATGACCTTTATTGCGGGAGACTCCATCCCGTCTTCGTGTGGACATGTTCTTATATACCATGGCCTAGGCACGTAAACGACCTTGCATCCCAGGCACGAATGATCTTGACCTGTATGCGAGACACGGTACCTACGTTTGGAAGCGCCCGAAAGTCATATGAAGATAACTGCACATGCTCTTCAGCGAACGTTGTGATCCCAATCAAAGTGGTCTTTGACTTGTGCATAGAACATTCCATCTGTGAGAAAATCCCATCCTGTTATTGCCATTGCTTTCGCAGATATTATTGTCCTGTCATACGCAATGGCGGTTCCCGCGGCTTTAGCAAAACCGCCGGCTGTGTGGTTTTTCGATCCATCAGCAGTTGGAATACCGATGACCGCATGTAATGGGGTAATAATGTAGGAACCATTTCCTTGGTCTCTAGCCGCGGAAACGGGATCGTCTGTCCTCAGGAATTCGATACCTTCGACGGCGACGTGTTCCGAAAAGCACTTACACGACGCTTCTTTCACTCGCAAATCAGCATACCCGGGTTTCTCTTCGATCTTTACGCTGCAACCAGTCGTAAGCGCGCCAGCCTCAAGACACTCGCGAATCCTCCTCGCAAGGTCTCTCGTACTACAAATCGTGGGACTTCTCGCAGTTTATCCGGTTTTTGTTAGTACTGGTATGGTATTCGATGAGGGTTTAGGTGCTTCGATAATTGCGCCGGTGATCTTTTATGTAGGTAATATTTACTGTCGTAGCATCGAGACTTTAAAATAGGCTGAGACCATGGCTTCAAGTGCGTTCATCCCTCCCATGGACTGGGTCCGGCATGCGCACTGACACCATCATAGGTTGCTTGTAAAGTGTGGGGTGCAACGGACAACAAGCCTGTACAGCCGAGGGCGCCTTTCTTCGTGTATTGACTGTCAGACATTGGGTGCATGTACACCTGTTAGTTCGTGAGATCTATCCACCTGATCCTATTGCAAAAGTTTGCACCGATAAGCGCAAACATACCCATCTCACTAGTGTGCCCTTATGGTCCATTATTTACTGTCTATTCGTTGTCTCCATCTCTCGTTCTGATATCCTCTAAGCACCCGTCATCCGCAATACCATAGTCTCGGAGTAATTGTGTTGATTTGAACTGTACGACTTGAAAACTGACCTTTAAAAACCTTAAATATTTAGTCTCGGAGCCCATTAAAGGTTGAAAGATGCTATCCGGATTCGATCTTGATATATAGGGTTCGTGTTAATTAAAATCTCGAATCACTTCCTTTTCCATGTTAAAATGACAGCGCCAGGAAACAAGATGATCATGACTGAGAACCAATGGAGCCCAATCCACTTGCCGCCCCAGATTATACCGAGACGGAATCCCTCGGCCATAAGTGGCCCCGCCGCAACAGCGCTCAATGCGTTCATGGCTTCAACAGCAGCAAGCACGGTGCCTGCTCCAGCGTTATTCGCCATGGTAAGCAACAGGCTTCCAAGAGCTGGATTCAAGCAACAGCTCACGGCAGACATCACAGTCGCTGTGAAAAATACCAAACAAGTGGTCGGCAAGCCCAGCCATGAGATACACAATCGAGAGAATAAGCAGACAGGTACGAGCGATCCAGGCATCCTGCCTGTTAGCTGGTACTCGATACCTCCAGATTACCCTTTGTGCGAATAGTAAAACGACAAGACAGTAGTAAAGTATCTATGGCATTTACGCTAACGTAGCTTCAATCACGTTTTCCGGGCCTTGTTGGTATATCTTGGTAATCTTGAGTCCTGCGTTTTCGAGCAGACTATGCCATTGACTCTCTGTTCGCTCACGACTGACCAACATAGCCATCATTGTCCAGTCAAGACTCGTCTGCTGCCAGGGCGCTCCAACATCTCGCAAGACGGTTTCGTTGATAATAAGCCGAGAATAGTCCTTGATCATAGCGTTTCGTAAATGGGATAGGATAGTGGCGCACTCAACATCAGGCCAGTCGTGAAGAACAAGACGCATAAAGTATGCTTTTGCGCCGTGGTATTCAACTGGTTGAGGAGTGAAGAAATCATGAGCAACAGTTTCGATGGTACCGGGGACACTGCCACTAGATTTGGCCTCAGCAATAACTGAAGGCAAGTCTTGCAATACCAATCTTCCTGGCGGCTTAGTGTCTCCTGAAACTAGACCCAACATTTCATGGCCAAGGCCACCACCTACATCCACTATCCAAGGAGCACTGCTATCTTCAGCTTTGAACTCCCCAAGTCGCTCCTTATATGGATAGAAATCAATCCAGCGAGGTCTAGCTTTAGCGTATCCAGTCATGAAACTGTTGAAAGCGGATCCTAGGCGAGCGTTGTCTTTTAGAATACTGAAGAAGGGCTTGTCGGTCCTTAAACCATGTTGGACAGGTGAGTTGTTTTCATCCTTGGGAATCTGATATTTTGTCTTTGCGAGAAACTCAGGAAGACCTTGAAATGTTGGTATCATGCCTTCAAAGCTGTAGATCAGGCCACCCTCCACAGTTGGGTCCCTGGTTGACATAGAAAATGGCGTTCCTATATATTGCTCTCGGCCAACTTCTTTAATAATTCCGTTGGCTGCGAGATGCTTCAGAGCTCGAGCTGTGATAAAATGTAAGTGTTACGTATACTAAACAAGGGAGCAGAAATCATACCAACTAAAATTGGGTCGGCTTCCGTGCCAGCTGCTAACTGCTCGCTTCCTTGAGGGGCCTGTCCAAGTTTTTGGAGTATTTTCAGATCGAAGAGAGTTCTTAGTGCAGCAGTTCGGGTAGGCTCTCCCCAGCCAATCCTTGCAAGTTGTTCTCCCGGGTTCTCTAATTCTTGAATAAGTGCACTTGCTGAAGCTATCAGAGCTTGCCTCGCTAAGTTGTCTCCTGTCTGAAGGAGCTTTTCGCCATCTGCAGCTATAGACTGTAGTAGTAGAGCTGCCATTGTTAAGTTTTATAATAGGTTATAAAAAGATAATAGAATAGAGATGATTTGAGATGTATATTGTAAAAATAAAACCCAACTGCCTTTTAAGTCAAGTTATATATCCTCCTTACTACTTGATAAATTATAACGCTACGTAAAGTTAGTCAGATTATAGTTAATTCTTACTGTATTGCGCATTATAATATTACGTGAAGTTAGTCAGATCATAGTTCCCTCTTACTGTATTGCAGATTACAATATTATACAAAGTTACCTGGTAAGCATACACTCCCAACAGTTTCACCAATTGCAGTTAAATACATTAGTTCCGAATTATATTACACAGTGTGAAAAACCGGTTAGTGCCCGACCGCGTCTGATAATGGCGTTAAGTTCACTAGTAACACAAGGTTTAGTGTCGCTGACGCGTACTTGTCAGCAGCCTAAGATTCCTTCGATCAAACAAGCCTTTGCTTATCCACCCCATTTAGTCTTGCTTATCGCTTATCACCTGTATAGACTTGACATCTGAAATGCATAGCCCCCCTCCTCTATTGGTGTTCCCTTTTGTGTATTAAATCAATACTTGGCGCTAAAGGTTGGAGGATATGTGCGAAGGTGCCATAGTGACTAGTGCGTGTATCAATGCTGTGGTGGTCAGGCCAGCTGGAGGTAAGCAGAAAGCACAGAATGGGGCATTGGATTACAGGGTGCGCTTGTATTTGTTTCTGTGTAAGCTTATCACGCGCAGCCTGTTGAATCCACTCTGTTTAAGAGTAGTGTGGCATTTAATAGTGGCTTAACAGGGCTCAAATATAGATTAAACTTTGCGGATATGCGGGCGAAGCTCTGGAAAAATGTCTTTACCATTGGATCACTTTTACCTCTCCCACATTCCGACATAGCCGGCACGGGTCAACAATGCCTCTTGATTGGAGGTCGCAGTAAGTGGTGGATGAAAGAGCGGCTTCCTCGATTGCTTATACGTAGCCTATTGATGGTTTGTCTAAAGCTACTTTACGTCTTGTCTATCCCTCCAGTCCCTCTCGAATTCTGCCAACCTATACCGCTTTCGCGAAAGCGTCTCGCGTTCACTTTTCAAGTTTTCACTGAAAGTGCCGACGTTTTCCGCTCTTCAGCAACAGGATGTTAACAAGCAACACAAACCCAGAATATGCCTACGATACCAGAGCGATACAACAGTATTAATGAATATACGCAAGATATCATTGAATTCATTGACACGCCCCTAGTCCGCCAGATTACTGGGGGTATCCACGTCAACGACTCACTCATCTACAATGCCTGGGACGCCCTGCCTAGCGACTGGACATCCTGGTGGACATCATTTCCAGATCATCGCATAGCGCAGCAAGACCTAATAGACAATATTGATGAGTTGGAATCTTCAATCGCGACATATGACGAGATGGATGAAACTCAGCGACATCGACCCCTGCCAGACCGACCAGAGTCGCTGTCCAAGTGGCTCGATAGCGTGCAGTCACTCGCCCTCCCGCGGAATCAGCGACCTGGCAGGGTCATGACCCTCCCAGAGATTCTAACAAGTCGCATGAAGACCAAAAAGATTGCTGAAGTATCGACAGCCGTAGCATACATCCACAGCGTGTGCCAAGCCAACAACATAACCCACGTCATTGACATGGGCTCGGGCCAAGGGTACCTCTCAATCTCCCTAGCTTACCTCTTCCCGGAGCTACAAGTGCTGGCCATCGACGGCAGCGAATCCCAGATCGCAGCCTCAAAAGCCTGCGCAGGTAGTCTTGGCATTCCTGAAAGCAGGGTTCAGCATATGCGGCGCTACATTGACGGCACGCCACCTTTGGCGGATGAGATAGATACCTGGGCTGGAGGGGAGAGGTGCATGCTCGTCGGTCTTCACGCGTGCGGGAATCTCTCTGAGCATATGCTACGGTACTTCACCACCGTCCCGTTCATTGTGCGCCTGGGCGTCGTTGGATGCTGCTACAACCATATCGTCCCGCGTTCTACCACCCATCCCGAAGGATTTCCAATCAGCGCAAAGTTGCGAGAGAAGAACGTGTCCCTCAGTGCTACGGCGCTTATGACGGGTTGCCAAGCCCCGAATAACTGGGCAAGGGCAGATCCAAGAAAACAAGAGTCCGTGTACTCCAAAAGGCGCTTCTACCGAGCTTTGTTAGAGAAGGTCTTCCACGATAAAGGAATAGAACTTGACAAAGAGGACAGACCGACGTGGGGTGTGCTAAACGGAGATATGGCTAGCTTCAATGCGTTTGCACGTAGGGCAATGAGGTGCCTCGACGTTGACGAGAGCAAAATCAGCGATGCTGACCTCGAAGCTTACGAGGAAAGGTATCGAGGGTATGAGGGTAAAGTGGCGATTCTCTGGACGCTCAGTGTCCTGTGCTGCAAAGTTGTCGAGAGCGTAATTGCCCTTGATCGGTACTTGTTCTTGACAGAGACTGGGGGACAGGATGTTGATATCATACCGATTTTTAATTATAGAATATCACCAAGGAACTTAATGCTTATAGCTGCTAAGATATAAATGTATTCTTATATAACCTGATCTTCTATGAAATATGGCTCGCTTTTATTAACAGTCAAGGCGACGACTTGGTGGTGTGCCTGTCGGAAATAGTTCACAACTCATAACGCTACGTTCAAACCTAGATGCGTTAAAATAATAGAATTACATCTCTATTTAATATAAATTAGTCGAAAATCTCATCAGACTATTAGACGAGTCCATTGGACGAGTGAAGCGCGGTTGATAATAATATAGGCAATAGTGCACAATATGATTCCCTAGCCGTATTAAAATGTTTGTGATTGGTTCTGTTGAAGTGGGATTTCAGCGTGGGTAAGTCCAGACAAAATCGATCGGAAGAGAGTCTTGGTTTTCCCCGTGTGAAGACTTTGCTTAAGGGATGCGCAGGCTTCCATTTATGACTTCTACCCTCTCACCCTGAAAGACAATGGTGTTTTGGCATTTGTCAGTGTCTCGAATCCCACGAATAGTGGATGTTCAGGAATACCTGCTGGACGCTGACTTAGTAATAGGTTCTTGGTAAAGGGCATTCTGTGACCCAAATTAAAGGCCAGGGCGTTGTAAGCTGGCTCTAACACTGCTGAAGTTAGTGGGCTTGCACATAGTTTTAATGATAGTACAGGGACTAACTTGGAACCATGTTGTCGGGAATAGTACCATTGCACAGCCACTTAGGGATGGGTTTCTGTTTTGAATCCAGTGCAGTGTGTAACTCGAGGGCCGCCTTCACACGCACACCAACGTCCGTGGATTTCCACACGTCCATGCCTTGAATACGTAGTGTCTCGGCGATGTGAGAGATGGATGAGATGCCAAAGCTGGTATGGGCAAAGTCTCGGCAGGTCTCCTGTGTGATGCCACTAATTGGGAAGGTATCTTGATTCTGCCAGTATTTGATAATCTCCGCGGTGGTATTGATCCCACCACGACCTTGCACGGGATACTTCCCATCAGTAGTCAAATAGATATACGCAGGAACCCGAGCGGAGAACAACTCCAAGGACTTTTCGTACAGCGCTGCATCTTCAAGGAAGACAGCGGCTCCTATGGTAGACTCCAGCATCACCACGAAGTGTAAGCAGAACCGCTAGTGACAGTAACAGTGAAGAAGTGAACCTACCTAGTTCCCAGTTTCCGTTCTTCTTCGGGGCGCCGTTCTCAATGAGGGGGATGTAGGCGTGTCGTAGCATGTCAGAAAAGGTCTTGATACTCTTCTTGGACCACTGTTTATAGCTTGAGCGCATGATTTCACCTGCACGTACCCAATTAGCGGCTGACCAGGCCGCCTGCAGTAGTGCGTTGGTGTTGTTGTGACCATGGATCGTGCCAGACCAGGCATTCATATAATGAATTGATTTCTCAGCATAGTGCTTATCTTTCGTAACCCACCATGCCAATGCGTTCATGTATGCAGCCATGGAATCCTCGCGCTCCTGATAACACCCAATGTTTGGGGTCGATGTCGGTCCGCACTCGATTGTCTCATATGGCTCAGCCGTTCGCGTAGGCGACATAAGCGACGTGTCAAGCATGGAATCCAATGCTTCCTTCCAAGGATCCTTCCTAGCCTTGATCTTCTTGGCAATGTAGTCGAGCTGTGGCCCGGAGACGAAAACTCCTGGATGAACCCATGTCTTCGGCGCGTTGGTTGGAATAGGACGATAAGGAGTCGCGTCACCATTACTCGCTGCATGTACGGATTGAAATGCCAAGGGAGCTGACAAACCAAGCAGTAGGGGTTGGAGCTTCATCTTGTTTGTGGAAATAGCGAGAATTTATAATGTGAGAATAAAGACTTGCAATCGCGGGGTCACAGCGGTCGCATCGTCGCCTAAAATGGTCCAGCCCGTTTATTTCCACCAATACTATCCTAGTTGAATACGAGATTTTTCCACGAATTAGCTTATCACGTACAACTTCTTGTATTGCCTAATATTACCAAGGTATAGGAACGTTCGTAGATGAGAAGTATATCTCAGGAATTAACATCCCTGATCGTCGATTACACCTCTGTGGCTGGCAAGATTCCAGGTAAGTGAATCCGCCGTCTGGGGCCTGGACGTACTGAATCTACATGGATACTGACAAACGATCCTTGCCTTGTGGCTAATAGGTCCAATTTTCTTTTCCCAATGACGTCGACACCACCTTCCTTTCCCACCTTGTCGCTGAGCCAGGTGTAAAGCAGCAGTCTGACAAGGCAACGTGGGGAGAAAGTCTCTTCTTGATGGGCCACTTCAACTCATCCACGGCGCACACGATATCGTCCCGGACAGAAGTGCAACAGCTTTGGCAGTCTGTGATTCCGGAAGAGGCTATCGCTTACCCGTTTCTGGTCCACGGCATGCTCGCCCTATCGGCCATGCACTTGGCCAGCTTGCGGCCTTCGCAGCGAGCGCGGTATAAGCAGTGCTGCAGGCGGCACCAGGCCGAAGCTATCCCCTAGCCAGTATGGCTCAAGGCTTTTTCGGTAAAAAAAGAAACCCCTATCAGCCAGGGTAGGTACCCTGTAGTACAAAAATCAGTAGGGGAGTAATATAGGCAAAGGAGCAGGGCGCAGGGTTATTAAGTAAAAAAGGATTTAAGTAAAAAGGGAAGATACTAATTAGCTTTTAGGGTTAAAGAAAAAGTAAAAAAGAATAAAAGAGAGTTTTATCTTTAGCTTATAGCTATAGTAGTAAAAGTAGTAAAGCTAGCTAAGGAAGATAAATAAATAAAAGGTAAATAATAATAAAATAAAGAATAAATAACTTAAAAACGAAATACCTATAATATAACTATAATAATATATTAATATTAGTTATAGGTCTTAATAAGTTTACCTATAATTCTAACTACTAGGTTATAGTTTGCTAAATCTGTAAGATATATTTAATTCTAAAGCTAATAAGCTAGAAGAGCTATTTACAAGCTAAGCTATACTAAATAAAAGGTAAGATACTATAATTAACTATTAAGCAGCTATTAAGCTATAAGCTATACCTAGTAAAAGAGCTATAATAGTAAAAGCTTAATAGGAAAAGGCTATACTAGCTAGTAAAGGGCCTTACTATTTATAGAGAATATATTTATACTAAGGATAATAATAAATATAACTACTATATATAGTATATTAAGACTATATATAACTATATACTAGCCTATAGTAAGAAGGTATTATAGTATACTAGTAATACTTCTTTCTAGAAAGTATATAAGCTTTAGATATATTTTATAGCAAAGGGGTAGATTAACTACTTTATTATTATTATCCTTACTAGTAATAAGAGGAAAGCTACTACTATTAAAAAATAAAGGAAAGCTATTTAAAGATCTAAAGGTAGATATTATTTAAGCTTTATATAATCTAAATAGTAAAGCTAAGATTATATAGGGTATTAAAGTATTATATATAGACTAGGTACCTTAGTATATAGTTATAGGTTTTACTACCTATCTATAGAAGCTATATAATACTAAGATCCTATTATTATATATACTACTACTAAGTATAGATATAGGTAAATCTATAAATATAAATAAATCTAGCAGAAATAGTAATTATAATAGTTATAGTTTCTAAGGGATAAACTAGTCTATACTAGGTTTATATTAGCAAATATATAGAGTATAGATACTAAGTATTATAAAATATTACATTTCTTAATAGTAAATAGAGTAGATTAAGTATATTTAGGTAAAGA